TACATGGCCAAACTCGCCTGTAGAAAAAGAATAATAAGCTAAATGTACATTTTGGTGACCTGATTCTGTTGTTTTCTCACAGAGCAAAAAGAGGAGAAGGAGGCCATAAAAGCAGAGGAGTCCAGCAAACTGCAGAACGGAGAAAACGCCAAAGAAGCCGCCACAGCTGCACCGGTGGTCAACGTGAGCGAAGAGAAGAAGAAGGCCACCAAGCAGAGGTTCATGTTCAACATTGCTGACGGAGGATTCACAGGTACACACCGTGCCCACACATACACAAACTTGTCTTTTTTCCCTCTTTAGTTTATGTCTTTTGACCTTTTCTGCGCTCCTTTGCAGAGCTTCACTCTCTGTGGCAGAATGAGGAGAGGGCGGCCACTGTCACCAAGAAGACCTTTGAGATATGGCACCGTCGCCATGACTACTGGCTTCTGGCTGGAATCATACAGTATCCTTTCCAAAAAAAGAATTCCTTGTTCATTTCGGAAAGCGTGTGATTAGTCAAAGGAGACCAGGGCTTTGTATTCAGGCCATATAATGTACAAACCATAACTATGCTAAAAGGAGAGAAAACTAACTAAAGGTTTACATTTACATCTTCACTTGCCAACGTGTAAACTTAACGATGCAAGATGATCGGCGTTCATAGTCCTAAAAGCTGCTTGAGAAAACAAATTGCTGTGTAAAACAACAACCCTGACGAGACAATAATGTTGTTGTTGCACTTGACCACGGCGTCTCTCAGACATGGCTACGCTCGATGGCAGGATGTGCAGAATGATGTGAGGTTTGCCATCCTCAATGAGCCCTTCAAAGGGGAGATGAGCAGAGGAAACTTCCTGGAGATCAAGAACAAGTTTCTGGCTCGCAGGTTCAAAGTAAGTTGAGCACGCTCACCAGTATCACATGTTTCCTTCGTGTGTCTGTGTGTGTGATTCTGTCTGTCTGTGTTTTTTATTATATCTCACTGGGCCCGCTGTCTTACTTTGCTTCCTGTACAGTTGCTGGAGCAGGCCTTGGTGATTGAGGAGCAGTTGCGCAGGGCGGCTTACTTGAACATGACCGAGGACCCGGCCCACCCCTCCATGGCCCTCAACACTCGCTTCAGTGAGGTGGAGTGCCTCGCAGAGTCCCACCAGCACCTCAGTAAGGAGTCCATGTCTGGAAACAAACCTGCCAATGCAGTTCTGCATAAAGGTAAACCATATGTGATATCAAAAGAGAAAGTGAGAGTTGTTGTACACATGGAAAATGTCAGGTGGCGTCCATCACTTTTCTGTTCTGCAAAATGACATTACAAATCCTAATTCCAACCAACCTGAGAGGTGACCACAGCCGTACGAGTTCAAGTTTAAGATTGAAACTTAAAATGGATCAAATTTGTGTTGTATTTACAGTTCTCAAACAGCTTGAGGAACTACTGAGTGACATGAAGGCTGACGTGACGCGTCTCCCGGCAACCATCGCCAGGATACCGCCAGTCGCCGTGCGCCTGCAAATGTCCGAGAGGAACATCCTCAGCCGACTGGCCAGCCGGGGCCCCGACATCAACGCCCAGAACCAGGTCTCGCAGCAGATGCAGGTGCCGCGCTGACCAATCCCCTCGCTCGTTTCCCCTCTCACCGACTCAGGCTAGTCGCCCTCAACCCACCGCCATGTAGCAGATGTCCTCCCTCTCAACCGCCATGTACAGCACAGCCAGGTTAGTCCTCAACCTTCTGCACCCTCAACCCATTTCTGGACTCGGAAGAGCATCGGCCGTGCTGCTGGAACTGCAGATGCAAGACGGGAGAAAAAGGAAACGAGTCTTTCTCCTCCACTGGGATTCAGATGTAAAACCTTGTGAATCTGAACTCTGTCGTTGTGACTGAACTGTGGGCAGCGCCACTGACCTGTCCTGTTCCGTCTGTACAGCAGGGTCAAACATGTGTATGTAACTGTTTGTAGAATGAAGAAGCTAGGCGGGAGAAAAAGCAGCATGCTCAGAGTATACAGGTGCTTTGTAGTCATTTTTGGATTATTGAAGAAGTCAAGGGATTTTATTCTGCCCAATTTTGCCTTTAGAAAATTGTGATTTGTTTTTCAGTCATTCAACTTTAGTGTGTGTGTGTGTGTGTGTCTGCCTGGGTGAGTGTGAGAGAAACAAGGCATAATAATGTACACCTCTACTGCAGAACGCCCCCGCTGAGAGACTGTTACTGTCGTTTGTTTTTTTACAGACACTCAGTTCTGTTACCTCTTCCTGTGTCCTTGCCCTCCATCCAAAACCTTCCCTCTTGTCGTCAGGTGACCCGATCCAGGATCAGCTCTCTGTGCTAAAGCCCTTACCAGCACCTCGACATTCCTAACTGCTCCACAGATTCGCTCCCTTGGAAACTCTCCCGGAGCACGGTCATGCAATAGCTACACGGCTTTTAGGTACATGGGATGGTTCTGAGATCGATTTAATTTAATTTCCTACTGTATATTGTTATTTTGTTTTACATAATTGAATATTATTATGGTTACCACCTTGTTGTTTCTATCATTGACGTTTGTTTTTATGGACTACAATAAAAAAAAAAGTCAACCGTTTTTTTTTCCTCCCTCAATTATTATGGGATTGCCATGAAAATTGGTGTAAACATTCACGTTCTCCCGACGATGGATCAGATTCATACAGCGTAATAAGGTTCAAATCTCAATTTCTTCAGCACTTAATGACACTTTAAAAGACCTTGAAGGCCATCATCTGCAGCTGCACTTTGCCCAAACTAAGGATGTTGAGCGTATTAAACAGCTAAAAACGGCATAGCATTCACTGTGAGCATGGAGACGTTCTGACCTCAAGCACAGCCTCACTGAGCCACCAGCAAGGCTGCAGACGTCTCTCTTAGTAAAGCATAATAAAGTATTTGTTGACAAATTAAAGAGCAGATGAGATGACTTATGCAAAAAGTGATTCTCTCATTTGATGTTTAAGTAATGCTTGTGGAGAGAACTGGGAAAGGATCCTCACCTCCCATTCAACTGGAGGACGCTGATGTGTTTGTTAAGTCTTTTTGTCTGGGTTGTCAACCTAATTTAGGAAAGTGTAACTGTTCAAATAAACCTGTGGCGTCAAGCGAGACCTACTTTGAATTCCAACGTCGAGAGATGTGGTGGAATTTACATGGAGGCAAATGTCGGCCCGTAGGAGAGCTGGAAAAGCAGGAGGGCATTTGCACACGGAGGAGCTTGTGAGAGGAAGATCAGGGGGGAGAAGCTAACATGCACATTGTCTTCCTGTGGATAGTTGTATAATTGGAGTAAATTGCAGGGCGGAGAATTGGTCGGGCTGCGGATGAAGCTTGATATCTTATCATGAGAGGGAACGGCGACTAAACACCAGCGAGGCCGGGCAAGACCGGACATGGAGAGCAAAGGACAGTGGAGCTGAACTCGCTGTAACCGGACTGTCTCTGTTTGGAGAGACGGACGCACATCGTGGACGGCAGCGCTGAGGAGAGTGGAGAGAAGAACCCAGAGCACCAGTGAGTCGGTACAGAGCGCCCGAAATGTCTTGTCGGTGAGTGTCTTGTATTTTTTTGCTATGTGTGAACTTACTTTTTTTTTTTTTAACATTCTCAACTCTGGTTTAGTGTTAATGTTTTGGTCTTTATTCGACAAGTGTTGCTGTAGTACTTACTACACAAAGCCTATTCACTTCACTATTGTCTCTTTGTATCTGCGTTTTGTGAAAAAAGAAACCGGTTTGATATTTCCAAACATGTTCTATTGTTAAGGTAAGTGGAGGATATGACTCAAATCCTCAATAATGCTATTATATCTTCACGGTGAAGAAACAAACCAAATGGAAATGTTAAAATCCAAATGATGCAACCATTTCTTTCCACCATTGCCCACATGGATTAAAACAATAAGACATAATATAGGGTTAGCTGCTACGATCAAGATTTCCAATGGTTGACAAATCGCTAAAGTTTCATGGTTGTATTACATACGCAGTCCATGAATGACGTCCCAAATTATATATTTCTATAGAAATGAGAAAATCCTCATTCAAGGAGGAGGAAACCCTGAAAACGAGGATTAATTGACTAATAGTTTCAACAGTGTCAATGATATTTAATTGTTTTCCAGGTTTAGACGAGGGAAGGGACAGAATGACATGTACAGCATTTTCATATATACAGTGTGTCGTTATATATGAATAAGCATACACGGCGAATAAAGCTGATTCTGATATTCTGCTGAACAGACACAATTGGGAGCAAACGTCTGATTCATGCGACATATTCTACGCCTGAGCAGTGACTCTCTGCTTTGTCAGAAGGGAACAGAAGCAACAAAAAAACCATCAACTGATGAGCATAAGAATCTGTGAGGCGGAAAATGCAAACTGCAATAGCTGCGTTAACCACGAGCAACGACACCTGCTGTGTGTGTGTGTGTGTGTGTGTGTGTGTGTGTGTGTGTGTGTGTGTGAGAGAGAGGTGGGGGGTGTTACAGTAGTTCCTATACATTGTTTGTTTGTACTCGTTTGTAGGTTTTTGAACCGTTGTGAGCCTCACATGCTTTTGTTCTACTTCTACCCCCCTTTTCAAACCTCTTGTAGGTCAATTCGATTTGCAAGTTAAATGTTTGTTCCAACATTGTGTGGTTGCTAAATGTCAGTCTGTGTGTTGGTGCCATTTGGCAAACAAGCCTCCCTCCTGTTGCAGTTTGTGTTGCATTATATGGAAAGTAGCGTGTCCTGCGAGCCTCGATGTGCATTCGAGATACAAGCAAATCCAACTCCTGGCCGAAGGGGGGGGATCTGCTTCACGCCACTCGGCTGCAGCTCTGGAGTTCCGCACTGCAAATGGTTTACCAGCTGGAGGGCAGCTCACACACCCACGAATAAGGAAGTGTTCTGTCAGTCTGACCTTTGTCAGGGACACACACACACACACACCTGGAACAAACGCACAACAGTGTCAGCAGACAGGCAGACAGGTAGGCAGGCAGGCAGAGGGGGGGGAAGCTCCACTGATGTCTGCCAGACAATGTGTGGGCTTTTTCTCGACAGGCGCACACTTTACACTTTGTGCATTGTTCGTTCCAGTGACGAAGGTGGAACTGCTGGACGCTCACTCTCGCTCGTGATTCCCCTAATGAGTGGAACGGTGTCCGTCATCTGCTGTGAGTTCTTCTGCCGCGGCAATTAAACAATGGCTCATCGGGGGGCAAGTTTTCAGAGGTCGACCCTGCTGCTGTTATGAAGAGTTTTGTTGTGGCGGTGACTTGTAACAAAAAGACACACCTCCCTCTGTTGGAGGAATTCAGACCTGTCAGCTTTTTTGGTTCCTGTCTTGCTTTCACTGTTTTGTGAAAGGAGATGTGAAAAGGAAGGAAGGGGGGAGCGCGAGCGCGAGATCGACAGAGAGAGGAGGGGAGACAGACGCGTGCAGTCCAGGCGTCTCGGGCGAAGTCTCAGTTGTTTTCAGAAGGCAGCCGAGAAGAGTAAGTGTTCACCCGCTTTCCTATTGGGGCCGAGAGATGTTTGATAGGAAGAGGGCCGAGTGTGGGCAAGTGCAGAAGGAGAGGAGGAGGGGAGGGCGGGTAGTCTGAGGGTCATTTTGTGTGTGTTGTGTGATACGTGGGGTATTTTTTTTTTTTTTACAGGTGTCAGACTGGAGGGTAAAGAGCAATAGCATGAGAACGAGTGTTGACTTCTGTTTATTGTGCTGCAGCGTAGTGGGGAAGTATCGATGAGCTGGGTGTTTCTTTATAAAGTTAGAAACACAGGTTCAGTTTGTACCCTATGGTTGAATGCACTTACTGTACGTCGCTTTGGATAAAAGCGTCAGCTAAATGACATGTAATGTAATGTAATGTAACATGAAAGCAAAAAACAACTACAAAGATATATACGTATTGGCAGGCTTACGCTTGTCTGCACATGTGCAGCTACAAGTGACTCTCACCTACCGCTCTCCTTCTATTTGGTTCCAGAAGAAGCGAAGAGTCAACATGGTTCGGTGAGTCAAGCGCCCCCCCCACACACCCACCCGCCGCCAAACTGTCAAGTGCTCCGTTGGTCGAACCCGGTTGTGTCCTCTGTGTTTTGTGCGACGATACTTCTCTGTTTCCATTCCTCCTTCTCCTTCTCTCCCAAGCTGTCTGCCCGTCCTGCTCTTGTTCCTCTGTCATGTGGTTTATGATGCGTCGCGCGTTGTTCAGTGTCTGTTGCGTAAAGAAATGTTTGTCCTAAAAGATGTACTAATTCAGTGATTTTGCATCCTCAATGTTCAAAGTCTTTAAAGGTCGTTATCTTTCCCTTTATTATGAGTTGACGAGTCTTTTCTTTCTGGGACTGTGTTCTCTTAATAAGGTTTTCTTTTTAATAACCAAAAGCTAAATGGGGAAACACTTACTGCAGAGCAAACACAACCTGATTGTGCACGCACGGGGTTCCCCATTTTCAAAATTAGTTTTCTGCAACATTACAAGTTTTATTTTGTACGTTTTAAACACTGAACTGTGTCAAAAAATGTAAATAATTTAACCAATAAATAAAAGTGACAGGTTCAGTTTCAGGAAACCTATTGAAACAACAATTGAATATTTCGGGGATCTTTTTAACCGTTCAGCTCAGAGGCTGTAAGCCGGATTTGACCTAAACATACTTTTTCCACCCTCAACAAGCTCCAGGAAATGGTGGGTATTTGGCCGGAGTTGTTGCAATTACGTTAAATTGAGAAACTCCTTAGTGTTTTCTGGCTTTCAGGCTTTCAAGCTGGAGCTTTCCCGGATTTCTGTCGTTATAATCGTGTATATTCACAGTATATTATTGAAGTGTTCTGAAAAGGTTCAATTAAGAACCGGTGCTAAAGATTGTTAAAGAAATTGTTAAAATATTGGTTTATACACTTATAAATAACTTGAATAGATTTCTTTTGGTCTCTAATTAGAGCAGCATTTTCTACAGAATGAGAAGAAAAGAATACAGTTATGATAATAAATGATAAAGACTACGAAAAAACTGAACTGGGAATGAAACGATATGAATACCAGTTATGTTATCCATTAATAAAATAATTGTTTTTATCTAAAACATGTTACTAAAGTCACATCACAGGTTGCCAGGAACCACGGCGATGTGTTAATGAAGCATAAAATACCATTTTTACATCTACAAGACTTTAACAAGAAAAGCATTTGTAATACGAATTATATGTTGGAGGAATTGGGGGTTAAACTTTGCAAGACTGTGATGTGATGAATGGTAATTTATTGGTAAACCAGCCACAGTTAGAATGCCAGAAAAAATACTCCATCTTCTTCATGAAATAACCTTGTGCTCATTGTGTTTTCAATACAGAATACTTTAAAGTTATGTGTGTACGTGGATGTTTGTTCTTATAAAGGCGTCCGTGTTAATGATTATCAGATACAAGTCTTATCTGTGTGTGTATTAAGTGCAGTCATACTGAGTCTATTTTTACTCTGGATTCAGGTGGTTCCACAGAGAAATCACAGGTTTGGAGGCCGAGGAAAGGCTGAAGACGAGAGGCATACACGGCAGCTTTTTAGCTCGACCCAGCAAGAAAAATGTAGGAGATTTCTCCTTGTCTGTCAGGTAATAAAGGGGAAAAACACCCCGATCTCCCTTCTACATTTCTATCTCAGTAGCTAAGGTTAGAACCTTAACCTCCTTCTCTTTAAAATTGGCCTGAGGCTCAACCATGTGACATCTCCACTTAGCAAACCTTAAAGAATTTAAACAACAAGATCTTGTGGAAGCTGATTGATTGCTGTATACACGTATACTTCATTTTACTTCTTCTTTCATTGGCCGATTGAAATTAACCTTTAAACTTCACTGTTGAATAAAACAAACTGTTGCACAACTAGGATGTGATGCAAATATTCAGTCTCTGACTAGACGGAAACTTTTTCTTGCACTTTTTGGGTGCGATAAAACACGTTCTATTAATAAATGTGGCAATGCTGATACTGATGCTTTTTTCCAGGTGTGAGATAGAGTTGATGTGGTTGTTCAAGTTAAACTAAAATGTCTTTACCGATGAAAAAGAAGAATGTACGTTCTTAAAAATACAGATAGAATTCTAATAGAATAAAGGCAGTGTTTATTCCTCAAAATATCACCATATAAAATAAATTGAATCCCAAAATGTGATTGACCAAATAGCACGTGAATTTTATTTGACTTTGATTTGACTTTTATCCAAGTTACTTCATGAGGTTCAATTGATGTAAAGATGATCTGCTTATACACTGATCACAGTGCTACCGATCACAAGTGTTGTTAAATTTATATATATATATATATATATATATATATATATATATATATATATTAAAATAGATGTCTGTACCGCTGGAGGAATAAACTGAATAACTCCAGTGTTTTCTCACAGAGACATACTGTATAGGTTTGTGATAATATCCGTTCCTGTCTTTAAAATTTGTCTTTGAGACTTAAAAGAAGGGCGTAACGTACATTTTTTACATGTTCTCCTTTTCACGAGTTCCTCTTAAGTCACAAAGACAAATGTGTCACACTGACCGCTGCCTTTTGAATGAATTAATGAATGTGACGTGTATGGAAGGACAGTGGCACTCCCACCTCTCCAAATCAAATGATTTACCAAAAAAACTATATTCAAATAAAAATATTCCTGGTCCCAACTAATAATAATTATGTCTAATTATAATAATTAGGTATGATTATTATTATTAAAGTTAGACAGCCAGATTACTACGTTGTTTGTGTCAGAGATTAACACAGATTCCTTTATATTGCACCAAAACACATTTTATCAATCTGTGTGTTGTTGGAGGAATATTATTCTGCAGTTTTAACTGTCGTAGACAGATGTTCGGTCACCTAGAAGTTTTTGTCAACGAAAAACGTTGACTGTCCTAAACCGGCTTGTCATCTCCTCAGGGTGGGCGATCTGGTGACCCACATCCGGATCCAGAACACGGGAGACTACTACGACCTGTATGGCGGGGAGAAGTTTGCCACTCTGTCGGAGCTGGTGGAGTACTACACGGCCGAGAACGGAATCCTGCAGGACAAGGACGGCACCGTCATCGAGCTCAGATACCCCCTCAACTGCTCTGACCCCACCACAGAGAGGTCTGTGCATGCTTACTTCCCGATGTTGAACCTCATTCAGGTCAATTTGGCTCACGGCCTCCAGCTTCTCTCAGGTCGCTCCACCGGCGCTCTCGGGTTCCGTGCAATTGTGTTTGGTTACGTGGTTGAGTCGATAAAATTAGAGTGTTACTCCTTCTACAGCTGTTTATTGGGGATAATTACGCTCATTTGTGGGTCTGATGTTCCATGAGGTATTGGGTGAAGCCTCATTCATTCCAACATCTGGCCCGCTGCTGCGGCTCATCAAAAACCCCAAATCTATTATTATGCAAAAAGATTCCAGCTTAGACGTCCATGTCCATCCATGTCCTATGTGCTTCTTTTCCAGCATATACGACATAGAATAATAGACATTACAATATTATTAGTGATTATTTATCCCTGCGATCAGTAATTCAAAGGCTTTGTGTGACTTATGTAAGCAGTTATTCATGTATTCAAACCTGCAAATACCATCCCTTTTAATTCAAATAGTTTCATTTCATTATTGGTCATAACCTGATACGAGGCCCACTATTGCTTTTTATGTTAATGCATTTTCTGAATCACATTGGCTCCGGTTACTGGTTTTAATTTTGACGTAAAGTAGCAGCATACACTCTTCACACTTTAGTTTTGACTGAGATTACATAAAAATATGCTTTTGAATTCATGCATATCGCCGTGAGAGTATTGCTCCTTTATTAAGTTTCAGTTGTACCGATAGTAGCTGTCGTAGTGTCTCTGTTTGCTAAATATAGCTTTTAGATAATGTGACAAGTCTGTGTTTGCATCCACAGCTGACCACATCAAAAACTGCGTCAGGTAGCTGCTAGTAAACAAGTAACACATATGTTTGTTGAATGCACGTGAAAAAAAGGCTATCAGAATTTTTATCCAAATTCCATTAATGCTGACGATGGAGTTTGTTTATTGACGGGGCTTTCTTCCAGTCGGAAACATTGTGCGGTTAACGGTTGTTAAACCAGCTTAATACCCAACTAGTATAATCTTAAACGTTTGCACCTCTTTCAAGAGCCAAGGAGGACGCCACTTGCTATGGTATGTGTGTGCATGCGAGTGTGTGTGACTTTGTACTTAGCCCTAGCTGGCTCTGCCCCCCGCCCACCCCACCCCCCGCCCCTCGTCCTTCTCTTTCTGTCAGTTGTCTAACTTCCCTTTTGTTGCTGCGGTTGGAAACTTTAGGTTTTGACACAGTTTTGAAAGCAGTGGCCAGAGCCAACGTGTCTTCCTCTATTGCACACTCCATCATGTTCTTGCTCGCTCGCTATCCTTCTCATCTCACACAATCTCTAACTCTCATCTGCAATCGTGACTACAAATGCGTCAACTCACCCTTAATGTTCGCGCATGTCTTGAGCTTATCTACTCTCGGGGGGAAAAAAAGGATAAATATAGTTATGACATTACGATTTCGGCATTAATGGCGGTTCTAGGTGGAGGAAACCTGGCTGACGTGTTTGCCCGGTAGTCTGCTGTCCTCTTCTGTGAAGTGCAACCTTTCCCTCGACAGGCTCTTCTTCAGCTTCTGCAAAACCGGGACACCAAATGTATTTTTTGTCTGCAGGTGCTTCATGCAACCTGCTTTAATTTAAGTGCGTGTGAAAAAAGGCATTAAGAGAGAGAAGGCAGCGTGTGCGATGGGGAAAGGTGTATGCATGGGGAGGGGAGGGGAGGAGGGGGGTTATATGTGGTTGATACATATAGGGTGACAGGCTATAAATACTTTGTCCTCTTAAGCCATGAAATCTGTCATCAGAAATTTTCCGACCGCAAAGCAGGAAGTTCAGAAGAAGAAATCGAGAACAGTGCCTAAAATTAAGTCACAAACATGGCCTCTGTTAATTCACTGCACAAAGACGCGCGCACACACACACACACACACACACACACACACACACACACACACACATGCAGTTTGCTGGTGGACAGAAATCCAGCCTGCATCTGTCCATGCTGTTTTTATCAATCCACCTGATTCTTTTGCGGCTTTCTATTTCTACTCACTAGGGCATGGCCAGCTCTAGCATGCAATGTACCACATCAGTGAGTCTGACAACCGCTCAGCTCTGAATAGATGTCTACATGTAATTCCCGGCCTCTGCGCTAAGGGTTCTATGCTCACAATAAGCAGTCAAAAAAACAACCCAAGGAGGATGTTGTTTAGCTGCTGCGCGCAAAATGTCAAGCTTAAAGCTCAAAGAAATGCAATTACAGGTCAGCTCGCTGCATGAGGCAGACGGTGTCCTTTGGAAGGTCGTAACCACAAACAAACTAAAATGTAAGTGAAATGTGCACGCATACGGAAAACACTTATTGCCCTTTGTCCCTCTCAGGTGGTACCACGGCCACCTGTCCGGGCAGAACGCGGAGAAGCTGCTCTGTGCTCGGGAAGAGTCTGGGACCTTCCTGGTCAGAGAGTCGCTGTCCAAACCTGGAGACTTTGTCCTGTCGGTTCTGACGGACGAGAAGGGCAAAGCCGGAGGAAAGAGGGTCTCCCACATCAAGATAATGTGTCAGGTGGGTGTTTGTGTATGTATGTGTGTGTGTGTGTGTGTGTGTGTGTGAACATGGGTGCATGTCACATGCAAGACCATTAGTACACATGAAACTTGGGTTTGGTCTTTGGTCTTGGTCAGTCTTCTACTTTGAATATACAGGATTCACATCATGTAGAAAATGTTGGGGTATTCCCACAGTTGTGCAATGTGCTGTGAGATTGTTTTCTCATTTCCCCCATTTTGGCAATATCAGACTGTTTTATTGCTCATAGATGGCAGGCACAGTTTCAATAAAGATTTTCCCAACAGTTGTTCTTGCTAATTACAGTTTTTTGTTTTTCAGTAAACACAATACAATATGCGGACCCAAAAGCTGCATCTTGGTGTGTTTTACACTGTGCAAAAAGCTGCTGGTAATATTGACACTGTGACACTATTGGCAACAGGTCACATGGTCGTCCTCTCAAACTCATTTTCATAGATTGTGTCTGTCCGTTATCACCTGGGCGTTTGCATGTTGGTGGTTTGGAGAAAACAGTCTGGCTCATTCCTGTGTAAGCCTTGTTTTTAGGCACCGCTGAGGTGCAAATGTTTGATGGTAGATTAGTGGAGGGGTCACACTGGCCTTTACATGAGCAATTAGGGCCGAATGCTTTATGAGGCTATAATGTTATTTTATTCATTTCTATTAATGTTCCTTTTGTCTAGACTCTAGAGGAAATGTACAAATACAAAATACGTCACTTCTATTAAAGTGCTCTTCTTCTTCTTTAAAAACGTTAGTCTTTATTTTTAAACCAGTTATTTTGGGACAACCTCTGATGAGTGACTGATTTTATGCTTCGATGTTTTTTTTTTCCGTCTTCAGAATGACAGGTACACAGTTGGAGGTTCAGAGATGTTTGACACGCTAACAGACCTGGTGGATTACTACAAACGCAAAGGCATCGAAGAGATTTCTGGTAACTGGGTGCATCTCAAACAGGTGAACTTCAGTGTTTCACATACAATTGATATTAACTAAATCATTTGTAACGTGTGTGTGCGCGCAAATTCCACAAGTTGAATGTCAGTGAGCTGTGATAAACAGAAACGTGGTGTTTGTGAATAATTATCGAAGATGAACAGCACAGCCGACAGGAAATATCACCCACAGCTTTGACTTTACGTGGCCTTACTGACTGATGCCTTCAATTGGCCCAAATTTCCTTTCAACTATATGATCAGACTCTCACTTTCTCCGTCTCTCTCTCTCTCTCTCTCTGCCGGTCTCTTCTGCAGCCGTATTACTCCACCAGAGTGAATGCAGCAGACATCGACAGCCGAGTGAAACAGCTGGATCTGACCACAGAGCAGGAGGAGGAGGGCGAGGGAGAGAAGAGCAAGGCGGGTTTCTGGGAGGAGTTTGACGTAAGATCTCACCCGGCCTCGTTTATGTTCACGGCGACTTTTTCTTACAATGAATAAGAACCACAAGGTTGTACTGAAGACTTCCTAACTGTGCGGCAGAACTAAAGGTATTCTACCACCGTCATGTGGTCCAGATGCCGTATTACACGGTGACTCATCAGAGGATTTGAGTATCTACTGGGTGCCTGATCATATTAAGTTTACTTTAAAGCTCCAGTTTCAAGTTTTAATCTGTAGTTTACTTTTAGCAACAGTCTAATTGACATATTTGATACAGAATGTCACAACTATTTAATAACATACTGTTAAATATTAATATGTAGTAGGAACTTAGCACAGAAAGCATCACACAGTCTTCTCTCTCTCCCAACAGGCTCTTCAGAAGTCTGAGGCGAAGGTGAAAAAGAGCAGAGAGGAGGGTCAGAGACCAGAAAATAAGAGCAAAAACAGATACAAGAATATTCTTCCCTGTGAGTTTTGAATCCTGTCCGTAACATTTCTTTTTCAAATCAACCAAACCGTACAACACATTTCGACTGACATTGAACAATTGTCCTCGTTCTCCCTCCGTGTCCTCACTCTGTCCACTTGTTCCCACAAGTCAATGACACCAGGGTCCCCCTGCGGGGCAGGAATGCTGATGTTGTGGGTTCAGATTACATCAACGCCAACTACGTCAGAGTAAGTCTCTAAAGTCTGTGGCCTCATAGTAACGACAACACAAGAGGACAGAGCAGTCGGATATTCTCTGCTTCTACACCTAAAGGTCCATGTCTGTGTATTGAGCACCGTTCACTGGTTCATTGTGCGTTTGTAGAACAACCTGTCGGAATCCGGGGCTCCGAAAGTCTACATCGCCACCCAGGGGTGCCTAGCAACAACCGTCAACGATTTCTGGCAGATGGTATGGCAGGAGGACACACGGGTGATCGTCATGACAACAAGAGAGGTCGAGAAAGGCCGGGTCAGTATCAAAACAAGAAGTATGAAAGCAGTATTTGGGCCTCAAGCGTGTTTTGTTCTTTTAAAAATTACTAAAAGCATTAAAAACAATTGACTTTGGTTAAGTTAGTGAATATATGAATGTACAGGAACCTTTTCTGTACTTTTAAGTGCAAGTTCAAATCCATGGGGTCAAGTGAGGATATTACAAAAGGCTAATCATGACAAATAGTGATAAAAGCTGCATCGTAGTCTTGCAGATAACCAATAATTTACTTGATTTATTGTTTATTGCAGAATAAGTGCGTGCCATACTGGCCCGACTTACAGACCTCCAAGGAGGTGGGTCCATACGTGGTGACCAACAATTCAGAGAGGGAAGCCACTGATTACAAAATCAGAGTTTTGGAGATCGCTCCCGTGGACCAGGTAACCTGCCACCACCAATCTCTGACCTCACAGCACCCAACCACCCCCATGGACGCGCGTGTACAATGCTGACTTTGTCACCTTAAACCCACAATTGTGTGTGTGTGTGTGTGTGTGTGTGTGTGTGTGTGTGTGTGTGTGTGTGTGTGTGTGTGTGTGTGTGTGTGTGTGTGTGTGTGTGTGTGTGTGTGTGTCATCCACAGCCAAATCAATCCCGTACTATCTGGCACTACCAGTACATGAGCTGGCCTGACCACGGCGTCCCTCATGAGCCAGGTGCCGTGCTAAGCTTCCTCAGTCAAGTGAACGGCAAACAGGCCGACTACCCCGATGCCGGACCCATGGTCATCCACTGCAGGTGCTCACCATGTTGTGACACGTTTTGTCAAAAAGAAAATCATTCAAATCCTCACTTTTTAAAGGCTGGAAAGGTTTTTTTTTGTTAACAATTAAGTGATTTTCAAGACATTTGTCAACTATTTTTTTTCCAGTGATTGACTGACGGAACGTAAACAGTTAATCTGGTTATTTTGTAAGACATAATGGCGCATTTGGAGATATAGTGTCACACACTATCAGGAGCATGTAAATCCTTCTGGCGTGATGTTGACATCACAAAAAACATCACAGCACTAGGTTTATCTTAAATCGGGTGATAACACACTAAGGTTTATGATTAGAATGATTATATATTTAGGATCAAGATTAGTAGTAGTGGAACAAAAAGCTTTGAGTCAACTAACATGTTATCCTCATGGAATTTTCCCCATGTGATGTTGTGGATACTGAGGTCATTTGTACAGTTTTAAAACGTGTTGTTCGAATGATAGTATGACTGTTGTGTGAGTATTTTGGTGAGTAAGCACGCAGCAAAGCCCCACAGAGCAGCTAGCATGGCTGCAGACTTCTAGGTGCGTTAGTAGAGGTGACAAGTCTTGTTGGATTGATGGAAGGATATATATTAACTTTGCTTCTTCTGTGAATTCCTGCAGTGCTGGAATTGGTCGAACGGGCACAATTGTGGTGATCGACATGATCATTGAAACCATTGATGCCATAGGTAACTTTTATTCATAAAAACAAAACCATTCAAAATACACCGTTTATTTTTCCTTTCTCGACGGTTTCATTTATCCCACTGTAGGTCTGGACTGTGATCTTGACATCCCGAAATACATCCAGATGGTGCGAGAGCAGCGCTCCGGGATGGTGCAGACAGAGGCCCAGTACAAGTTCATCTACCTGTCTGTGTCCGAGTACATACAGACCACCAAGGCCAAAGACTGTGCCTCCATGGTGAGCAACGGGGCCGGGAAAATGCACAAAAAGCACCTCGGTCCGTGTTTCAATAAGCTTTTGCGACCGACTAGCTCAATGTCGGCAGAATGATACGTTATCAGAGAGCGGCTTGTGAAAGATGAACATTGACCCAGGGGCAGAAAACAATCCACTTCACTCCACTCCAAAAAAACAGTCGCATGAACCTCTCGGTGTTTGAGTAATCCTTCAGTCACATCAGAAATGTTCCTCTCTTCCCCAGGAAACCGAGACTGAGTATGGAAATCTGCAACTCAAACACCAGCCGGTGAGCAAGAAGGTCTCCAAGTGAGTGAGCGCGCGTCTCTGTCTCTTAAAAAGGGATAAAAACAAAAGTGTGTGTGACGCATTTGAACTGCTCTCACTGTTGCCCAACGTTCCTTTCAAAAACCCCGTCTGCAGGCAGTCAAACCATGTCGAGATAAGGACTTGTGGGGGGAGGGAGGACTCATTGTAGTTGCAGCTGAACTTCACGTCAGTTTTATTGAATGTTGTCTGAGGGACTGCGTCGCTAATCATTATTCATATTCAGTATTAAATGTTGGGGAAAATATATCTTGTGCATTTCCAACCACATTAAACAACCATTTTTCTAAAAAAGAAAGTTTGTTGTCGCTCTGGAATACTGAAACTGAAGACAATAAACTAAGCTGTGGAATAAATCCTTACAAGCTGATTACTGCCGTTCCAAAGAGTGTAACAAAGCACCAGTATTTAGCAGTACCGTGCTGTTAACAGGAGGCCTGCAGAGCAGTGTTAAGTCTGTCCACCCTGCCAGAGCCGAACGAAATGTCTCAGCTATTGCATGGATTGCCATGGAAGCTCGGTGATCCTCTCAATGTTTCTCCATTTCCTTATTTCTCTGTAGGCATTGAAGCAGCACTATCAGATGAGAACCACGCTTCCATAAAGATGAATAGTTCCAAAAATAAACACGTTCTTTCTGCAAAAATATGGAGATAAGATTTTTATTGGTGTGATGAGTAAAAAGAAACGGCCGGATCCTCCAATTCCCACAGTACAACTTAAAACATATGCAATCAGGGTTTATTCTTTCAATTCCCCTCCTGAGCGACAGAAAACATTACACAACTTGTTTAACTCCCCATGAATAGTTAACTGAACACAACACTTAACAATCCAGCCCAGAACGTCGTAAGCGTTGACGCACTTGGACCTCCGAGGGCTTTGAGTGATTGATGGTCAGCAACACTTCAAGCATCTTCTATTCTTCTATTCGCTTCGAACTAAACTGGGGGAAATCAATGTGGGCTGCGGATTGAATCTGAAGCAATAATCATTACTGTGTTCTTTCCCTTTATTTTTTCCAGAAACAAGGAGGATGTTTACGAGAATCTCTCAAAAGGAAAAAAAGATGTGAAGAAGTCAAAGTCAGAAAAGAAAAGTGGCTCTGTGAAGAAAAGATAGATGGATGTTTGTTTCTCCACAATATTCCACGTTGTTATATTTATGCAGGCCCTTTTTTGTATTTTAGTGGAGACAAAATGAAAATGCATGAAATTAAAGATAACCGGTCGACATCTGATGGGTCACATAAATTCTTTGTTGCAAATAAAGTAATCGTGTGAACATTGCCTGCAATTTTCTTTCTCAAAATTTCAGTTACAAACTCATTAATTGTGGTGTGCTTCAGTATTTAGAAGCAGTCGTGTTTTAACAGCAGATGTAAAAAATGTCCTCTTTTAAAGGTTAAATTTTTTATTGGTTATTAGAACCGCAAGATTAATCGCTTTTTCTATTTAGATTAGTCTAAACAAGCGATTTATTTGAGTTCTACACGGACACATGTTTGATTTTTTTCCCATTTGCTTCCATCCTACGCCCTTTGTACACATCTACAATAATATACACATTATTCTGAAATGGGTCTTGATAATCTGCTCGGTTACTTTCTCAATTAAAATCAATTCTGGTCCGAATACTTTTGCGCGGTGTTGACTTTTATTTTACACGGCGTGTGAAATGAGCCCCACTGGGACAAGGAACGTCCTGGTCAGCTCCCAGCGGAATGTAGCACGGAGGCTCAATTCATCCCCACCAGCAGCACCACCAGCAGCACCACCCACATGCGTTTAGGGAGCCGAAGCACCGCCTCTGAGGGGAGATGAACGAGCCTCCCCCCTTTAAAAAGGGATACTGGTGAAAAAAGAGAAAGGAAAGCACACGCACACACGCACGCACACACACCATCGGCGAGTCGCGGCAGACCGAAAAGGACCTGCACAAGTCCGGCTGGAGTCTCCACCCGAGAGGACGTCCACAGAGCAGACACACGTTGTCCACACGTTGCGTAAGACAACGTGAGAGCGACGCGTCGGCAGATCTGCTGCGGACTCGAGGAGAAGGAGAAGAAAGGGAGAAGCAGACGTTTCTGTCCTGTCTGAGTTTTTTGGAGGGGAACAAAAATGTCTAAACCCGATTACAGCGGCATGTTTCACATGGTGGAGCAGGAGAATATGGACCCGTACCTCGCAGCTTTAGGTGAGACGCGCACCGCAAACAACAACAAATGGTCTTTTTGTGTCCATTTGAAGCCCGCGTTCACACAGTTGTTGCACCTTTTGTTTTAAAACTTGCATTGCATTGACGTAATCGATGACTGCACAATGTTGATAATCTTCGTTTTGAAGCTGTAAATTACATTAATGAAATGGAATCACCACAGTGTCCTTTTCATGACCCCCCCCCCCCCCCACACACACACACACTCATTGGGTTGCATCCACTTTGTCTCTCCCCCCAGTGTGACAAAGCTCCCCTTTTCAATAAAGCAACAATAAAGTGCCTCTCATGTGACATTAACCATGCTATCGTCTTCTCCCAGATATCAATTTTGCCCTGAGGAAGATCGTGTGTTTGTTGAGGCCCAGCAAGGAGATTAACCACGACCCGGTGACGGGGGCCATGAGGATCCGCACTCTCACCACCTTCAAGAACTTCAACATGGATTTCACCATCGGAAAAGAATTCACCGAAGACTTGGGACCAGTGGACGGTCGTACTTGCCAGGTGCGCGTTGTTGGTCTGAATATTAAACGTAGTGGCGTCGGGACGATACTCACTCTCTTTGCACTAGAAACATCTGTAGGATATCACCATATAACTTGGTGTACAGGTTTGCTTTGTGTGATTTTAATTGGGAAAGTCTGCGGAAAGTCAACTGGGCCTCCAGCTGTGTTTTTGTGCTGTGGTTCCCCTCTGCGGCCCCTTTGAGCCCACAATGAGTAATGTTTTTTTTTACCATGAAAAAAACTCATGCGAGCTGCTTCACATACTAATTGCATGCGATGACACAACGCGTATGTCTTCATGCAGACTACAGTGAACTGGGAAGGGGACAACCTGATTTGTGTACAGCGCGGCGAGAAGGAAGGACGGGGATGGACACACTGGCTGGAGGGTGACAAGCTGCATTTGGTAAGTATGTACAGTGTGAGGACGGAGAGGAAAAGGAAACGAGCAAACTGAAAACGCTACAGGAAAAAGTTAAAGTTGATCTGCTAAACATGCAAATGAATCAGGGTTTGGGAGTCATCGTTTCCTTATTCCGTTGCTCAACAGTCCTGTCTTTGTGTGGAGGTTCATTGGGCTGCGGGCAAGTCAACTCCGAGAGAGAGAGCGAGAGAGGGTTTCTTCTCGTTTTGTAAAAAGTCTTGAAGTTTACAAATAATCTCCCAATGCTGATTAAGATTTCAGACAATCTCACTATTGTCTCACGCGCAGGATTTCTTATTGCCGTATCGCAGCTAAGACAAAGCGCCGGGTTGTTTTAAATTTAAGAGGATTGGGAAAAAACTGCTCGGGAGGACAAGGCTCTAAAATGGTGGATGTTGAAGGAGCAGGGAGAAAATAATAAAGAGTGAGTGAGAATAAGGGGGGAGCCAGAGGAGGAAGCAGGGGAGTGGGGTCAATGGAGGAGATGAGTAGAAGGGGAATGAATGGGAGTCTGAGTTTACAAGTTCAGAGAGGGGGGGGGATTGTATTTTGTATACAATCCTGGGTTTGTTGATTACATTTTTAACTATCCTTTGATGTGAACAACAGTGTTACTATTAATTTACACCCCCCCCCCCCCTTCCCCTCCCAACCCCCCGTGTGGTCTTTTCCTCTCTGCAGGAGATGAGAGTTCAAGGCGTCGTTGCCAAGCAAGTCTTCAAGAAGGCTGTTTGAAGTCACCGCTGATTTGTTTTAGTGAATTTATTCTCAGTAGAACCGACTCGGTACAAGTCTGAATAATGTTTATAGAGTTTTTTTTAATTATTGTAATCAACGTTTTTTTTAAATGTCAGAATTAGATTGAACATCTTTGAAACATGTACATCTTAATCATCTGTTGGTACTAACTGAAGAGAGCAGTGGAGCAAAAGAGCTTTCCTGACCTACTTCCTCATATCTATCTTCACAATGTTATAAACAAATCATTCATCCGCCAGACATCACTGCTGCATCTTTAATTCAATGCTCCAACTTTTATATCCGTATCTCGCCGCTGCCCATTTTAAAGTTATGTATAGTTTACAAAAATGGAAATTTACTGTAAATACACATTGGAAGATTACAATTCTGCACCTGAATCAGGGGCTGAAGATTTAACAATACAAGTTTAATTAAGTTATAATTACAAAACAAACCATTTATAATAAAGTTTGAGCCAGGAAATAGACAACAAATCCTATGAAAAGACCAATTATATTGAGATAGGTCTCTCAGCACCCTGTGGCATGCAGCCCCGATCTTATTTGTTTTGTGAAGGTGTAATTAAAGAAAAGCTTGAGACTTGCCAGCTAATATTTAGTCAGACCTAAAAAAAGAGACCAGTAATTCTCTGAAGCAGTTGAACATTGTAGTTTTTAGCAATAGTTGCTAACAGGAGTAAACAGAGCATTTGTCGAGGGTTACTTTCTGTGGAATAATTAACAGTGTGATACATGAGATTAAGCTTAAGTGCTCGGTGTTCATGCTAATTAAGTAACACGTCATCCAGTTGGCGCATTAATATGATGTCAATAGATTTTACACCCGGCATCAATGTCACAGACATACTTGTTAGACGGATTCCGTCATTGTGGTTTTGGCCCTTATCGAACACCGATTCCCATCCAAGGGGCTGACGAGTACAGAGCTGCACAAGGATTTAAATATAATATGTTTGTTCGTTGTGAATGCATAAATATCACATTATATGAGCTGATCTCGTGAAAGTCCTGCAGGGGGCAGCAAACTGTCAGCCACGTTAAACCGTACTCTTAAAAAAACCCAACATGTTTTAAACAGATCCAATTTAAGCTTTTAGAAACTAGTCGCAGCCTCTCCAAGGCGGAGAGGAACTCGGGGCTCCATCGTCATGCTGTTACAAAAATGTTTACTTGATTATGTGCCACACCACTCGTCCTCCTGTGGCTCGGAGTAGGTCCTACGGAAGTTTCCAGTGCAATTTCCTGCACTCCCATTGATGTGGTTGGAGTCAGTAAATGAAACCGAAACCTTCATAGGAGTTATAGGTGGGCTGCTTTCCATGCGTTCTTGAGTGTCACAACCGACCGTATCAACATCTGATGAGGATAAAAAACACACATCAAAGTCATATCAAACATGCTTCAACATCCTAATGAGGCTGACCACTTTATGAGCATAGAGGGTTCTTGTAGAATGGGCTGGAAAGGAGAATCTTTTTTTCATGATAATACAGATTTAAAGGAAAAAGTATCTTTGTTGCTTGTGGGTTTAACACCAGTCGACCCAAAGAAATATTCCACCAATTGTCGTTTTGTTGACAACATAGAGCGCTGTCTAATAAGGGTGGCGAGATTTAATGACTGAGGGCCACAGTGATATGATTCACACCATGTTCTTATTCATCAACGCGTTTGCTTCCTTATGTTCCTCCCCTATTCAAGAATGGCAACAACATGTACAATTTCCATCTTAGTACTTCTTAAAAGGATTGTAACTGCAACTGGAAGAAAAGTGCCACACAGGGCTTGTGTGCAGGTTTAAAAAAAATATTGTCACATATGTATTTACATATACAGTGTTGACAGGTCATTTAGAGCAAGTGAGACAAAGCCCTGTACGTGATGGCAGCAGAAGAAAAGTGTGCGAATGTGTGCGTGTGCGCATGCAGCAATGATCAAGGATCCGGCACCTGAGTTAAAAAGTGGTAGTTTGCAGTTCTCCACGTCACAGCTGTCCAGACAGTGACCGTTCGACTCCAGCTGTGTGACCGGGGCTGCTGGCACCACTTCAACCAGAGAAACAGCAACACTGGAGTCCGCTGTCACATGTAGAATTTTTTTAATATGATCGTAAAGATTGGAATAGTCCTTTTTTTGGCACTTGTAGTCATCCAGATGTGAAGTCACACTGCACATCTGGATGATTGTTCTTTATACGTCTTCCATCACACATTACACACCTGTGGAATTCTACATATGCAAATGCATCTGAAGCACTCACCTCCTGCAGACTTGAAAGGCTGCTGTAAAAATGTCTTTGTTTTCTTTTTATCTGTGGAAATAAAAGTCAGACTTGAGTCACAAATGACGTCACGTTTTGAAAATGGAAAAAAATGATCAGCCGTTGGTCAACACGGCATCGTCATGCTGTGAGTTTGTGGTAATGGCCCAGGATAAGTATCTGTCTTCTCAAGTTGAGTGATCCAGGATAATTGTGTGACTAACCAAATTACGACAAACATGGACTCATTTTGACCGTGGTGACCCTTACTGGGTTAGTCCAGTCACCGGAAGAGTGAGTGACGACTTCTCCGCTCCCCCAGCCATGTTTTCAAACGCTAAAGACTTCAGGTATTTTGTTCTAGGGCAGCGGTTCCCAAACTCAAGAATGCAGCGGCCCACTTTGAAATCTGAAAATCTTTTGCGGCCCACCCAAACCTTTAATCACAACTCTGATCAAAACATAAACTAGGGATGATTAAATGACCTTAAGAATTTAACCGATTAAAAATGTATTAACCGACAATGTATGTTTTGTATACCATTTTCTCCGGAGCTCATGTGCCGTGTTTTCCGCACAATAAGGCGCATAAGATACTGCAGTCTATCACCGCAAATCGCTGTCAAAATTCGAGAGCGCAAATCAGGTGGATGCGCGCGCGTAAATCAAACATCCGCCAGCAAAAGTCCGTCTCGAGCGAGCAAAGGTCCGTCTCGAGCGAGCAAAAGTCCGTCTCGAGCGAGCAAAAGTCCGTCTCGAGCGAGCAAAAGTCCGTCTCGAGCGAGGTATTTGCTCGCTTGCGAGACGTGAACTTCGTTGCTCGCGAGGAGAATCTTTGCTCGCCCACGAAGGAGTTTTCTACGCGCTCGCTGTTGTTCTTTCAGACAGTAAGGGGGCGGAGCCAGTCACATGGTCTCTACACCTGATTGGTTACAAACCCCGTCTTTGGATTGGCTGGAGTGATGGATTCACACAACTATAGAAGCCCATTTCCGCACTGAAGAAAGGGGATAGAAAGTCGAAGTTATGAGATAAAACGTTGTCAAAACACAAACGACACCTTTATGTAACCGTAGTGGACCGTAGATGACAACCAGCTACAACCATCATTTACCATCATTACCGGCACATTAAGACCAATGCGTTCAGCTCGCAGACCGGCTGGTGATTTTCCGCCATAGCAGTCAAACGTTTGGCGTCGGGGCGGGTGGATGGGGGGGGGGGGGGGGTGAGGTGGAGACGGTGCTTTCAGGGTCCGATCAATGCTGCAAGGTGCGTCCGCTCCCGCCGCCGCCCTCGCCATCCACGCCTTAAATCTCCGGCTGCTCTACAGCCACGCCGCCTGCCAAGGGCCCCTTTTAGAAGAACTTATTTTCCCCGTTAAGATGGTTCAGCTTCTGTAAAGAAAAGGGCGCCGTCTCTCGCTCGACAACGACAGCTTTGTTTCTCCGACGCGCCCTGAAACTAGCTCCATATCTCACGCGCTCGAGCTAGGGTATTAAATATGTCAATAGGTACTCCTCACTTGCATTTTGAAGCTTTCAAAAGGCTATTTTTAAACAAGTGCCTAAATTATCACACAAACTAGATTCAACGATTAAGTATCATAATTTTACCTTATTTTTCTTCAATAATCAAAAATCCAATGGAAATATCCCATTGGCTTTTTTAATAGGGAACCGGTATCGTGTTAACTTTTGAGGTTGACCTTCAAAAGTGCGTCAGTTGTGAAACTCAACCTTTTCTTGATTAAGTGAGCATGTTTGGATGTGTTTTCCTGTATTGGCTCATTGCTTCAGTGGAAATACAGTAAATTACAATAAAATACCACCAAATGCGTAGGTCTCTATGAGTGGTTGCCTTTGAAGCGTACGTCACATTATACCAGATCATTGCGGCAGGCTGAATACATACAGGATGTGGTTTTCTCATTCTGTTTGTCATCCTCTGTTCTTCAACATCACATTAAAAAGCTCCCCATTCAACCTCTCTGGGACTTTCTTTTGTACACTTTCCTGCCTTTAAATTGTGTGAAGATCACACTTATTCTGCACTATAAGCATGATGAAATCAGGTATGTGAATTCAATTTGACCTGAGATTTCAACGATAGCTTATCTTTAAAGGAAACCCTGTGAGGTATTTGTGAAAGACATAAGCAGTGACCTTCTCATGTGTCTCGTAGTTTTGTACGTGGTAATTACCAGTAATTGTGTACCAAGGTTGGTACACAACCTTTAACCAAAGTGTGTGAAAAACAGAGATGAAACGCACGCCCGGACATTTTAGACATTTACGCATTTACCGCTCTGTATGACCTACGTTTTGACCTCCAGCAGATGAGACCAAAGAGGATGAGTGCAGTCAACAAGAGTCCTGACCACAAGCTGGTGGGTAATATCCAGGAACAATCTGATGAACAGAGGAAAGGGAATTTAGAGAGACACAAATAAGCAGCAATGGAGTTGAAAGGTGAGATTATTCTCATGTGTGTTTACTAATGAATCTTTTTTTTAGCAATAATTATATCATGAATGAGTGTTGCTGTCACCGATATCACAAAACTGAAACTTTAGCATAGCGTTGAAAACGAAAACGTTACTATGGATTTGTTTGTCAAAATGCTTTTTTTTTTACATGATTAATGACTGACTTTAATCAACATGTGATGTTGAAAAAAACTAAATCCAATGGCAATTTGTTATTCATTTTCTGTATTCAGTATTTCTGTTTTTTTCCAGTAAAGATGGACGAGCAGGCATCTTGATTTTAATCCTTAATTTTTGTATGTTTGCAACTTCTACTTCCTCTCTTCTGGTCATACAGGAACTAAAGGTCAACAGGAACTCATTCATCACACAGGATAAGAACATACACGGCACAAAGTACTCATTACGGTTTTTAAGATCTAAAGTTATTAAAAACATTTGTAAAAGCAGCGTTGATGTTAAAATTGAGACCTACGAGTTATGAAGTTGCCACAGATGGCATCAGTTGCCGCATTTCCTTGCGTTTTGAACACTTTCCCGAAGTCCTGACATCTGAAAATAACATACAGACCCAAACAAATTAAAATCCCCAAAAATGAGTAATGAAGCCATAACTAGGGTTGCAAAGGATTGGTAAATTTCTATAAAATTTAAGGAAATCTTCCAAGGGAAGTTAGGCTCAGGTATTTACTAAATCTAGATTTAGTAATGCTTTTTTTAGGGGGCTCGACAGCTGACTAATAAATAATGCATCCTATTCTATCCCAATACATACATCCACATCCTTCAGCTTTTAAAAAACGGTGGAGACGCAATCTGACCTGGTGTGTGTTTGACAGAGCGAGTAGGAATCTGTCACATTGCTGTACGTTCCGCCTGGACACGGAGCACAGACTGTGTCAGTCGTGCGAGTGGCTGCGAAAAAACGAAAAGAAGAAGGGGGTTTTCAGTTGCCATGGTAGACTGTTTTTGTAAAGTATGAATGCTTGCTGTAGCCCTACTGCATTATCATTTATATGGCATTTTACAATGGAAGCTTACCATGAACCTTGACCCCTTCTCCCGGACGGCATTCGGTCAGTGGTTGGCAGTGGTCACAGTGCTCATCGTTGCAATAGAAACCCATCATACACTTACACACAGTGTCCTCTTGAGCTGTACAGTCCTTTAGTTTCTCCTGATTGTTAACTGAAAGAGTCAGAGAGATAAATAGTCTGTGCTGGAAGGAGGATCAGTCTTCTGTTGCTGCTATTAAAGTCTCAATCTTTGTTGCGTGTGTGAATATTTGGTCCCTATTAAGGATAGAGCAGTGGTATAGAAAGTACTACACACTTTTACTTTATGTAACTATGCACTATGAATAAGCATCACGGTTTAACTGTTCGCCTCGCAAAAATGTTGTATTTTCTGTAACATTCTCATTTGAACCACAGCTTTTTAGGCTGTGGTTTTGTATGGGCCTCTAATAGCTCTTTACTGAAACTAGGTGACGTGAACACTAAGTGAATATTTAATTTTTTTTTCTCCATTTCAGGTCAATATTCCTGGTATGTTCCAAACCCGGTTTTCCATTTATATTTATAATAACGTTAGAATAATGTAGACAAAAAAGTTTTGTGACAGTAAGTTGTGTAACTACTGATCTCCACTGATTAAAATGGAAGAGAGGTAAAAAAAAAAACAGTTGTAATGAACACTACAGAAGAAATGTGTGTGCGTGTGTGTGATCATGTACAATACTACATGTGTGTGTGTTGGACTTACTAGAAATGCATTCCTTGCAGGCTTGACATTTCTTCAAGTGATTTTTTGTGGCCGTGTACCCGCCGCGTCCACATTCAGCACACACAGATTGTTTTTCGCCTTGACACTCAGCTACGATGTACTGTCCTGAGAGAGATCAGGAAACAAAGATATACACACGAATGTCAGGCTGTTACTCAAATTCAGTGTGTGAGGAACACTGAAACGCTGAATAAACACTGATAGCAGCGTACTGTAATATAAAGAAGGTTGTCATCCAATGAGAAAAGACAGAGATACGTTAGCAACAACCGTAGCTTGAAGATGGTGACTGACCTGCAGCACAGCGATCGCAGCATGTCCCATTTACCTTGTACGTATCCCCACTGCAATTCGGATCAGCCATTACAATCCTCTACCTGTGTGCAAAAAAACTAAGTTGAAGACTACAAGGAAAATCTTTCTCCTCACTCTTCCTCGAAACCTGTTCATAACACGAGATAGAACAGTTACTTAGTTTTCTTAGCTCAAGGAGCATCGGTCAAAATGCAAACTCTTGATCCTATTGTCTTTTTCTGACTGTCTCTGCTTTCTTTCTGCTGTCTGAACCGTCTCCGACTAAATATGTGTTTCCCCTTCTCGGTCGGCTTTACCCACTTCGCAAGTTTTTTCTAATCCTACACAGTGGGAAACCCCAGTGACCCTAATTTGCTGTTTTCCCCTCCATCTCTCTCTCTCTCTCTCTCTCTCGTTTCCTTCCTGTCCTAGGCCTCTCGCTGCAAAGTGAGCTGTGTGTGTTTCCGTATCGCTGAAGAATCAGAGGCGGATTTTGGCACTCTTATTGCACATTAAGACATTTCCTCTCTCCGCTACACTCTTTCCCTTCAGTCCATTGTTTCACTGAGCCTTTGTCCCACAGTGTCACAGGTACGCTGCCAAAGACATTTTGTAGTTAAGAGTCGAGCTAAAATGGGTTTTGGCTCGGCCTGTTTTCCTGCTTTCCCGTTTACCGGCAGTCACTCCCTTGTTACTGCACACATACAAAAAAAAAAAAGGTTTATAAAATGCCTGCGTCTGCAAAATATGAGTGAGAGAGAGAGCGAGAGGGGAGGGGGTAGAAAGAACATTATGGAGAAAAGGGGAAGGAGCCATGTTGATAGTTTTGTTTTCGAATAGATTTGATCGGTTCAGGATGATGAGATTAAGGTGGGTTGGATTCTTACATTTTAGCACATTAAAAGCGATTACCACACTGTTATGATTAGCGATATTTGTGTGGAGTCCTTTTAAGATGTGGTGATGTTAACACTTTGTGGCATTGGGAATTTGTGATTCATCGTCTCTGGCTCTCCCATTAAGTAATATCTCATTCTCTCCTAACTTTTCTTGTCTACGCCTTTCCTCCTCTCTCCCCTCCTTTCCTTTACATTGTATATCGCCTCCTCCCTTGAATTTCCGTATCTTCCATACCCTCCCCCAGTCTTCTGCTTCTCCTTCTGCACCGCCCGGCCTGCTCGTTGCTGCTGGGATGGGTGGATTCTCCAGGGTATCCCGCTGGATATTTGCCCCATGCCAGTCTAAACTGGAGCAGGTGTGCCCCCAAGGGCCACACCCTCTCCATCAGGCTCATGCACCTGGACCTGGAGGAGAGCAAAGACTGTGAAAACGATGCAGTAAAGGTCTGGTGCCGCGCTAAATGTGTGCTAAACTTTAGATGACTGTGCAGTGAGAAGTTGAGGTTTATAATTAAAAAACGGTAATGTTGTCGTGTCCTCTACAACCCCATTATTTCCCAGATCTTTTCAAATGGAAACTTGATCTCAGTTCTGTGTGGCGGAAGAGAATTTGAGGATCTTGAGTCCAATGTTAATCCCTCGCTCCTCTCCTCCCCGGGGGGCTGCCTCTCTCTTACCTTCCACTCCGACTACTCAAACACCAAGAGGCACACGGGCTTCAGAGGGTTCTACACCGATCAAGGTGAGATGTAGAGAAGGAAATAAATGAAATACTGAGTTGTAAAAGTCTCACCAAAGTCTATTGTATTGGTGCACAATCACAAGGAGAGTTCAATTTGTACATGAATGCATTCAATCATTGTGAATACTTTTGTAATCACACTGTCAACCGTTAGGAAGGGGACAGTCTTATACAATTAATAAAAGTTGGTTTATAGTTTAGCTGAAGTTTAGCGGAAACATATACATTTTAAGAAATAATTATTGTCATAAACGATGGTGATGTCACGTGAGCTGTGTCTTATTTTCTAATCTCAAATGAATAAGTGAAGCCCTTTGCTTGAAGGAGATCTTTAGCTTTAAGACTTTCAGTTTCATTTCAAAGGTGCTGACTGTTGTTTGTGTCTGATTGAAGTCCAGACAGCTTCAGCTTCAGCTTTGTTCAGAGCTAAACACCCGATGGCCCCAGCTACGTCTTTAAAGTCTAGATATGAGATCATGTGTTGAGCTTCTCATATTAATAGTGCTGTATTGTAAGTAGCTGTATGCCGGATGCTTGGGGGTTGTACAAAGTGAATCATCCGCACTAAAGCAACATGTGGCCTTTAAACTGACCTTTAATTAAATTTGCTCCCTCAGACTTTGATGAATGTAACGACGACCCCGACAACGCATGCACCCACTTCTGTCACAACCACATCGGAGGGTACCGCTGCTCCTGTCGCCATGGTTACTACCTGGATGGGGACAATCACACTTGCACGGGTACAAATAATATCATGACTGGAATCACTTAAACGCTTACAGAATTATGAGTTCACATTAGACAGAAGTGAAAAGGGGGAAATAGAGGAAGCGGAAGCAGTCCGACTGCGGGGAGGGAGGAGACGAGGAGAATTAAACAATACAGGCTGATTGTGTAATCCCTGATTATGTCGAGTGTTTTCTCTAACACAGTGAGCTGTAGTGAGGATCTGTCAGGGAGGCACAGTGGTGACATCTCCAGTCCCTCCTGGCCTGCTTCATATGCAGAGAATGCCAACTGTCAGCACACCTTGTCAGTGGAGCCCACCCTGCAACTGGAGATGCACTTCTCTGAAGATTTTGATGTGGAGCAAAGCCCTGATGGTCAATGCATAGATGCACTGACGGTAGGTGTGGGGTTCAAATACCTAATTAACACATTTTTTTAACGCTTCTAACTGGACAGAGCAAGACACACAATTTAAGTTCAGACAAACGCATTGTAACCACACATTTAACAAGTGGTATATGTTTTACTTTGACCATTTTATAGGCTCTCCACATTTTCATGGTTTTTAGTCGGTAGGTAGTGACGATCAGAAAGCTCTTTGTCTCAGCAGACAAATGTCTTTTAACAACAGTGGATTTATTAGGCACCGTACAGGGGACACACATACAAAGTTAATTGATCAGAGAGGAATTTAAGACAGGTAGAAAGTGCAACATTACCTTTAATGTGTTTTGGTTTACAGATTGAGACTCGCAACCCCTCTCGGATTCTGGGACCATTCTGTGGCCACAGCCCCCCCCCATCTCCCTTCCTCACTCACTCACATCATGTTAAAATACGCTTCACCTCTGATGGCTACGGCAGCAACAAAGGCTTCACGATCCACTTCAAGACCAGAGGTACTGCTGTCTCCTCTCTGGTGACACGCGGGGAAGGCAGTATTTGATAGTGACGTTTGTTGGAAACTGATCACAGATGAGCCTGATAACTCCTTTCCACAGCCAAGGTCTGTCCAGCAGTGGTGACCCCGTACTCGACTGCGACTCCTCAGCAACCGGAATATCACGAGGGTCAAACAGTGACAGTCACTTGTGATCTTGGCTACATTATAAATTCTGTGAGTGTACAGATAACCAGAGGTTTCAATGCATTTTAAGTCTGTTGTATTTCAGCCACTTTTGAGCTAAATCAGTTCTGATTTTGCAAAGCAGGAAGAAACCAGGACCGAGTATGTGGCGCATTGTCAGAATACGGGCGAATGGACTCCAAACAACATCTGTGAACGTGAGTTTGAATTAAAACATTTTTCCTGAAAATAAGTTTGAACTTTTGTGGTTTTTCACCACCTTGTTTTTCCGCCCCTCCTCCACATGTAGCTGTGGATTGTGGAGTTCCTGAAATCCCAGAAGATGGCATCCTTCAGTTGGTGTACTCAGATGAACTGAATACTCAGTATAAAGACCAGATTCACTTTACCTGCAGCTCTAAGTACTACACACTGGAAGGAGATGGTGATTATTTTGAGCTAGAACATTGTTCAGATTACTTTCCTTGACTAGCTTTTAAGAATGCACATTTTTCTAGTGTTAGTAATTTGTTGTTTTACCAAAAATATCTCTTTAATCCTTCAGACACGTACACTTGCAGTGCCAGTGGTGACTGGGTATCAGGTGGAGACAAGAAGGAGATGCCAAAATGCACTGAAGGTACGACGCTGTATGTGCTGTTTCTCACGTTCTCTCATATGAGCTGCTTTTGAATCAAATTAATCCATTCAGGACTCCTTCTCTATTTCAGTGTGCGGGAAACCTGAAAAACACCACGCGAGTGTAGCCCGGATTTTGGGAGGTAGGGATGCAACCATGGGGGAGATACCGTGGATTCTTCTGATTAAGTGGCCAAATAGAGGAGGAGCATCACTGATCAATGACCGATGGGCTGTCACGGCGGCTCATGTTGTGGAACTAGTAGAAGAAAGCTCTCTGAAACTGTACGGTGGACTGGTAGATGGAAGAACAATATCAGATGCGTTGTCCAATGTAGTTGTCATGGAAAGTGAGAAAATCATAATTCATCCCAATTATATCACAGGCATTCCTCTTTCAGAACGCACCAATTTTGACAATGATATTGCCCTCATTAGATTGGCTTCCAGGGTGAATTTCGGCCCAAACCTCCTCCCCATTTGTCTGCCGGAGGTGAACAGCGTAATGACAGAAGGTGAGCAGGGCACGGTGTCAGGCTGGGGGAAAACCGAATCAAGGTCTGCGTCTCCTTCGTTAAAATACGCTCATATAGGGGTCTACTCCCTTGCGGTGTGTGCGAATACGCCTTACATACCGGCAACGGACCAACACATGACTATGACAGCTAACATGTTCTGTGCTGGAGCCCCGGGGAAGGACAGCTGCCAGAGAGACAGTGGATCTCCGTTTGTTTCACCCATGTTGGCTGAAGGCAATGAGCCCTATTTTCTGACTGGCATTGTGTCCTGGGGACCCCCCTGTCAACAGAGGCAGTACAAGGGTTATTATACCAAGGTGGCTGGTTATGTGGACTGGATTAAGGAGACAATGGAACAGCAGAAAGGATAAAACAACAGCAGGGTCCTAGAGGAAGGAAAGATGAGGAAGAAAATCATTTTCTTCTAAACATAATAATAATCAATTCAGATTTCTTAAATAATTTTTTTTTGAAAAAAAAATACAATCCTGTATTTAAATGTACCAACATTAACACCATCATGCTATGATCACCTTGTTACTTCATACTTCCCTTTTTGAATTAAAGGAATTTGCAAAATAACTTCAGAGAATGTGTGTTTTAATTGTATTTCTGTCTCAATGCATTTTTTCAGGGATCAAAACACTCCAAACAATACTAACTCAAAAAATGTTTTAAAAAAAACTCAAAATATATTTGGTCAAAAATCTCAAAAGTGAAAACATATTTTCAAAGTCAAAATATATTATCTCGAAAAATACCAAAATACATTGTACAGTACTGTACGTAAGTAACACATTTTTCATCATATTGCCCTGTATTTATTTGTCTCAGGGTTTATTTGACAACCCAATAATATGACTGATGATGACTCTTAAGCCGCTTTGTAATAAACCAGGCAACCAGTGCTTAATTTCCTCCTATTATTTTCTATGGCCTGTAAGCACCAATCAGCTGCATCTCACAATGCTTTCATAACGAAATAACTTGCGCTTCTCAAGGGAAAGTAAGCTGAAAAAAGTTCAATACCACCCTCAAGTGGTAGAAAGGTGTTTATGGGTGAAGAAGCTAGAGTTTGACATAATGGGACCTGAGAGGTAACGTTAAAATGGGGATTATTTTTTAGATAATGGATCATCTAAAATAAAGGAAATAGACCAAAATTACTAATCTAATTTCCCAATTCTTTATTTTAAAGGAATTGTTTGGAGCATTGACCCTGTTTTTCTACAATTCAAAGTCAAGAGTTCAATTCTTTTTGCCAAGACAAACAAGGTTTATTCCTGGCATCAACGCAGTGAGTTTCTAAACACTGGAAATCACTGACTTTGGTTACATTGCTGTTTCATTTGAAGGTGAGACATTCGCTCCTGCAGCAGCGGATCAGTTCACACTCGGATATGAGATTTAATCCAGAGATGGGGTGGACTCTCTGTATCATTTTGTAAGTTTTAACAGACTTTAAAACCAATGTGTTTGTTAGAATTCAATTTTATTTTGAATTGAATTATTAATTTCTAGCTTGATTCCAAAACCCACTGTGCATATCTGCTGCCGTTGTAGAGCTGCTTCTTGTATCATTTTGGATCTTCTATACTGCCAACATATGAGCACTTTTTTATAAGTTGACTGTCTAAACTGTCTAAAACAGCATTGTGCAATAGTGTGTATTGTGTCACTGTGTTTGTTCTTTTTCTGTTTGCACCAACTTTGACCTCTCCTACCCCTGCACCTTTGCAGGGTTCTGCATGTGTCCGTGTGCGAGTGCTGGCCTCTGCCTGATCCAGAGCCTCTAATGCACGGAGCGCTCCAGTCCCCCCAGTATCCCCAGCCTTACCCCCCCAACCTGCTGGAGCAGTGGGAGCTCAGTGTGCCCGAGGGCTACCAGATCCAAATCACCTTCACACACCTGGACATTGAAGCTTCTGCAGGCTGCTATTACGACGCCCTCACAGTCAGAGCTATTCTCCCACACATACGAAATACACAAAAGACCAGTGCTGAGGTGTTTGGGTTCTGAGCTAAAGGACGACTTAAACAACTTGACTCAGGCTTGAGGATTGAAGATTTGCTAACATACATCTCCATGTTTGTGGTTATTGCCAAATATGCTTTGGTGAATCTCAGTTTTAGTAGCTGCATGGAGGGTATAGAGTGGTCTCTCATTGGTGCTGAATCAAGTATGTCCCACTTTAGCTACTGCAGTTTAGTAGGCGCTAACTACCTTTAGTTTGATCTGTAGCATACAACGGGTTACCAAAGCTACTGCTGCTGAAACATGCGTTGATCAGTGCAGTGATAATCAGCCCAAATTGATAAGCAATGAGTTGAAAGATGCTAAAAAAAAGACTCACACTTAGAACTTAGGACTCAAAGATAGAAGACCAGGTGCAACTTTGAGCAGCACCTGCTGCATCGCTGCAATTTTATTTGGCTGCCGATACGTGCTACATGATGTATTAAACCCTTTTCACAGCAATAAATCCATCTTTTTTACCTTTAAGGTACTCTATGACGCAAAGATCCTGGGAAAGTTTTGTGGGCATGAGAACTCGGCCGATGGGCATCATCCAGGCAATCAGCCCATCCTGTCTCCAGGCAACAGACTCAGCCTGACATTCCAGACGGACAACAACAACCCAGAGCGCCATCAAAATGTGGGCTTCTCAGCACAGTACCAGGCCATAGGTAGCACCCGTCTAGTTTCTGTCACTTCCCTCTTCAACTACGGAACGACCTCCCGCTAACTTACTGTGTTTCTCCATATCAGACATGGATGAGTGTTCTGCGCCCCGACCTCAAGATGACCCAGATCCCCTCTGCTCTCACATCTGCCTCAACACCCTTGGCTCATACCTCTGCGCCTGTCACCATGGCTACGAGCTTCGGCCGGACCAGCGCAGCTGTGTGTGTGAGTATTGCGCAAGTGGGGAAGAATGACAAGTCAAACTTTTGTCACACAATTTTGAACCACTGTGACCAAATCTAATGTCTATTTCAGTCAGTGGTAGTGTCAAAGAACTGAGCGTTTATAACAAATTACAATTCAATTAGCCTTTTCTCTTTAAGGCAATAAAGAGTTTGATACAAACAACACATTTGGATCTCAGAAAATGTGGCATTGGTGTGCTGGTAACTAAGCTGCTGACCGGTAAGCATGATTGATTCCTGATTGAATTTAACCTGAACATTCCTTTACCAATTTCGCAGTATCCTGCGGCGGGGGTATATTTGATGAGCTAGAAGGACATCTGTTCAGTCCAGGATACCCGACCCCGCCCCCTCATGCTGTGTCCTGCCAGTACATAATTTCTGTAGAACCTGGCTTTACCGTCGCTCTGAACTTCACCGACATCTTCCACATCGAGAGCGTGCAAACCGAGCAAGGCCCAAACTGTCTCCATCATTGGCTGCAGGTAACGATAAGCAGCTACATGAAAAAATGGAAGCAATCCGAGCATTACAAACTATGTTAATGATTGAGCTGTCAACTCCTCTCCTTGAAAAGGTGACCATCCCAGACAGAGAGCCCATGAAGCTGTGTGGTGAAAAGAGTCCCGATCTGATAGTCACCGACTCCAACACCATCCGACTGGACTACCACACTGATGATGAGGGCCTGAGCAAAGGCTGGAGCCTGGACTACAGCACTCATCGTGAGGGAGAGAGGAATGGGGGCAGAACAAAGCCAGTGAGCATGTATGCAGCTGTTGTCACATGTCTGCTTGTATTTGTTGTTTCCAGGAGTAAAGTGTCCATTTCCTGGTAATTTGGCCAATGGACGGGTGACTCCTATCTTGACTGAATATTTCTACAGAGACTACATCTTTGTGCGCTGTGACCAAGGATACAAGCTGATGATGGTTAGATGAAACTTTTATTTGTCGATGTAACAGATAAAACTAAATATCGGCTGATGTTTTATCAGTTCCCCTGTTTTCTCTGTCAGGACGGTGAAGAGGTCGAGGGTTTCTCTACAATGTGCCAAAGCAATGCACAGTGGCACCTCCCTCTGCCAGAATGCCACAGTACGCTACCCGAAAGCTGCGACACAACCCCCATTCTCAAATGAATAGAATTACAATTTGTTACAAGTTGTGTCAAGTTGATCATTTTTGTGTTACTGTAACGGCAATTTGTTCTGTTCTTCTGCAGTACTTGATTGCGGAGAACCTGAATCTTTGCTGAATGGAGGGGTGACCTTCCTGTCTGGCCTTCAGAATCAGTACCTTTCTGTCATCCAGTATCACTGCAACGAACCATTTTACTCTCTCCTCGGTGGTGCAAACGGTGAGACATCAACATACAGGCTTCTATAATGAACAGTTTCGAAACGATCCTACCCTACCCAGTGGCCGTTAGTTCGCCAACTCCATCCAATACATTATCATTGCGCTGTAGTAAAGTTTAAAAAAAGTTTGCTCGGCAGTTGTCTACACCTGTGAGGCGGACAGGAGGTGGAGATCAAACAGCAGTATTGTTGTCCGTCCAACATGCATACCAGGTATTTGCTTTTCATTAAAGAGATAAAACCCCATAAACCCAAAGATAGATCTCAAATGGATCAAAAAGTCTGTACTTTGATAAATACATATACATCTGTATCCCTCCAGTTTGTGGCCAGCCCACAACTCTCCTCTCCTCCTATCAAAGGATCATTGGAGGCAGTGATGCTCCAGAAAATAGCATCCCCTGGCAAGTGCTACTGAGTTTAAATGGACATAGAGGGGGAGGCATGGTGATTGGAGACCGCTGGATAATGACCGCCGCTCACAATGTAATGGCAAATGGAAATCCAGTTTCAAGCGAGAATGTTCGTGTAAGTGGGCTAGTAGAGGTGTCAACTGCATCCCCATCGCCTCCATGATCTAAGACCAAAATTTCCATTCTGTTGATTTTCAGATTTTCATGGGACTTAATGATGTTAACACCCTTTTGGTCTCTCCTGTGATTGCTGCCTCAATCCACATTCACCCTCAATACAATAACCCCAACTACGTGGATTTCAACCATGACATTGCCTTGATCAAAATGCAAGACCCAGTCACGTTCAACTCATCCATTATGCCAATATGTTTACCAGCAGAGGGCACAGCTTACATCCCCGGCACCATGGGGTAAGTTTGCAACTGTTTTGTTTCATTACGCTGTATTATCCATTTTATGTTCCTTTATTTATCTGCTCCACTTAAAGACTAATAAATCAGTCAACACTGGTAATGTTAGTTTGCCAGGTGTTTTTATTACCGCTGACAGACTTTCCCAGTACAATAGTGTCAGAAAAGTAGCCCGGAAGAAGTAGTCCCAAAAGCTTAGCTTTTTTCTACTTTTGTTTGACTATCCCCTCCACTTTTTTCAGACTGGTGACTGGTTTTGGAGTAACAGCAACTACCAGAGGAAGGATTTTGACAAATAAGATGAAGTATGTGCATGTCCCTGTGGTGACGCAGGAGACATGCAGTAATTCTATCACTTTGTTGAAGAAGACGGGGACCAATGTACCAAGTCTGACAAATAACATGTTTTGTGCTGGAGTCCCTGAAGGGGGGAAGGACTCCTGCCAAGGTGACAGCGGAGGACCCTACGCCTTGAGAAACGACGGACGGTTCTGGGCGGCTGGGATTGTCAGCTGGGGAGTTGAATGTGGAAAGCAGGGAGCATATGGAGTCTATACCAAAGTCGACCAATACAGAGACTGGATCGACAAGACGATGCAGGAGAACTAAAATGTACATTACCCCGATTCATGACAACGCAATACCAATAGAGAACAAAATCAGGATTTTAAATAATTTTTGAACTTCCAAAATCTAATAAATTAGTGTTATACTCATTGTAAAGTCGTCAGACAGTATTAAAATGTAATTTCCCAAAAGCATTTTATTTTTTACAAATAAAGTGAAATACAGACTTAAATGTGCCTTATTATGTATGTACCTAATACATATTGCCAAATAAAAACAAACGAGTAAGAATGTCTCATAAAGATCGTCCTTCTAGATCTTCCTATTAGATGATGACGGTGATGAGCAGGTTGAGACTATATATATACGCCGGCACGTGTCGGCCATCTTGGTACGGGTCAGCTCGCGGACGAGACATCAAACCTTTATATATATCTATGGCTTTTACAGCCTATGTCAGCCCTGTGAGGCGGGGGACTTAAAATATAATAAAAAATAAGATACATTTATGAAAAAGGTACCAGCAACGCCACCTAGTTGCGGAGTCTAGGTCTCCATAAAATAGGTTCTTGTTCACCAGAGGAAGAACAGCATGGATCACAAGACTTAAAAGCGTGGTTTAAAGGAGGATTTTATTATTAACTAAAAACCCATAAATAACTACAATATTAAAAGTCCAGCTGGAACAAAGTACTAAAAAGAATTCGACCAGCCACTGCTGCTGATCGGTCTTGCCCTTTCTTCTTGTTTCCGGTTCCGTTCCTTTCCTGGGTGAGGTGTCCAGTCCGTTTCGTTCCTCTACTCGTTGCACCCTGCCTGCTCGTCCGTTGTCTGGCCGCCCTCTCGCTTGATTTCCTGTGGCTTCTCCTGCCCGTGGCTTCACCTTTCTGTGGCCTCCCTTCCTGTGGCTCCCCTGCCCGTGGCTTCACCTTTCTGTGGCCTTCCTTCCTGCGGCTCCCCTGCCCGTGGCTTCACCTTTCTGTGGCTTCCCTTCCTGTGGCCCTCCTCTTTCTGCCGTGCTTAGTGCCCTTTATAGCAGCTGTGTTAATTGGAGAGGGGAGGTCCTTTCATTGTGTAATGTGGTTGGCCAGGGCTCTCTGTAATTGATTAGTCCCTCCAGGTGCATGTAGTTTACTGAAAGGTGGGTTAATATGTAAAAATGTAATAAAACAAACCATGCAAAAATGTAATAAAACAAACCACGCTAAAATGTAAAAACAAGCCATGCTAAAATGCAAAACCAATAATTTACAGAAACCACGATGTCCCCCTGGTGACACCTACAGTAGTATCAGAGGTCACATCCAGACGGTATGGTGCCACATTATTGTTCGTTTGTAGCCATGTTTGTGTCCGCATGACGGATATGTGTCTATGTTTGTGCCTACCCCTTTTCTAACTCTACATCCTGAGGTAGCTGACCTCAGGATACTACCGTTATTTTGTATATATTATTATTAGTAACACATTCATAGATGAAGTCTATTGCAAATAGTGTTTGCATACACATATCTTTGAAGCATATAAAGGTAGAACGTACAAAGATTCCTACCATGCCCTTAATTACACGAGCGATGAAGGCTTGTGCTCGTTTCCATTGTGACCGATGACGCGCCCTGCGCTCTTCTCTCATTGGATGACGGCGTCGGCTTGCTTTCATTTTCTTCCTTCCACTGCTGCGTTACGCGCATGAACCCGAGTTCCTGTTCACCGTCCAGCTCACAGTTTGTTATACGATTATTTAATATCGGGATAAATAGACGTGGTTGTTCGCGCGATCGATGTGACGGAGGGAGGCTGTAAATACTCAAACGACAGCGGTGCAATGATCTGCCGTCAGGTGTCGAAGTCAAAAGCGAAAGTGCGGCGGGGCTTTTGCGTTCACTGCAGTTGTTTCACTTTGTTTCGGTGTTGTACTCTGCTGACTTAAAACTATTCCTTACGGAATAAAAACGCGGAAACAAGATCCCACGAAAAAAGATCCCATGAAGATGATCGTGGTTATTTTGTTTGGATTCTTCCTGACGTGCGTTTGTGGTAAGAACATTTTACAATGTCTAAGAGAGCATATTTCAGCTCTGTGAATTTGAAAGTGTTGTTGCACACTTTAATAGAATCAAACTAGTCTTACATCTGAACATGCAGTTTAAACATACAACACACATTTACAACATCCTTAGTAATAGACAAAATAAATGACGCATTCCTTTTATTAATGTTTTATAGTAGTTTTGTTTACTCAATTGTGGCCAAAAATGTAAACCTTTTCAGAATGTTGAAATTGGTAAATCTTGACTCTTTGTCCCCTTGTTTCTCAGCTGACGGGGTTGCAGATGTGGTACTTTCCTGCACCCTGGTGGAGGAGGGAATGGGAGGGGGGACATCCCTCACGCGAACCCCAGCCACTCTCATCTTAAGAGACGTCCCGGTGCCTTCTGACGAATCACTTGAAACACTCACTCCGTTTGTGCCGACATCAATCCCAGACCCAGACGCCATCCTTTTGGAAGTTAAAGGTCGTCCCCGGCTTCTCTACATTTACGGTTCGGTGTATCACATAAGCAAATCCTTGTGTTGAACTCGTCCTTTCATCCCCTCGTTTGCAGTGTCATCACCCGAGATCCCCAACGCACATCTGTTGCTCCACGCGGACTGCAATGAGCAGGAGGTGATGTGCGAAATGAGCCGATACTCTCCTCACGGATCCCAGGAAAGTCCAGCATCAACTTATTTCATGGTGTCCCTTGATGTGGAGGGAGTGGAGTTCGGCACTTCCTTGATTCTGCAGACTTTGGTGGTAGAGAAGGATCAGTCGACCCTCATTCAAAACAAACTGGGTCTGCCTCTCAGCCGGTCAGGAACTATTCTGTCTGAGGGTGAGATTTTACTTTTAGATATTAAGTAAATTGTTTTAATGCGTGTTTGCTGGTTGTGGAGATATCAGACAGGTCGACACAGAGATATCGTTTTTTTCTCCAATATAAAGGGGACAAATGACGCTTGGCTTGTGTCTTTTTTGCATTTTCGGCATCATAAGCCAAGCGCCATGCAGCCCTATTACATTTGAGAGCTGGCGAACAACTCGACGGCTAATATCTTCAAAACAAAGCAACTGGTACAGAAACAAGATACATTTATAAAAAGCACCATAGAGGAAAGACATATATGTTTGGGAGTTTGGTGTGAAAATTCCTTTCGATATCTCATTTCATCTTCTCATTGAATTGTTCATGTCACCACTTCTTCTTCTTCTTTTGTTTTTGCCCTCAGTGATCTTCTTGGTGTATTCCCACATGAAGTCTGTGTCTGCCCCTCTGAGAGGCAACGTTATCCTCGACTGTGGCTTCAAGCAGCAAGAGATACCATTAGCGCAGGAGGTGGCCGTTGAATGGCGACTGCAGCACAGGGGGAAAGGGTGGAAAGTGCTCGAAATGAAGACCCGGCTGGATGAGGCAGAAGGAAGCGCAGTGGGTGAGTGCTGTGGGAGCAGGTGGGCCAAACCTCTTCTGGTTTATCCTGCGACTTTAGGTGAGAGTGACAGCGCTGATGAAGATGATGATGATGATGATGATGATGATGATGGTGCAACAATGCTTCATTGGCATGGAAGTACTCAAAATTCAAAACGCCAATTTATAGGGAGGCTTCGTGCACAATGTCGGCAAGTTTCATAACTGCAAAATGATTCTTGTCAAGTGGCTGTTTAGCACTAAAATATTAACTTTAACTCTACAAATCTGTTGTTGGCAGATTTGTAAAACATTGGTCTGTAAGTAATGCATCAGAACAACAAAAGATTTTTCAAGTTGAAGAATGAGAATTGTTCAAGCCAATGAAATTAGCTGTCAAACCACAGAATAAGGATCAGTTTAAGCAGACAAATACAGACATGAATGAATAGATAGAGAAACAGACTACTATTTATTTGATTTTATGATGAGTTTTAATTATTAACCCCAAGTCTCGTCTGTTTGTGTGTTCAATTACTTAAATTAATATAATGAACGTCAAATTCAAAGGCATTAACATTTAAACATTTCATTTGTTCTGTTTGATCAAAAGCTCTAATGCTAATCAAACTTAAACTTTCAACAGCCACAGCTAAATGTCAGATCAGTACTGATCTCTTCTAGTCCTCCCACATTTGTGTATTTTACGCAGATTTCTTTATCAAATAAAGTACTTTCTGCCAGAGCGAAAAAAGACGATTTTGAGATCCTGTTTCATTTTCTGTCGTCAGTGCATGCAGAGAGGGTTGGATCAAGCATGGATGCTTCCCAGATTGCTGGAGAGGGTAACGTCTCTGTGATTCTGACCAAGCTGAAGGTTCTGGACGAGGGGACCTACATCTGTACCGTCAGCATTGGCCTTTTTCACGCGCAGCAGGTCATTCAACTCCAGGTTATTCGTAAGTTTCACCCTGGTGTCTCAGTTCAGAAAAATCCACTAAAAGTCCCTCTCTTCATTTTCTGCTTATTTTGTTTTTTTCAGAACCACCTCACGTGTCCCTTTCAGAGGAGAAATTGGTTTTGAACACAAAGTCCTCTCAGATGCTGAGCTGCTATTGCGCTAACTATTATCCACTGGATGCTCAGGTGTGCGACTATGTTCTCTTAGAAGTAGCTGATAACCTGCCACATGTTCAATGTTTTCCTTTTACTGCTAGTGAACAACTTGGCAAGAATCCCAGTAAGCTTTAATCATTCATTTATTGATAATACCACAAAGCCTGAGAGAAGTAGAGACAGGAAATACGTCAACTTGGCTGACTACGGTGGTCAGGCATTAAGTTTAAGTGTAGTGGTTTGTCCAACATCAAATAAGTATATCGTCCAAACAAAAGACCAAAAAAGAATCCCGCCTAATGCTGCCGCTCTTGTTCTGGTAAAAAGAACTTCCAAAGCATCCACAGGGAATGTTTGTCCTACAACTGCCCACTGGTGTAAAATCTGAAGTGGACATTAGTGCTACGATTTGGACAAAGAATTAGCAAACTGGATGAATAACTGAATAGATGAGACAATCTTTTGTGATCAGCACTCAAAACACTCATGAGATGTTAATATGGTAGGATTTGACTACGCTTTGTAAACAATTTATATTTACTCTAAATGATTTGAGAGCAGCTGAAAGCGATGAAACATTTAAACGTAAACTTACCCCTTCAGCTTGGCTTTGGATTGAAATATTTTCTATAATTATTTAACATTATCTATAATTGATTTATATTGTATTTCTTTTCAAACGTTTTACTTGCTTATATGTATTACCTACTTTGTTGGTTGTATTATTCTTAATAATGTTATGCCTCATTCTTAAATTATTTTTACATTTTAATACCATCTTGTTCCAGAGCCCGTTTGATCCCTTCTCTGATTTTCTCCTGCCGTTCAGATGGAGTGGTTGTCCCTCTCTCCTGCAGACACGGAGCCCACGGTGCTTCCGGATCAGGGCTCTCTGTCCAGCCACCGACAGCATGGCGATGGGACTTATTCCCTCTCATCTCATCTCTCTGTGGCCTCCACGGTCTCCCCTGGGACTATTATTACCTGCAGGGTGTCTCACCCGGCCCTGCAGGCTCCTCTCTCTGTCAGCCTGGTGGTAGAAAGTCCTGAACCAGGTAGTCATTTTGTGGCTGCGATGTCTAACTGCTGCAGCGTTGCTGTGACACGGAATTAAAAAAAGTTTGAGTTTGAAAATGTCATGTTGATTTGCATTATATTCTGTGCACTGTATCGTGTACCTAAGGACAACACTGTATGAAATAATCCAATGTCCTGTTTTGTGTGTTTCTTTCTACAGGTTCCTATTGGTGGATTCTGGGTTTCCTGGTCGTCACTTTGCTTTTCTTCTACCAGGTCATGAGCTAAATTATGTGGCTATATTCCAGGAGATACTCCTAATTTAAACCTCAGCCCAGAGTGACTTTTTTTTCCATGTGTCATTTGCGAATCTGTGAGTTATTCCTGATTTCATTGGAAGATTTCATTTCTCCATAGTATCCTTTGTTTGGCTGGTTTCGGGCTGCATTATAATTACTCAGTAAGATTTTGTGACTCTGGATCATTGTTAAAAGTATTTGACATTTGTAATATCAATGCATTTCTTGTATTGAATCTGGAAACCGGTGTCTCTTGTAGATAAGTTAAAGTAAGTTGGCTCAAAAGAGAATATACCAAAAGTTTTTTATTTTTATTTATTTATTGGCATCAGCAAAAGTGTAAAGCATGCATTTGTCTTTGCAAATCCGGTTGCATCGTCTCACTGCATTTTCAGGTTGTAAATCAGAAAACATGTTCCCATATCTGTGGTAATCGCCTGATAATACTGTTACACAATATCATCAGATAATTACAACTAACTGCAACAATTCTGCATCTGTATTTTATTAACTCTCAAAATCAGTCTGAAGAAAACAAAAGTAAGTTTTCTTTTTTCATCCTCCCAAACCCTGAAAGAATTTACACATTTTCAGGAGCATACTCTTGACATACGTGTACTATTGATCTATCCATACATTAATGTTTTAGCAGTTTACTATGGTTCTTTGCTGTCTCTGAATAATAATAAATTAATTAAATTTGGCAAACTCTTGAGCATCATTGCGTTGCATAAGCAGTAATAATCAGATCAGAAAGACATTAGACACAACTAATTGAAACCACTAACAAAAGAACAATGTACAATCGGCAGTTAGATTCAGAAGTGGCAAATACACAGATCACACAAATGATGGACACAGTTTGCCATGCAAGTTACAAAACCAACTCCTTTTGCATTTACTGCATGTGAGTGACAGGGTTCGGGACGGGATGGCCGAGGTGGCTCTTGGTTTCTAAATCGTGTCCTTTCTCTCATCTACCTGCTCAACTTAAACCACAATCAAACAAACATTCCAAAACAAGTTGACTTATTTTTTTTTACATATTTTCTTTTTTTGTAATGTGCTGCTTCACATTCATCTGTCTATGGCTATTACTCTGTCCAAGTCAGAGTTACGAGACGTCCTCTGGGTCAGTAAATGTATACGGTGAGTGGATTGTCTGTTAGTAGCTGCTTGTCGGTTTCTCCTGGTGTGCACGTCGCTGTGCCACTAAGCCTTCCACGACCGCTCAAAGACCAAGGTGAAGTAAAGCATAGCTAGACAACTACCTTATCAATAACTATTTATCAGTCTTATTTATACAGAGGAAAATGTACACTACTTATCCCCAAACACTCCTTCCTTTCCTTACACTCTCACTCATTGTTGTTACTGTACGTGTAGAAAGCTAGGCCAAAAAAGAAACTAAAAACTCACTAATGGAAACCAGCTATTGGCTACAATGCTTTGGATCACAAATACACACACGGACATACGACTAAAATGTTCCTTATACTAATCTAACATGACCGCGTGTTAGTAAGTAGCAATGATTGTAGCGGTTGTGAAGAAGAAGGGGCGTGTTAGTTACGCGTGTCAGTATCAACTTACAAATGTAGGACTCTCGAAAAAGGTAATATGAACAAGCTTTGGCGAATCTTAGGTAGAAAGGACTGCAAACTCTTGTTGAACCTCCCTGCACTCATCCACGACGTTAACGTTTTACATTTCTTTCTCCCGGCTCGGCTCAAAGGGCTTCATTCTTGTGTGTTCCCGTGTAACAAGGATTTTCTCCCCTCCTTCCTCTTCCGCTCCATCTGCTGCGTCCTTCAATAATACATGAGGTGCAGAGGCAGGACAGAGTGAGTGAGACACCAAAACAGTAGAATAAAGCGACCGGAAGGGAGGGACAGAGGGACAAAGAGAACAGAGACGCCTATAAACGCCACTGCCGCGTAGGAGCGTACGATGGTTCAATGGAAGACTGTGTGAAGAGAAGGAGAGGACGGATAAAAGGGAAGGAGTGGCGCTTGGGTATCTTTTTTTTTTTCTTTCTCTTCCCGCTCATCTCATTCTTAAGTCCATATCCATCTGTGAGGATGGGCTGAGCTCAGTAGAAGAAGTACACTGCAAATAAAGAAGAGATGGAGTGCAAGTCATTAGTCTAATGGATCTGGCTCCCTCAAGGCATCGCTCCAAAATAAAAAGAAATGAGTCAACAGTCAGCTGACGTCTCGGTTTTGTATGAAGTTTACAGGAGCTTTTTTTTAATAAAGAAGTGTGGCAATTAGTATTATAACCATTATTTAGTGGCATTAGACGTCAACTATCACAGTAGAAGCATGCAGGTCAGACATAAAAATGTCGGTCTCTGCATCTTAATCATCAGCATGACATGTCATCAGCTATTGTCTACTGACTAACACCATACGAGAAATTCCCATCTACACGGGATCATTCTCTTCATATATGATCCTCTTATGTTGAAAGAAAAACACATTTCATGATCGTCTAATTTTTTAATCATCGTATCTCTTTATAAAACCATATAAGTAATTTGTCAATAAATATACCAAAATTGTAATGGTATGAAGATGCTACTTACAGAATATTATTCCAACCACAATGACTCCGATGATACCCATCATGATCATCATCTGAAAGGAGGAAACAGTGACATTTACTATAACAGGTTCTCAGACACTGTGTCCGTCTGTTGGTTCGATGCCTTCAAACCGAAAGGAATCGTACAATTATTATAACAAACTGAAAACTCTAGAGTGACTGGCTTATTTTCCCCAAAGCATCTGCTTCCACAGCAGCTCATTAACAGATTAGCGTGTCGCCCCCCCGAGTCACCAGAACAGATACTGTGAGTTTGCCCCGGCGCACCTCATACGAGCAGCAGTTCAATGTGTTAACATAAATGCGCTGAGCATCTTGTCAAGCCTACCAGCTCCATGTACATATTATATATCCATGCACAACTTATATAATAGAAATACTGTTAATTCGGACTGTGGTCGCAGTTTGACTTTATTTCAGTAACAACAATGCGTGTGATGGGAAAAGCACTAATGTGCCCACCTTGCAGTTCTTCCACCAGTACTTGTTCTTTAGCTTAGCAGCGCAGCTTTCAAACTGGGAGGCTCCGGCTTGGAGAGCATCCGCTCTGTCATCCAGCTCTGAAAGCTTCTGGTCCCTTTCCAAAACCTTGTCTACATTCACCCGCATGATATCCACCACCTAGCCCACAGGATGAGACGGCATTTAGCAGCGATGGGGAGGAAGGACGAAGAAGATGAAAAATTAGGTTAGAAGAACGGAAGCAAAATGTCCTGATCCATTTACAGGTTACAAATGAAGCAGACCAGATGTTAACGGATAGAAAAGGGACAACAAATCAACTCGTGTTCAGATCAAGTCCACACATCCAATCATTTCACATTGCATTTAACATCACATTTTGGTGCAGAATCTCAGTATTTTCTTGGCTCACCTCCTCGACTTGGGCCTGTGTCTGCTGTAGTCTACGGTTGCTGGAAGTATTGGGTGGGCCAGGAGGTGCACCACCCGGGGCTCCATCAGCACCAGGGGCTCCTGGAGCACCAGGGGCTCCACCTGGGGCAGCAGCATCCGGGGCAGACCTGGGAAGCAGCACAAGGAAGGGGAAGACGAATTGAAGTTGGGGATAGAAGGGACCTTTTTTCGTTGACTGAGGCACATGTATTTTAATATAAATGGGTAAAAGATTCACTGGTCAAAGAGCATATTAAGATAATGTTCTGGACGGGGAGTTTAGCAAAAATCACAGGACAAAACCAGATTGTACATAAGGAACGAGAATGTCCTAACGTCATGAACCATCATTCATCAAACATGAGCGATGGCGACCTCAAATTCCCAGAATCGCAATATACTGTGTAACAAAGATATGTTATTATTTAAACGGCAGTGTGCAATTATTGTAACACACGCAGTTCAACACCGAGGCTTTACAGTGGAAGCATTAAAACTTCCAATACATAATTTAGTGATGGTGTAACGGAAAATTTCCCTTGCGTCAGCAAAACCCATCAAGCAGAAAGAAATCAGATTAGTCCGACCCCCCCACCATTAAAAAAACAATGAATTGGTTGCAATATACAGGCAATTTATTCATAGAAGCTTAGGCATGATATTTATTTGTATTTTTGAAAACGTGAAAGAAGCGCAACGGAAAAGCCGCATTGATACTCACATCTTCTATGCAGCTGTTGGAACTGGCTCACAGGCAGCGAGGAGGGGTGAGGGGGGGTGAGGTATCTGAGGAGGGCAGGGAGGGTCTGAAGTACAACAAGAAAAGGAAGAAGGAGGAAAAAAACAGCAAGATCACACACAAAAAGAACCGATGCGAAATGCACAATCAGCAAAGTAACTAAAGTGCCGCACTGACAGCGGGCAGGCGGCCGGTCTTTGCGCAGTGGAGACGATCCTCTAGCGGTGCATCTGCACTGAAAGTCGTCAACAAAGTACCGCAATGTAGCGAGCGATAATTCACTGGGTGAGCGGACCGGGAGCCGAAGGGGGAGCGACGCGAGCTCAGGGGAGAAGTACTTCTAAAAGATCATCCATTCAAGCGGAAATCCACGGATGTTTATAAATCCCGCAGGGCTGCACGCAGTCGATGCGGAGTCCCGACGCTCCTGGGTGCGGAGACGCAGCGCTGATTGGCTGCCCGCTGGAGTTGCCTCTTCTAAAAGCTAATGGTAAATGCGTGCAATCTCAAAATCGAGAAGGGAAAAATAAGTCATCCAGTCACGAGAAATCAGTTGTGCGTCTTTTGATTTCTGATCTCCGCCCCCGTCCTCCTGCTCCACACCTCCCTCTTTCAATCGGATGTGCGTCTTGAGGGAAGTGCGGTAGTTTCGCTCGTGTAAAGTGCTGTGTCTCTGAAGGCTGCTGCAATAATGCGTCTATCCTCCTGCCTGGACTTGGACTCCTAACGACGGTGCGTTACCCCCTCCCCCCTCTCCACCCCCCCTCTCTCCTTTTACTCTTTGCAGTGCTGCAGCTCTCTTCGTCGGATGGGGCGGCAGGACGACACTGCGGTACAGCGGATGCCTGCCTGTGCAGTGGCGTCACTGCACTTTTCGGGGACCCGGGGTTTATGCTGGGGTGGCGCCAGGCACAACGTTGACAGCAATCTTTTTCATTTGTCTGCATTACTAGCACTGCACAATATCTTAGAGCTTATTACATTCCCATGTTTAGATGTTTTTATATAAAAGGGGATACATGCATACTAATTCCGCAACATACTAATTCTGCTCACATGCAACAATATTTAACGTGTACGTCTACGCTGTGATTAGTGTGTGGATACATTAAGTTGTTCAACTTTTACGTACAAAAGTAACTACATGCAAACAATACCAACTTATTAACTTCTTTATGGTGTTAAACATTTTTTCCACACTGTATGTTCCAATTTATCAGCACCAACATACAATTGCTATTTATTGCCTATATCTGGTTTGCCTACTTGTTAAAGAACTTGTCAAATTAGTACTGTATCAAAACAAAGGTGTATTCATTTTAATTGTTTATACCGATATAGATAGTTGATACTGAGCCTTCAGACTACAAACTCTGCCTGTTATTGTCAAAGAAATTAAGTATTTTAGGATGTAGCAACCTTTCTGATTTTAACTATTCAGTCTTTTCCAAAATCAAAGCAATGTTTAGAAACCCGTCACAAATAAGATTTTAAGATACAATATTTTTAGCAGATACTTTTTGACTGCCTTCTATCTTTGTTGTTTTTCAAAATTGTGTTAACCCCCCCAAACAATCCAAAAACATTTGAACCAAAGAACAGGAAGAATGCTGCTCTGAAACAAAGCTTGCCTTTATATGAATTTGACAATAAAAAAAAAGTGTTTTTACAGAAGTTCAACAGCATGACATCACAGATTGACTAAAACAGTCCTTATTGTCAAATGTATTTGACAGTATGGTTTGTTCAACGTTAGCGGCGTTTGCCAGTGCGGTTGAAGCGTCTGTAGAGGAAGCGGATCCTCTTCTCCAAGTTGTGTTTGTCCAGAGTCATCATTCGGTCGCCCACCATCTTCTTCTTCCTGACTAAACGCAGCATTTCATTGCCTTTGAAACCCTTCAGCCAGCAGGGAGCCACAATGAGGTCTTTGGGATGAGCTTTAAAGTCACCTGCAGACACAGTGTGGAGATCAGAAAGCTTAGCAAGATACAATCTGAGCCAGTGCTCAAGCTCAACGAATGCGTTCAAAGTATCCCCTAAACATCTTCTACAGAATGTAGTTGACTGCATACAAATATTCTGAAGTCAGCATTAGGCCACGTTCCCATAAACCGTGTCAAACATATTCAGTTAACTAAATCACACCAAAAACAAATTAATCCATAGATGTTTGGAGTATACAGTCCAAACCTGTTTTTATTAAGCATCAACTACTTGAGGGAAGTTACCCAAGATGCCGATGTTATCGTAGACACCGAACATGCTCCTCTTCTCAGTCCACCTGTCCACCGTCTTCAGCTGAGGGATAGCATGCATCCTTATCTGACAGCATGTGCCTAAAGAAAGCACATAGATTCACATCACTATGCAGCACTTTTAACACAGATAGTTCATAAACGTTCCACAGTAATTGATACAGTTAACAGTTAACAAAAAATGAACTAGCATTTGAAAAAGAAAACACTTTTAACTGAAAGATGTTACATTGTTGTTCGGATAAAACTAATTGGAAGACATCACTCAGGAAATTATGAAATGCACTTAGATGATCTATTTATTATTTTGAGAAGAAAATGGCCCCATGTGAATATACATCACGAGAAATAAAATCAAGTAAACTGTATCAGTAAACTGGTCTCAAGTCAGCTAATACTTCCCGCTGTTTCAAATTGAAATCAAGGTTCTTATTTTGATTTATGCAGTCATTGTACCCGTTTGGCACCCGTAGAGTCTGATTCTTGCGCTTTTGTAAGACCGAAACAGCCTGTGGGAAATGTTTTTTTGTGCAAAGTTATAAAGGTTGAATCCGTGTTGCCGCAGCAGCGGCATAAAAGCGGAACGGTTCGGCTACACGAAGACTCAGTGAGGTTGCTTCTCACCGGTAGAGACGGTTCTGGCTGCGCCGAGCAGCGACCCAGCAGACTGACAGAAGGACGCTCCAGCTTTCAGTAAAACTCCGAGAACAGACATCGTTCCTACAACAAACATGAGAACGTTCAACTTCAGTTTTCTCAGGCAAAGTAGTTATTCGATGTGTATTATAGAACTTATGTCTTAAACGTTTCTAGCTTTTATAGGAGCTTTGCATTGACCCTTAGCTTCGGCTAGCACATTAGCTACAAAAAAATAAAGTAACGTTAATGGGGACTTTAAAGTTGCCAGTTACCCGTTTCCACGTCCGGCTACGATCTTGTTCCACGTTTATCTTAATTTCTACAACACATACAGCGTCTCTGTATGCTGACATATAACACTTCATACGTTATTGAGTCTTCAACATGCTCTTAGAGGCCACCTCCATCTTACTGACGTGATATCCCACAATGCATCGCAACGGCTAGGCAGGCTTTCTTCTTCTTTGGTTTCTTCTTATTCGTCTTTAGTCCTTATTGGTGGTTGGAAGATCCACCTTAGATGCACATCACCGCCCCCAGCTGGCTGCGAAACAAGCTATTGAGACATTTAAATACATTATTAAATAAATATATACATCATTTTGAGTTCATCCATTTCTTTACAAAAAAAATAAGCTTGGTGGCATTTCAACCGATTCCCATCAGCTCTCAAGAGAGTAGATTGAGAGTAAACAAAAATAAATGTTTTTAATTATAATAAAAATAATGCCGAATTCGGGTACTGAGCTTTAGTTAGAAAGCCAGACGATTTACATTTCATTATTGCTATAAATGTAGACACTGAGTTTTCAACGCTGCTGTGTTTATGTGATGTATTGTTGTGCTCCGCGTCTGCCACCAGAGGTCAGTAGGTAATGAGAACAGTAAAAAGTAAAGTCTCCATCCCCCAAAAATCAAATCTAATTCCCAAGATAAATAAATGATTTGCCACCCACAGTAGAAATGGTTTTAATAAATAAATATGATTTCTGTATTTTTTGTAAACAACACAGAAACATATTTATGGAAAAAAATAAATGTTGATCTAAGGACAGAAAAAACGAACATCAATAATAGCAATGAATAAATAAGTTACAATTGATTAAACATGGTTGTCATGATAGGTCAAATTAATTTCTAAAATTTTGTACAACTTTTGTGCTTATTTCAGTATTACCATCATAAAGGAAGTAGTAGGTCTTAACCTCTGTTTAAATAACACTTACGATGTATAAATAATTCTTACAGCATTCTTTTTAAACACAATCTAGTTTTTGAGGGCTACTTAAATATAATGTATGCCCTTTCTTATGCATATGAAATATAGGGTTATATGTTATTCATAATTAAGTCTTTAAAGATTAAAGATTTACCGTATCTTTTTTTATTGTAATGAGGCGGAAGAGACAGAAGGAGCAACAAAATACAATAAAAAAGAAAGCTAGGCTTGTGGGTGTTTTCTGCATCTGCCGACTATAAACGGATTCATACTGTACATTTCAATAATGTAACATGGACCTCGTTAGACATCTGAATTCCACTTGCAATAGAATATTTGCTCTATCATTCAGTTTAATAGGATTTAGTTTCTTTATCTTGAGGACTTCTTCCACACTCCAATGCAATAGAAATTAACCTGAGGAGGAAAAAGACAAAAAAGAAATAACAACCCCAATAAACAACAATAAAATAGTAAGCTCCAAACTCCTCCTCATCTCATCTGAAAGCTCCAAATCTGATTCTCCCTCAACTATCCCGTAAAGTATCCTCTCTGCTTGAATTCGGCCGCCTATGACAATGTTGACTCATTAAATACACACATTTTGTCCTGGTGTCCACTGTAATTTACAGTCATAAAAGGACTAAAAACAAATAGCTGAATGCTTTCAGAACCAAATGTATCATTCCTAACATGTTAATAAACAAGAAAAGATATAAATACCATGGGAAAAAAGGCCACGATTAGGTAATATTTGACTTACCCTTTGACTTTTCATAAAATGTGCTGGCTAATACAGACTCCATCTTGTGTTGAAAAGAAGAGGAACTCTTTTAAATACAGCAGGAATTAATAGGATAACTCAAATTAGTAAAAGGAGAGGTGCAAAACCAAAATGTCCACCTCAGAGGACACAAAGGAATGAGCTGGGTCTCAGAATGAAGCAAACAATTCCAGGCGAATTTAACCTTTTGCCCGTGATGAGGGATTTATTCAGTTGTACTGTGCATCAGGTTAGACGGCATTCCTTAAAGTGTGTAATTCCTAAATATTTCCTTTGAGATTTCTATAAATTACATTATGTTCTATAACTGTTTATAGTCGTTTTCACTTTATCCTTAACAAAATGTCAAAAAGACTGTTTTGTCCACGCACACATGGACGAGAAGGTTGACTTCGTAACACACACAGACGTGCATGCACACGCACACACACGCACAGACACGCACAGACACGCAGACACGCACAAGTGCATATACTGATACTTTCAGTCTTAGTGTTGTGAAAAAAAGAATGGAATATTATGTCAACTGATATTGTCTTAATTTCGTTATTACTAAGGTTTGTGTGGAAATTCAAACCAGACAAACCATTATTAGACATTAGATTCCATTTAACTTTAACATAAACACAATGATTTTCAGAGAAGTGATCTCTTACTGTAATTGTAAATTGTAAATTGTCTCATTGTCTAATTTAAAACGATAATGCTGCACAAAAAGTGGATTTCTTTACTTTCTTTTGCATTTGGAGGAACTCAGCGCTGAGATACTTTGATCCACAGCAGGAACATTTTAGATTAGCACACAGTGCATTTCACACAAAGGTCATACTTTGGAAAGAAACATGTATTATGTACACATTCAGTCATGTTTCCATCTTCACCCTTAACAGCACTGAACAAAACGCTGGCTAAACTCAACAACAACAAAAGTCTGAGCACAGCAGGATTTGATCTCGGCTTCCTCTGCCAGTAATTCACAATGGAACATTACATTTCTCATCACCTACACAAACACATGATCTAATCAGTCAGTTATTGAAATTAAACCACAGCAGTGTTTGCTATAAGTCAGAATGACTGTAGCCTTAGTGTTCTTAATAAATGTTTATGCTGATTCAAGAACCATCTTGAATATATAATTTTTTTTGACTAAAGCGGATGCAGAGATGAGAGCTTGACAGGAAAAAACTAGTGCCAAACTTCAAAAGGGGGCAATCTGATTTGATTACTTTCCTACTCTTTCTACTCTCATAATCATCTGCATTCCCTCGTGTTCAGAGCCCAGTGGTTTCCATGTACAATACAGGTGACTCACCATCTGCTGTAGGAAAGACCACCTCACGATGAGTGATGCACAAATGCCCCCAATATATTTTTGTGGGAGAACACCAAACTAAAGCCACAACAATAAGAAATATGAAACAGATTTAAATTATTTGGGCCAAGGAGGGAGTTCTGGTTGGGTGAAATGAAAAGGTTTGAGATTGATGCATCACTCACCCAGCAGCGAAGTGGCTTTTACCAGGGAAAATAAATCTAAATGAAGAAAAACAGCTCTGTGGTTCCACCCCCATATTCTCAGGTGAATCCGTTCAGCGGCTCATCTGTATGACAGTTTGTAGCTCAATGTCTATCTAGCTCTGGTTTTTACATATAGTAGTTTTAAGAACTTTTCTTAACAACTGTTTTTTTTCAGTTTCCACATATTCTTATATCATAAATAAATGCTAAATTGCCAGAAGAAAATGTGTTGTGTGTATATATTAATGTCTTTTTTTTTCTTCCTTTTTTTTGACTGAAAAGCCGTTCTTCATCTACAAGTAATATCAGCTTTTCTTTTTAGATAGTCGGATATACCGAGAGACAGACATAACATAACTCGATGGATGGATGGATGTTCATTGTTTTCATTCATTATTAATCACAAAAGAGGTACATAGATTAGAAATAAAAAACGCTATACTAACGGAAACTAAGCTAGAACTGAAGACTATGACTAAAATCTGACTCATGTGTGGAAATATTTTAAATTGGCACAATTGGGGTTCTGTTATATAGTCATTCATTGTCTATCTATAGTGTTTACCTACATTTTTTACATTATTTTGCAAATGCATACATGATACCTGTTTGCCGTTACAGCATTTCATGTAAACAACTTATCAAATGTTTTTATACTCCTTATGAATTATAAAGTCAAGTATTTCCAGCCAGGAATTAATAGTTATCAATCATGGCGATAAGTATTCAAAACACAGACTGAGATACTGCAACCGTTATTTTTTCCAATCTTAAGTTGTTTACAATAAACTGCATTTGCTCAAATGGAGGCCAGCCAATAAACATTTGACTGACGCAGGAGGCCTGCTTCTAACGCAGCGACAGAACAAGAATCGACAACAAGGAAAACAAAGTGCGCATGGAGATGATTCACTTTCACGAATGTTCATCAGAAGACTACACCATATTACGGGATGGCCTCATTCTCATGAAACTAGTGGTGGTGATGATCGGGATGAGAGCTGTGGGTTCAGCAGCGGTTCTGAACCTGGGCTGACTGGTAGTGACGGAGGAGACGTGACAGGGTGTTTTGGAGTCAGCAGTTTTGCCATTTCGGTTTCAAAGCAACAACTGAGCTTCCGTGAATGTGCTTTCTAAACACACAACATTCAATGCATGTGTGGAAATGATTGAAAAGTAGTTCACATCTGATTTTGAGCTAAGTGTTTCTAAATTGGAACTATATTTTAAGGAAAAATGCAGTAAGATGCACATATTCTGTATATATTCTATATTGTGCTTTGGTCTTGAGACTTGAGAACCTTTGGCTTGCAAATTGAATACTGTCTGATATCGTCACACTGACTGTTTAATCTGAAAAAAAGTAAACGGAAAGAATAAGAGAGAATCCGTGGGATGGAGTGGGTCTCTTTGTTTACATCTTTGTCTTACAGTTTCCAGCCTGACAAAGACAGACCGCATCAAAGCCGAGCTTGTAGAGGAAGTCAGATGATCGTTAGAGGAACCACCAGGAGCTCCGCCTCCTTTTGGCACCCACAGATTCATATAAATACCTCATCGATTCAACTCGCAAAAAAACACACTAGAGAGCACATTGGGCAAAGAAAGACCGTCGGAAAATAGAGCAGCTAGAGATTACAACATTTTAACAAATAAACAAAAAAAAGAACAAAATTATGCTGTTGGAGTATTTCCTCTTTGGGATGATGACCTTTCATTTGTCAGGTATATATATGATTTTTTTTTACAGAATCGTCTGCTGTCTTTTGGTTTGAAAAAATGCCCAATGACATGCATCTATTCTTTTTTGCATATATTCTATCTGAAGTAAATGTCCTATGTTGTTTCTTTCGACAGGGGCTCAAAATGAAGTAACTGAAGTTTTTGCTGAAGCCGGCTCTCAGGCTGTGCTGCCCTGTAAATGTGGCCCGCCGTCCGCTCGTATCCCCGCCATCATCTGGAGAAAAGACGGCAAAAGGTAAGACAAAATCGCATGTTGGCAGACTCTACTTTAAAAAAAATCTTTTTTCCCCATTTTATTTTTCTCCATCCAGCTCCCACAAACTGTCACTTCACCATCCTTCCTTCAATTCCAAAGTTGTATCTACATAGTAATAACTCTGGATTGTTTGTGATGTTTTCTGCCCACAGCACTGTTTGGAGAAAGCAAAAGAGTGGTCTGGAGTACTGGGGCTACGCATGGTCTTCAAAAACCCAACGCGTTAGATGCCCCCACACCATGTTCGAAAGCGGCGATTTCAGCTTGCAAATAGACAATGTGAAGGAGGAGGATGGAGGAGTTTACTCTTGCAGGGTGGAACGTGGAGTCCAGGTCATTGAAAAAACAGTCACACTCCGAATCACTAGAGGTAAGAAACACGGTGAAACAAAGACGTTTTCACCACTCCATGAATTTGTTAAATCAGTTTTGAAGATCGGAATCAATAACTAATTGATAAAGAAGCAGTTAAACATGCCAAGACAGTAAATCCATCCACTCGTGAAAATGTTTGATTCATGGCAAAAAACTTGGAAAAGTTCAGAAAACAAAAAAACTCAGGACTGGTTATATCTGCCTCAGAAAATAACCTCATCCGTGTCTGTGTCCTTCTCAGTGTCCGTCTCTTCATCGGCTCCGATATGGGGGAGCGACGTTTCGATCACCTGTAACGTGACTCCTTGGCCTCTAGAAGCTCTCGTGAGGTGGACGTTGAACGACAGTCCATTCGAGCCTCAGAATGGAGCCGCCTCTAACACTCGAACCGCCGCGATGGAAAAGGCAACCGGGAGACTGACGGGAAACTGGACCTGTGTGGTGAACTACAAGGGCCAAGAGGGACGAGCTTCTGCTACTCTGAGCGTGCAGGGTAAGATTCAAGAGATCAGCGTCGGCAACTCAGTTTGGTTTTGGACCTTCTCTCTTAACCTTTCCCTCGCTTTCTCTCACAGGGGTCATCCACCCACCCAGAGACGATGCCAAGGTGTACGCTGCTGTGGGATCTGCGGTCACGCTCCCTTGTGTGTTCTCCCCCGGTTTGATCCCCTCTGATCCGGTCTGGGAGAAACTGAAACCCGTGTTTCTTACCAAACCCGCTCCCGGTCGCCTCCCTGCCTCTTTCTCTGCCTCCGGGCCGCTCTCTCCGCTCCCCTCCGATCAATCGGCCAGTTTGAAGGAGGTCGGGTTGGGGGATGAGGGCAGGTACAGATGCTCTGGCGTGATAAAGGGACAACGGTTGACTCGAAATATGCAGCTCGTCGTGGCCAAAGGTAAAATTAGATGGTTTCAGTTTAAGTTCAATCTGCCAAAACCTTTTTTTTCTTGCTTTTAACAGCGCATTTCATTGTTTCTTTGCTTTTCTCTCAGTTCACAGCAGCGTCCAGTCCCAGAACACAGGCTCTGTGACGCTGACCTGCCAACTGACTGACACAGGCGAGGTCACCAACTACGAATGGGTTCATGTGATCTATGACCTCAAAGGCAGCCGATCAGTTGGGCCCATCCTGGAGGGGAAGACTCTGAATATAAGCACAATGTCCGAGGGGAACCAGGGTGAATGGTCGTGTCGTTTCTACGGGAAGGACGGCCTTTTGGGAAATGTGACGTACCACATTCAGCAGATGAGTAAGTTTGCTCCTTCTGTTGTGTATTGATATTTGTCAATTGAGGCCCTGGCAAAAATATAACATTTGGCATTCATCTGACTGATTCATCTGTTTTTGTATTGATTTTCCCCACAGGTGGTGTAAGTGGAGAAAAACCTACGAGTGTCTCACATAACACTGCAGCTACAGTGGGTCTCAGCTTTCTCCTCCTTGTTATGCTGTTGATTTTGGCTCAGATCTACAAGAACCACCAAAGGGTAAGAATCTTCCGAAATTTACCAACAAATAAGGAAGGAGACAGTTGTATAGGATTTTCTTTGTTTAACCAACTTTTTCCATGAAAAATGTTAAATCTCGAAATTATTGCATTTTGAGAGGTCACTTGATTCAAGAACATTATTTGAAAGGAATGTCAATCAAACAATTTCTCATATAATTAAGTTTAAAAAAAAGAATTTTCCTGTTGATGTTGCAAAACATGTACATGATCCCACATCAGATAAAATAATGTACATTTTGTGTATCTTTTTCCACAGAGGAAAGGCATCTTTCGGTACCCTGCGCTGGAGACAATTGTTCACACCGTGTCCAATGAGCGGGAGGAGAGAGAAAGAAACGCAGTGAAAAAGTAAAGATATTAATGCGGCCATCTCACCAAAATACTGACGTGGGATCTATCTTTTATTATCTTTATATCTGCAAAATGTGGCATTTGTTTGTAAATACTGTATTTTCGGAGCCGACATTGTAGCAGTTTTGTTGAACTACAAACGTTGTGTATTATCCTAATATTTGTGTCTGTTTTCAATTATCAACTGTATGTGAATATTTGTTTCTGTATATACGTATTAAGAATAAACTGTTTTAAAAATAAGGTACTTTTAGCAAAGAACACTTTATTTTTTACATGATATACAATGTGTAACGTACAGGTCAATGACAAGGGAAGTGATTACTGATATAAATCTAAATCTATACACTCATGTATATAAGAATGTTATTATTTAAAAAAAAAATTTTAAAAAAATAAACGGACGGATTTTTTAGTGATGAATAGTTGTTGGATGATGGTTAGTAGCACCATTTGGTATCCACTCAGTAAGTGCAGCGACATGCAGCTTCAGAGCTACACGTGACTATAATGCCCGTCCTCTTGCTCTGAAATTTCGGGGATATCCCTGGAGGCCAAGGATCGGTTGATGCTCTCCAGAAAACCTTCCTCTCCAAGGTGTAAATTATCCAGGACATCATCATCATCAAAGCACCAAGCTGGCCAGTCCACATTTACTCCGACTGTAAAAACACTAAAGAAGGCGAGAAATGGCAGCACAGTGTGTAATTTATGATTTAACAACATTCTGGCGATGATGCATCGTCATTTATTAGTGCAAGTGCATGTATTGAAAGTCAGTAAAAGTAAGAATACCTAAAAAAGAGAGCAGCAGCATGCACAAACCCGTAGTTATAAACCGATGCGTGGTGTTAAATATACAAATTGCTTGAAAAATGCTTTTAGTAACAAATTGACAGCATAAGTAAATGAATTATTAGAAAGTAATGAAATAAGCTGTTAAGAAGTTTAAAATGGAGCAATGAAATAATAAAAATGTGTCATGCAGTGTAAACCATGTTATTCAAATTCTTATGATATGTAACATTATTAATTATTATTAAATTAACTAAATGTTCTTTTTATTTAAACAGACCGACGAGGAAAACATCTGTTGTGGGATAGTAATTAAAAAATCCACCCGAAAGGAAGTAACTTGAGACTTTTCAAGCGTTATTTTATTGTGAAACGACATCCAACTTTGTTTGACTTCAGTAGAAGAGGACCTGGGATTTTGTCACAGAGCGTCCAGCCAGTTGAAGTGTCCTTGAGCAAGACAATCAAATCAACACAAGCTCCAAGGAAGCCGCTTAGTGTAGAGTACAACCTTTGCAAATACAAATAGATTGTAAAAACTTGACTTTGCTTATTTTCATTTGTACGCACAAAATACATATACTGTACGATTAAGATTACTATCATTCACAGTGTATTTCTAATGATAGTTTTTATGAAACTGGAGCAATCAAGAATTTGGCGTTCTGAAAATGCAACATACCAAGAAAAAACGTAGCATGCAGAGTGTTGACTGATGGGTCAATTTTTGAAATTCCTTAAAAACAGAAAAATTAGTTTCACAATTATTTTTTGCTTTTTTGTTCTTCCAAAATCTACATCACTTTTGTGTAAAATGTTATTTTATTAATTGATCAATTGTACTTGTTTCTTGGTTGGCTCCTGAATGGATATAATTCTGTCTACAAGATGTGATCTTTTGTGTTTTTGTGGGTATTGTAGTGTGTCGTTTTGGTGCCTTTTTTTTTTTTTTCTCTGCCAAGGAAACGTTTTCCTTTGTTTCCCTGCAACATTTTAATATAAAAAAACTATATTTTTAGAATGTATATTTTTTGAATGTTTATTTATGTAATATTTGTTAATATTTGTTAATATTTGTTAATATTTGTTAATGTTTGTTAATATTTGTTAATATTTTCCAACAATTGTAAAGTCAATGTACAGGACAGTGTCAAACTAACCTCTTGTCATCTTCATCTCCATCCACCAGCTGCTCCTTCCATCCTTTACTCACTGTGAGCGCTCTGTGTCTAAACAGCTCCACCTCCTCCTCCTCCCACCCCATGTAACTTTCTCTATCGCTGGGCGACGGCGATGATGCGGGGGAAAACGAGGGGGGAGGAGGATTTCGCAACCCCGAATTGGCCCTTTTCACATTTCTGCTTTTTAATCCATCTCTCTCTTTGGCCCTTACCAAAAGACCCTCCAAGGCCACGTTGTGTCCGCTTGGTTTCGGAAAAAGTGCATTCTCCACTTTGGGTAACGTGTGCGGACTACTGGTCCATGTGGCTCCTTGGCCCTTGTTTATGTCCTTCATGTTATGAATAGAGGCTGTCCTTCGGGTTTTCCCTCTGTTATAAATGTTATGATCCGAAAGCTCAGATTCAGACAATGTTTGGGGGTCTGGAGATACTCTACCGTGCATGTCCGCGAACATCGCTTGGTTATTCTTCAGGGAGCCCAGCTTTAGCACTCGGTGTGACTCCTGGACAGATGGTTGAGAGTTTCTTTTCATTTGGCCATTTAAAACCGGCAAGGACTGATTTGACATCTGAGAAGAGGGGCCCTGATGAGAGCTGTTTTGCCTCCTCCTGCGTATCCCGGGCGACTTTAAATTTTTGGAGCAACCCCAGGCCTCTGCAGGTGTCTCCATGTCTCCGGTCTTGCTGTAGTCGGAGTTTATCCTGGAGTCCTGGTCCACAGCGTGAGAATCTGAATCCCTATTTGTTGCCATTCTTCTCCCTTGTGTCAGTCTTATAAACGCAGACTCCCCCCTAAATATTGCTAGTTGAGCAGGAAGGTCTGGGGTACTTTCCTCCTCCGTTGGATAGTCAACATCTGGATACAAGATCGTATCGTGTGGTCCAGTAGTATTGTTTCGTGATGGATCAGCTGCAATACCGTGACTTACACAATCCAGATCGGGGGCCGATTGTGCACTGTGGTTCCCCACTCTTTGCCCCCTTCTTTCGTCTGCTCTCACTCCCATTTCTATCCATTCATATCCATGTTCTGCTTGTTGCTGACCCTTGTGCGATAGTTTACTGCTGTTGACGTCGAGGTGGGAATGCCATAAGGGTAAAACATGATTGTTTTCAGTCACACCACCTGCAGGATGAGACCGTTCCTTTGCTTCTGCTTCTTTAGACACCAACGTCCCGTTTCTTGATTGGGCGATAATAAATTTTTCATTGAGTTCGTCGATAAAACTCCCTCGTCTGGATTCCGTGAGAAGTTCTTTTTCTGTGTCCATATCATACGTTTCGGCATTTGTGACAGGCTTGGCCTCCAGCTGCCGGATTTTCCAATTTTCCAGTTGTCTCCTGTTCTCAGTCTGTCTCAAGTTCCACAATGTTTCCTGGTCACAAAAAAGAGACAAAACTACTTAATAAGTGTGTTATTTGCAATTCTGTTTCATACAAAAGACTAAAACTTTACGCCGGCTGTGCTCTGTGAGCCTGTGAAGACGTTTTGATCACTATCAGGTTATGAAATCATCCAGAAGTCAGAAGATCAACTTTTAAATGTCTTACCAAAAATCCCATGTGTTGACATTATCGTTAAATGGTTACACAATGGGGCTGGGATGGACTCCAGCCCCCGCGCGACCCTGTGTGCAGGATAAGCGGTTTGACAATGGATGGATGGATGGATGGTTACACAATGGAATAAATTACTTAATTCTCAACCCATCTCCCATCTGTCATTTGTCATTTGGGTTAAAACATACTGTTTGAATGAACATTTTACCAAAAGTTTCCTTTTCAATAGAAATTAACAAGACAGAAAGACAATCGGTGGTAAAGATGGTGCCTTTGAAAACCTATTGCCTTTATCTACTTCATAGATATTAAGACCCGATGACCTCTGGAGTGGCTTGGTGGCTACAACCCTCGAGATACAGTGAAGGAAAAGTGTTGAACAAGAAAACTCTACTCCGGCCATGCTAGTGGCTCTGTGAGCCTGTCATGGACACGGGGATAAAAGGTAACATCAGTAAGCTAACGTGATGCCATAACCGCTGATGTTCAGCAGATATGTAATGTTCACAGCCACGTACAGACCGTTCACTCAAAATGACAAATATGAACCTGCTGATGTTGCTGGAGGAAGTCAGTTTAGAATTATACTCCCAGAACTAAGAATGTCTGTGAAAGTGCATCCAACAGTTGCTGCCGTCAGTCTGGACCAAAGTATGGGAGAGATTGAAGGAGCGACGCCGCTGACACCAGAGCCACGCTGATAGCATTGCAGCAAGTTACGGTGGACTTCAATCCTCTAGACTTGTTGAAAGATGTTTGTTTTGTACCTTTGCATGGTTGATGTTGGAGACCCATCTGGTGCAGCTCTCTGAGGTACCGGCTACAAATATGTAGACATTCATAGCACTGCGCAGCTCACCAACCTCTACAACAACAAATGAACCTGAGAGAGCGGAGGAGGAACGACAGGTGGATCTTTAGTGTATTTGTTAAAAAAAAGAGATCGCTTTGTGAATAAAGAAGTGTTACTCACAGTCATCTTTCAGTGAGAAGCAAAACGTTCTGTCAAGGGCCAGAGGAGGTCGAACTACCTTCAGCCGGTCCCCTTTCTTCTGGACTTTGGTCATTAGAAGAACATCTGAGAAAAGTAGAGCCACCACCTCAAGCTGTGCAAGAAAACATGAGAACGTCAAAAATAAATACATTTAATTAACAGTCATTGAGCAGCACACTGGCTCCGCTCACCTTGCTGTCTTTCCTCTCCCGAATCTTCAGGTTCTCTTCCAGCAGAAGCTTGCGCACGACTTCAGGACCTACTCCACTGATGGGGCAGGTTAGGTCGAACTGACAAATCTCTCGGACACGCTGTGAGTTGCACAAGAAAGTTAAAAGAATATCAGTTAACTTTGACATAAGTCTGTAATGTTCCGTAGGAAACAGTCCTATTTTACCTTGTCAATATCTTCGTTTATGCGCTCCACCTCGTATCCCTCCACCCTCTGAGCAGAAATGCTGAGAGCGAGTTTCTCATCTTTTAGCCTCAGGTGATCGTTGATGCTCTCCAAAAAACAGTTCACACTGGACAACTGGAGAGGAGAGAGAAGAAGAGTTGTGTTGTTCTGCAGAAAAGAATTGAAGAGCTTTTGTGATTTAAACATTCCGGTTTCATTCCTTAGTTTAGATATGAAATATGTTAATGTAGTTGGACAATATTTCATGACAAAATGGTAAATGTAGGCGTGAAGACATTTTCCTCACTATAAGGTTATGAAATCATCCAGAAGTCAGAAGATCAACTTTTAAATGTCTTACCAAAAATCCCATGTGCTGACATTATCGTTAAATGGTTACATGATGGAATGAATTACTTCATTCTCAACCCATCTCCCATCTGTCATTTGTCATTTGGGTTAAAACATACTGTTTGAATGAACATTTTACCAAAAGTTTCCTTTTCAATAGTAAACTAAAATTCTTTTCAAGACATCAACAAGACAGAAAGACAATCGGGGGTAAAGATGGTGCCTTTGCACACCTATTACCTTTATCTACTTCATAGATATTAAGACCCAATGACCTGGAGTGGGTTTGTGGCTACAACCCTTGAGATACAGTGAAGGAAAAGTGTTGAACAAGAAGCAGTTAGTACCATGCCTCTGAGTGTGTGCTGCTCGTGAGGATCCTGGGTGTTTTTCAGCGCGGCCTTGAGAAGCAGCGGGTACTTTGTGATCCTCTGGTGGGGTTTAACCTGCATGTCCCCGAGCCGCATCCGCTCACACTGAGGATGGTTCTCCACCCACTGGACAGGACCGAAGCAGAAGAACATTGTCCGAACAAAGTGAACAAAGTGGCTTCAAATCATAAATTAATAACATGTTAATTTAAACGGTAATTTGGCCAAAACTATCTACCAAAACAAAACTTCCACACAAATTAAGTGAGATGTGTTTTGTAAAATTTGAATGAGCAGACTCTAACGTCCACCAAGTACATTTCCTGGTAAATTGTCTCTTTAACTATTAAACAAAATAATATCACCTCCCACTCAGACAGACAACAGTGATGCTATGACATGTGACAAACACATTTACAGTACTGCAAACGATAGCAGTGTTACTTGCAGATCATGCCTCCATCACAATGCTATATGTATCAGCTGCAGGACGTCACTACGTAGAGTGATTGTTTGTGTACATGTTGTGCGTATCGTGTCGTCTGCTGCTTACGTTACCTGAACATAAGTGAGGAAATGTGGGTTGCTCCCCATCTGCCTGCGTGTGAACTTCAGATTGTTTTCCTCCTCCCAACAGTAATGTTGATAGGACGAAAAGCGCTCGTGGAACTGGGGACAAAAAGAAGGGTTACATTCTGAATTTATTTAAAAGAAATATATAGAAAATATCCTTTTATTTTACAGAAAAATACCCGAATATTGTCAACGCATATTGTTAAATTAGTGGATAATAAAAAAAAGTACATTATAATCCTTTAAGGAACATTCATGTTACAGCTGTGTTTGAACTATTTTACATGCTGCTGTGTCATTTTATAAGTCATCTGCATGAACTTTAACCTTGAGATAAATGAATTGGGGTAGAAAGTTCTATGTAGATGTAAATGTAGAAAATCTAAATACCTCAACACAATGCCGACTACTTCAGTAAAAGAATTCCTGACTGACAGAAACACACCTCTCAATGTGTAACAGATCTTAGAGAGAGTGAGCTCATACCTGCAGGCAACCAGCCTCCAACACCAAAGGATCAAAGGGCTTTCCCGTCCCCCGGACTTCTTGTAACATGGGATAAATCACCTCCTGCCAAAACAGCTGGTGAGCGGCGAGGATGGAGGGAATGTTAGCGAAGAGACGTTCAGGGGTCACCTGTCACAGGAGCAAGATAGAGATACACATCACAAGAGAGATAATGGTGTTTAAGTGTTCAACTCCCTTCTTCTCAGAGGAAATCTGCTGTTGAACTACATTCTCCCCTTAAAGTTTGAGCAAAAGCGGATGTTCGTGTTGTGACAGTCACTGCGTGTCGGTAGTGTGTGGAGCAGTGCAGCATAGGGCCGCAGATTTAGCATGTTTGAAGTGCAGATGGGGCTGCGCGTTCTGCAGACTAACCTCCCGGAGAAATCCATGCTGGTGCAGGTTGACAAGAGCTGCAACAACCAACTATGAGAAGGAGACACAACTTTGGTTAACATCCTGTGGAAAATTCCCTTTCAGCTCTGACACACTGCATGTTAATTTAAATGCTTCATTTAAATGAGGCCATGACGGTAGGTAGAAATGACACATTACGTCTTTGATGATCATCAGTTTGTTGATGTAGATGAGCTCGGTGTAGACAAACTCCCACAGCGCCTCCTGCTGGTGCCTCTGCATCTTAGACATCGTCTGATCGTTCACACCAGACAGAGGACAGAGAAGGGAGAGGACATGATTATTACAGATGCTTTGACAATGTGTAAAATGCAACGAGCAGTTAAATTACAGTATATTTCTCATTGTCAACGAATCCAATGATGAGAACAAAGCTAATCTCTCAATTTTTTACTGCTCCCCCAACTTGTCTGGATCTCTGAGGCCTACCCGTCCCTACAATTTGATGCAGTATTTACAGGAACCGGATGGATCATGTGGGAAGGATTCAAATAAACTACAGTGCCAGTGTTCATGGGAATAAACAAATAATTCAATTAGTAAAATGCTGTTGTTCATTAATGTGTTTTAAAGTGGACCTCAATGCCTCCGAGGTGTAAATGACTACATATCAGTTGTTGGTCTTGCTCTTTTCATGGGATTTGTTCACATTGAGAGAAACTCTAAATATTGTTGAGTAATTTATCACCGGCTCGTACTGAATGAGAGTGCACTATATCTGTCCAGTTCTTCTCCAGTGTGGTTCCCTGACTTTCCTCCTTCCACCTCCAATTCAGATTGAGCGGCACAGCAAAGGCATCCAGATCCTGCTTCAGCCCATCCAGCTGACCTCAGGTGAGGGAGGGGTGAGGGAGGAGGGGGGGAGGGGGCAGAGGTCAGGGAGAAAAAATGGAAGACTTTGATGACCTAATGAATCAGTACTTCTTTAGTTATCCTTAGCAGTTGATGTATATACATAATAAGATGTTACATGTAAATCTATTCAAACAGAGCAGGACAAGTGCTTGTTTTTTCAGTTGTTTGAAAAAACAAGTACCAAAGCATGTCCTCATGTAGGCTGACAACAGCATACCTCAGAGGCCTGGGTCTTCTCAGACTCTCCCTGGCTGAAAAGGACCTGTCTCAGTGCAGCTCTGGGTTTGGCTGCAGCAGAAGCCTTACTCACTGTTGCTAAGTCAGTCACAATCTTTACCTTTCTCCGTCTCTGGAAAATGAAAATACCAATTTCAGGAGGTGCATTTGAAAGGTTATATCAGCACACATTCATGAGATGAGGAACAAAGGAGGCAAGAGATGGAAATGGACGTCATGCATCTGTAGCCATGATTTTTGTTTTACTGCTAAGCAGCACTCAGGGTCATGGATACAGAAATACACATTTACTCACGTTTGTTTTAAGCACTTGGTGCTGATGTAAAGTAAACACACTTCATTTGAAAGCTTCCTTAAGTAAATGTACTTGTTATGCCAAAAAAGCCCCTTTCATATTCTCTTATAGAAATTCAGTAGAAAGTTTTCTATTTTGACCCGTTTTTGAAAAAAGTTTGTGTGTATCTTGAAACCAGAGAGATAAAGGCACTGTTGCTGCACTAAAATCATTAAGTTTATCACAAACAAATGTAAACGTGTGAGAATAAAAGCTTGCTTTTTGAAGGAAAATATATGTAACTTTGAATACTTAATCTCAGACTATAATGAATTAACAAGAGAGAGTTCTTTCTTTTCACGAAACAATGCATCCGTAAAAGATAAGATAAAGTTATTCCTGTAAATGTGCCGCACTTCCTTCTCTGTAAAGGGAAGTAGATATATAAAGTAGCATAAAAGGAAACACACAAGTAAAATACATGTAGCTTAAAGCGGCAATTGAAGTACTGAACTTGAATAAGTTCACTTAGTTACATTCCACCACCAGTCAGTGCCGAAGTCGAGCCCCACCCTCACATTTCTGTCACATTCCACCTGCCTGATAGCCAAATGTGTTGAACTTGGCTTTGTCTGCTGACCCCCTGTGGTGATGGTTGCTCTCTGCAGCTGCGGTCGTCCCATCGACGTCTGAATCTCTGGCGTCTGCGTCTTTCTCCCTCCCCTCGTCCTTACTATTTCCCCATGGCACCGACGGATCTCCCATCAATGATTCATTCCCCCCATCGTTGTTTACATGCCGTGTCCTTGAGGAACGGTGGAGAAAAACCACACAGGGTTACTAAGACTTTACTAATGGCCAAAATAAGGTAACAGAGAATAGCGTGTTACAACGAAAGGCTTTACAAGAGAGGGTAAGATACAATGGGAAGACATTGTGTGGCACGTGTGTGTCCTTTTAAAGGCTTATTTGGACTTTCTTTAACAAATTATACATTCTAGGTAACACTAATGGCACGGCTTTTCTCCACCGAGCATCCGAGGAGCCTGCTTATTAAGGCTTTATCGATGGGTTCAATATCAGCACATATTATTGAAACAATATAATTATTTAGATATTCAATGCATTGAGAAAATTGAATTGTTAAAGTTTTCACACTCCCTTTGTTAATTAGTATTAAATAGCTCTAATAAAATGTATAGGTATTAGATTAGATTAGATTAGATTAGATTCAACTTTATTGTCATTGCACAGAGTACAAGTACTGAGGCAACAAAATGCAGTTTAACATCCAACCAGTGCAAAATATGTATGTGCATATGTAAAGTGTAATAAGTGAATAAATAGATATGTACAGTAAGAAATAGTTGTGCAATATGAACAGTAACAAATTGATATACAATAACAGTGCACGTATAAGCATGTATAAGTAATACATAAGTAAAAACATAAAGCATTAATAGCTAAACAAAGAAGAGAGGGGCAGACACAATAACAACAAACTAAACAGAAATGAAAGGTGAAGTATCTATTAAATAAACAGAGTGATGATGAGTGAGTCTTGATTATATTGTGTTTTCATATCAGTCAATCGGATGCTATAAAGAGTTAACTGCCAGAGAAACAAGCGCCCTAATATTAATGTAGGCATCATTGACTCTTATGACGCACTCACAATAGACACACTGAATAGAAGCAGTCAGGCAGGTAGAAATCTGTGACATACTGGTTCATCTTACGGACAGTGATGCTCATTTAAGACGACACCAACAGTCTCACACAGCCGATTCCAGGACTCGTGTGACATTGGACAAGTTCACACAAAGCCAATGTCACAATTCCACTAATGTTGTCCAGCAGATTTAAAGTATAGAATGTGTGTATTTTGCTCAAAGCCACTGTATCTTAATGTAGTATTTACTGATGCACATCTTTTCCTGTTTACATTTAAACACACCGTTGGATCGCTGCTGTTGCAGAGCAGAGAGTCAGCGATTACTGGTGTAACTGGTATTCACAATCAATAATTACAACAGTAATCATTATACAGGCTTAAAGGGTTGGTGTAAAATTTTTCAACGAGCAAACCAACAGCAGAGGTTACACTAACGCTGTACCCACAGCTACATAATATAGATAACAGTAGATTATTTTGCTATTGTACCATTCATAGACTAAACACTGGCTTCCTGGTTGTTTTTTTCCTCATTGAAAACAAACAAAAAAACAGCTCCAACATGAAAGTGATTCACAGCAGCGAACACACCAAGTAAAACAGTCTTATCGTACACTCTCACACAACCAGCTTTGATTTTTTAATTAATAAAAATTATAGACTGTACCTGGGCTTGGTTGGATCCATTTCGTTTCGCACTGTCATCTTTCGTTTGCATTAGTTTTCTCCTCCTCTTTCTGTCTGCCGGCGCAGTTCCTCCCTCTGTGTCTCCGTCCTGTCCTTCTACCCGTTTTCTCTGCAACTGGCCCGACGGGAACAACTGGATTCTGCAGCACAAATCGGTGCTCGCTGGTTTAATGAGTTACAGCAAGGAGTGCTCGGTGGAGCGAAGGTGCAGAAGGATTTCTTTGAGGATGATCTATTGTTTTTTCATGTCCATCAAACCTAGATCCTCAACCTGATAACTTTCCCCAAACAGTGAAAAATTATTTCAAAGCGGGGGAACAGAAGTCTGAACAGAGTCAGGCATTGATATGAAAATCAACCGTGACGATCTTGTGTTTGTAAAGTAAAACAGAAAGCACAGCAGTTTTCACACGAAAGAAGAGGTGAGTAACAGGAAAATAGACGAGCTAAAAGAATGTAAGCAAATGATAGTAAAAGATGCTTTTGAATTTATAGCAGAAGATATGCTGTGATTATTCATTTACAGCTTCAGGCTGGAATGTTGCACAAATCAGAGACAGAGATGGTGATACCAAAATTCTTTTATTTAACGTGCAGATATCCACTCAAGGTGCAATCAATACATTTTTCTGTTATGTAATACAGTTTGATAAAAGTGCGGTAGAATAACACGTCCTCAGTCTTTCTGTGTTAGACTCATGAGATTCATATGCAAATCAGCGGGCAGCAGAAGAGGGCTGAGGCAGACTGAGATAAGGTGTGTCTTGTTTTCTCTTACAGAAATGAATAACGCTTGTGTGATGGGGCTTAAAAGAATGCAAATGGGGCGCTGAAAAGCCTGTACAAAGCGGCACAGCTCTGTTCTACACCAGGAACTACAAACTTCCCAGGCCTTGTTATTGTTCCCTAAATATCTCAACAAAGGAGACTTGAACTGTTGAATGTAACAAGGAACTGCTAGTAAAACATTACCAGCTCACGGCACGCACAGAGTAGTCAGGATTACATTTTGCACAAAAAAAATTCAGTCTATTATGAAACCGAAGCCTCTATAACTAATTGCCCACCGACAAGAAATAGTCCCAGCAAAACTCTGCACAGTGATGGAGCTTTTGAAAGCCTTGCAAGGTTTTCAGTCATACACTTTTTGGCTTCTGGGCGGAGAGTAAAGCAGATGAGCGATTGCCAGGCAATCACCAAGAAAAAGTCCAGTGTAACAGAATATAACCCCCAGAAAAGAGCAGGCTAGCTGTTTTCATGTTTGCGCTCTTTGCGATAGGCTGCGCTATCCAGCTTTCTGGGCGTAGCTTCATATTTCCCCTAGAGGAAGAGGGCTGACTAAATCATTATCATCTAACTCTCTACAACAAAGCCAACTGATTATTATTCTCTTTAAAAACACAACATGGATACGTTTATTATTTTATGAATTCATCTGTGAGACTTTCTTTGACTCTCCGTTGATGAATCATTTGATCGGTCGCTCTCAGTATGAGTTTGGTTGTGTCTTCTTAGCCAGCGAGTGGAGTGGTAGAGTTCTCAGCGTCGCTGGTTTCTGTAAAAATAAAACTGCTGGTGGCAGCACCGTATCACCTCGCACACCTTGCGGCTGCCCGTGACTGAGTCTCTGAAGGGAACAATACTTGGTTTCATGAGCTTCTTGCCTGGCGCACGGTGCAGAATTACTGAATGCCGTACTTTGTCTCCAGCTCCTCGGCTGCGTGTCCCAGGTGCATCTTTCTCACTTCGTCCAACAACTCTTGCAACAAGTGCCAGTGCATCATTCCGCCTCTCCCTCCCGCGCCAGCATGTGACCCTCTCTCGGCCCACACCCTCAGCATCTGGTAGTGAGCCTCGCGGCAGGACCTGTGGTCCATCTCTGCTTGTTCGATCTCTGCATCCTTCACACCGAGAGAACGCACCAGCTGCTTCACCTGCAGCACGGGGACCAGGTCCAGCACAGTGTAGATCAGGTCGGGGGCTGTAGAGGGGAGGTAGGAGAGGGGAAGGGGGGTGAGAGGGTGAGCACAATTGAGCTATTGGTCGGGAACACATGCTGCTGCTTTGTAAAGTATCAGATATACGCACTCTTGATTTCCAGGGGGATGCAGTCGGGCAGATTGGACGGCTCCTGTTCACCCACAGGACTTTGGGGAACAGCTGTAACACCCATGTTGTCTGAAGGTTCCTCGCTGTGAACCAGGACTTGCTATGAGACAAAGGGAGGTTAAGTGTTACGGACTGTAGCCCACAACCACAAGCCATGTAGTGCTCAAACTGGAACTAGTCCACTTCTGTAGCGTCTGAGTCTCGCCTGTGAATCAACCTTTATGTCGATCTCCGACAATAAGGACTTTAATTCTAGACCAGTCAACAACGGCAGCAGGGATGTTGCTATCTACCTGTGCATTGTCTGTTTCAACTATAAATGCTCACAGACAAGAAAACAAAAACACCCACCTTGTAATTGCTTTTCTTTATCAACACATTTCTCATGGTACACTTATACGTTAAAAGAGGTGAATTAATCGTCATTTGTTTTACGTTTGCACATTTATAGAAAGAATAATCCAAAGTCTTAGTCTTGATGCAGTGTAATTACACCCTGGCCTGGTCTCGGCCCTGACTTGGTCTCGGCCCTGACTTGGTCTCGCTTTATGCCATCTTGATTAACACCGGTAGCCGCGGGCTGTTGGGTCGGTTTACCTCACATGGGTCCGGGGAGCCATCGGACGGTAGGTTGGACCGTTTCAGCAACTTCTTCTTTGTGAACCGCTTTGTGGCCACGTAGGTGACGAGAACCACCACCATTACAGATACCGGAGCAATAAATGCAAATACAGCAATTATCTTGTTCAGGTATTGATCATTTGTAGAAGCTTGATAAGGATCCGATGAGGTACATGGGGAAGAAGACATGATGGACACAAGTTTAAATAAGCAATCATGTGCTTGGACTAAACTGCATTCTGCTGTTATGAAACAAAGCTATAAATATTAGTACACATATTTGCACACACAAATAGCTTGGCTCTGCAAAATATTTACTTCATTCAAAAAGGTATTTCTTAATAAGATACATAACCATAATCACATGTGCTCACCTTTTGTAGTCACAGGAAGTGACGTTGAGCAGTGATGACGGCACTCAGCGGTACAACTGCGAAGAAAAGGGAGGATGTTTTACAACACAAAGGAGGAAGTGAAAATCTTAAAGAGGAAGTGATTAACACAAACACAGACAGGCCTTCTTTATATACAGCAAGAGTTCTTTTTACAATTTTTGACACACAGGACTCTTTCATAATTAGTACTCAAGGCAGGGCTTAAGAGTGTGGCTAAAGATTGTGGTTCTTCTGGGCTGCCTTCCATTCCCCCCTTTAAACTGAGATGAATACCTCTGCCCGTGCACCTACTTCACAATTCACTCAACCGCCATTAATGACATGACATTGTCATTAAAGAGTGAAATAAAGAGTGCTGAAGCTCTACCCTGATCAGTCGATAGGCTGTTTCATAGCCTATAAGAACTTCTGTTATCGTATAACCAGAGAAACTTTGCCTAAATGTTTGCTCCACTTTTAAAAATGTACAACTGTCAAAAATGTTTAAAAGATATTTAGAAATGGAAATATCACCAAAGGGATTTCTAAGGGGCCCTTTCTCAGGCCTGCATTGGGTAAAACAGAATCCCATGCTCTAATATATTTAAACAATGGTTACATATTTAGTAATTGTTAGAACATCAGTAACCCAGTTAAGTCTTGTGACTTCTGTCTTCTGTGGCCTACAAATGGAAAGATTCGGAAGTGTGCTGCGAGTTTCAATTCAACAATTCAACTTCCCCATCAGCAACTCTGAAAATACCCCATCCCAAATGGCAGGATGGGAACTGTGCGTGTACCAAAGCTTATATACATTAATGTACTCACTTCATGCAGGGTGTACACTTGCCCTTGGCTCTGTAGTAGTTCTCTATACATTCACACTCAGTGTTTTTCTCCGGCGTACCTGTGCAAAAGAAAAATTGTATTGAAACTAAAACCAAGGAAACACTTGATGAGGCATAGTGGATGATTAAGACAAGGATGTTGCACAAACATAACCAAGTCTTGTAGTGTAAAAATGCTGTGGTTCAGACTCACATGTCCGTTTTTCCTTTTCCTTCTCCCCACAGCTGGTACATCGGAGACACTCGTAGGCCTCTGAGTCGATTGCTTTCTTGTAATAACCGTCTTTACAGCGACAGACAGTGTTTTGGGTTTTTTGACATGCTGACACCGTCACTTCATTCTTTGATACTGCAGAAAAGTTGGAAAAGGGAAAAAAGAAAACCATTAATTGACACAACACAAACCGATCAAAGCAGATAAACTGATGCAGAACAACAGATTGTGGTGCCGTACCCTTGCAGGTTCCGCAACGATTACAGTTGGGGGAGTAGTTTTCCTGGTCTGTATATTCTTTGTCAGGACAGGTTACGCACTTACTTCTCTGACCTTTTGCATTACAATCTTCTAAAAGCTTTTGACCTGGAAGACATGAACGTGCCACGTGAGCGCAGTTACTTTGCAGAAGGATTTAATGGTAGAAGAAGCCGTTGGCCACACGGTACCTCGAGAGCATTTGTTGCAACAAATTCCCTTATCAGTTTCATAATCCCCGTGTGGACACAACTCCTCCGGAGGCTCTGACAATGTCAGAGTGGGGATGGACATGCACTGAAACACAGAAAATACAATGAATGTACGTAGAAAAGCTTACTGCCCGTCACATGGACTTTTTTTCCGGTATTTAGGGAGTGATTTATAATTCCTTTCTCACCATAAGGAGGAGCAGTATTGTGCCAGCAAGGTTCTTTTTGGTCAATCTTCCTGCAAGCCCATCTGCCGCCATCATCTTTGAGGTTTAGCTCAATCCATCTGAGGACACATGAAAGAAAAACAACTTTAACAGCACATTTTGTAGCGATATAATGCGTAGGTACTCTGTGTACTATTTTACTCTTTAAAACGATTCATTAAATGCCTTAAATTCCCTTAATTTAAGCTAACTGGCGTAATTTTGGGAGCAGGACCACACCTTCAACACGCCCCTTCTGGTATTTCCATAAATACAGCTCAACCCACTCTTCTCGTTCTCGAGTACGCAGTCTGAAACACGACCGAGGTCAGGTAACACACGCTCAAACGTATGCATGTTACGTCATCTAAACTCTGGCACGCCATCACGCTTTCCCCTTCAGACGACAACAACATTCTCTCCAGGAAGGACCAGCAGAAACCCGTCTGAAGTTTCAAGGATTCCACAAGATCTGAACATTTCAACGGCGCCTCCGTGATCCAGATGCCACTTTCCCCACCAGAGAAGCAACCGAGTAAAGGATGCCGTTCCGGGCTCACGGCACGTAACGTTAACCGGAACCTCCATCACCACGCAACGTCCACCCTTTTTCAAATGCAAAAAATCTTCAGTTAGCCTTTAAAAAAAACGTAATCATTCGACCGGCAAAGGAAGTGAAAGGTTTCATGATCAGCCCATCCATACAACCGCCGTTCTCCCATTACCGCACAAACCCCATTGGCATCGCATCTAAGAAATACTCGGGAATGAAAGGTATCATCATTTGGAAAGGGATCACCCTTTTCTATGACGACACACAATCTACATTTGTATACGGACTCTGCTCCTTCTGTTGGTTTTGGGGGCTCAACAATTGGAGATGAAGTTCAGAAGCTTGGCCCCTCACGCAGAGACCCAGCCAACGCAAGTTCATCCATATTGGGCGCTGACGTTCGCCCTGTAAACCCTGCCCTTCTACCGCTGAGCGCCAGCTCGCAAAACTCCATACTCGACAGCCTATCAGCATCCACCCTCTCGTCTTACTGGACAGCATGGAAGAGCTTCGATAACCGACACCAAGTGTCCATGACATGCTTCGTCACCGTTGCCCATTCCGAGATGGCCATCAAAACCTACCGTAGTGGCATAAACTTCTTCTGCAACTCTAACCGGCAAACATGTGCAGCCTGGAATCATCTCCCATTAGCTGCACTCCTCAAAGGACTATCAAAGAAAGAGACCTCGTCGCCTCCCCCTCACCTTTTGACCTCTTGTTCACCCATATGATCACTATCCGTTCCAGATACAATAACCTGCACCTTGCCTTAACCTTGGAAGCCATGTTCTCCCTGGCCTTTTTCAGATTCCTCAGATGCTCAGAGTTTTCCGCCTCAATCTCCTTTAGTTGTTTTGAAACCTTTTCCACGTAAGTGCATTCGACAATGCCATAGTCTATCACCAACAGAACCTTGTGAGATGACCCTCTTCATCTCACAATCCGGCGAAGCAGCCCCTAGATTCGGATTCAGAACACCCCATCCAAATCATGGGCCTGGTCCTCACAAGTCTATCACCTCTCGTTGAGTTCAGAAACCAGTCCCACTTAAGAATTAGTGAATATTAACTATTTTATTCTTATGTGTTATTTATGCAAATAGTTTGATAGATTAGGTTGATAGTCTATGAATACTCAAATAGTCCACCGATGAGTCTTTAATGTGGTATCACTCACAGGTGTTTTTGGTGCACAAACATGACAGGATACTAACTCCCCTCACACTCAGCTGTAACTTGACAGCTCGATATCATGACATGTTACTGACTGATGAGGATCATACAAAGGTAACGTACTGTTGGTTGTTCACACAGCCTCATCAATATTGAAAAACCTAAATACAATCATGTCTAGACAATCCTGTTAGGGGGACAATGATTGGCACACAACAATGACAACATGGCCGAAAGTTTCATTTCATAATGTGCTTTATCAGTGCATATTACTATTTAATGTTTAAAATAGTATTATTGTAAATGACTAGAAACCAATGAATCTGGTCCAGGGTCCATGCGTCCAGTGATTAACCCAACCTGTGGCTGAAAACATACAACTTTATGTCTGATTAATTGTTTTTAGGTCTTTGTTTAGGCACTGACTGACATTTTAGAAGAATACCCACACTCAACTCAACAAATACATGTTAATCTATAAATCAATCATGGTTTTCTGTTTCGTAAAGAAAATCCTTTGTTGCATAATTTACGAGGTTAAAAAATATGAAATATGTCCAAACTCAATAAAATATCTTTTGACCCAATCTTGATAAGCCTAATGGGTCAAATCTCCTGATTTAAATGTGTTTTCCAGCATGGTATTTCATATTGAATCAGTAGTTAGTTGCTGATGTTCCTGTTTAGGTTTCGAGTCATGCGGATGACTCGAGGTGCCATCTCTGCGATCTCAATAAAATGGTGGTCAACAAAATGTAGTTTGAGCTGTCGATTATCAGTCAGGATCATCAATGAAAAACAGTAGAACTTTTAGAAGTGGTTTTCTCCAACACAAGCAGATCAAACCAAACTATGAGCAAGAAACGCGGCTGATTCATTTACTATTTGGATCAAAAGTGAAAGTCACCGTACCTTATTTTGTTTAACGCTACACATCACAAATCATCGCGGTTTTGGAAACACGCCATTTGGTCATATATTGTGGGACTGGAAGAATTAAATAGCAAAAAAACGTTAATGGAACTAGTTCGGCCGCTTCGCGCCTCTCTCTCTCTCCCTCTCTCTCTCTCCCTCTCTCTCTCTCTCTCCCGGGAAACAACTTTTACTTTATACTTTTTAAAACTCTCGAAACTGCACGCGACGACTCGCGCGTTCACCGATAACGTGGCCGTAAGAACCAAAAAATAGAACCAGATTCTATCGTTGGTTTCGGTTCTATAAGCGCGACCACACGACGCCCACCGCAGACCCGGAGATGTGACGTCTCCTTCCCACGCACCGACCCGCTTACCTGCACGACCACGGTCACGCGCCGAACCGGCGGGGGGCAAAGGGGGGGAGGGGGGGGCGCACCTCCGTTGCTTCACCCACGAACCCACTTTTTTCTTATTATTTAGTATTCAGCGCGACAATGTTGAGCGTCCTTCGTCGAAGGAGGAAGAGCGACCTGCCGCCCCTGTGCGCGGAGGAGCGTGGGGAGCGTGGGGAGCGTGGGGGCGGACTCAAACGGGAAACGGCGAGGCCGAGGCCGTTTCGAGGAATTGCGTCTGAGGGCAAAACAAAGAGAAACAGTCTTGAATAACCGGCGGAAGATGAAACGCCAGAAGTCTGCCGGCGATCGCTGCCTGGTGGTTGACAGCGCAGCGTGTCGCTCGTGTAGCCAAACATCCGAGGCATTTTCAACCATACAGTGACTGTTTGGGTTAAGAAGTAAAGAAACAGCACGATTCACAAGCAATTGAAAAGATCTCAATTATTATCTTCTTAAACCAACCAGTGAATTTTAAGAATCAAGTGGAGAAAATGAGTAAATAATAAGTAAGTCGTTTTTTAAACTTGTAATTACGGCACTATAATTGGAATACGCTGGTACTTTAGTCATCAGGCCTGCAGAGTGTATTAGATCGTGTCATTTTGCTGGTACAGTAGTCAATATAGGCGCCCAGTCAGCGGAGCAAGGCAAATACTTCCTCAGAAAACCCACATCCTTCCTTTTAGTGAGCAAACAGAAAAAGACTTCATCTCTACTCAGCCGCCTCTCTGTATTTAGATGTCTCGTGCACATATAGCAGAGCCTATGGGTCCTATACAGACACCTCGTGTAGATCTTTTCTTACATGCAACTAATATAATTCAACCAGAGAGGACAGAGTTCAGTCATTATGTGGAATTGGTATATTTCAAGCCAAATGAAAGAGAAAAAACATTCATTTGTGTTCCATTTCTGATTAGTTCGTCCGAACGGACCTCAACAGGTTTCCGACAAGTTCTAAACACAGTTTCGGTCAAGCAGACTGATACACAGAAACCTCTATAATCACGAGGTTTGCTTTGAGTCACTTCTGAGTGCTGAGTCATCTCTCTGCCAGTCACCACCGTAGTTTTGGTGTTCATGAGGCTTCGTGATACTGCTCCACTCACCCTTGGGCCCGGTTCTGCAGTCGACGGACGGTCGAAGGATCAATGTTGTGAGAAGAGCGTAACATGAGCGCTGAATGTGGGACGTGCCGAGGTGAAGAAAGGCTGCCACTCAACGTCTAAGGATGTTGCTGAGGTGCCGACTCGTTTTCAAAGACAAATTTTTTAAAAAGTGTTCCTAAAAGCTCTCCACACTAAATGCGATTAGCTGTTTATCACCAAGCAATCGATTGCTTGGTGATAAACAGCACACTTTCTCACACTTCAAATTTTTTCTGCGACAATACAAGACTTCCCCAAACACTCATTACTGCTACAATTTAGTGTCATCAGAACAGGGGGCAGATACTCATCTGTACTGCACGCATAAAGTACTACACACGAGCAGAAAAATAGCAGTATTTCAATTCACGAGAAGTACGTTACACGCCACTACATCTGATCAGATCGTTCACAAAGCCATGTCTTCTTACCTGAAGCTCCGTCCCGGCGGGGCCACGCCTCCTGCCTGTGCGGCGTGGTAGGGGCGTGGCTTCAGTCTGAAGCTTATTCAGACTCACATGCTCAGCTACAAAGTTGCCTTCAATCAACTAATCACCCTGCAGTATATCTACCCCGGGTTCCTCATACACTCGTCACCAGATCCTTGTCCAGCCTACCTGACTGCGCTTGTCTGAGTGTTTTCTCAGCAATAGAAGTTTATTGTTGGTCTGCCCGCTTTTCCGCTGACCCTGTATTTGTGTCCTTTCAGTTATCCGTCCTCCCGGTCTGCCGGTCCCCGCCTGGATGTCCCTGCCATTCCCCACTGTCTCCATAGCTGCGTCCTTGGCAATAAACTAGTTTCCCCTGTACCTCCTGGTCTCTGCATTTGGGTCCGCCACCACATACCGTAACAAACTCTGTGTGAAGCGTGAGATGACTAATGTCACGTTTGGTTTGTTGACAGGTAACTGTCTTTATTCCTCACTCCTGTGTATGATAACGTTGCAGAGAAGCTCATCAGAATGATGTATGTTCCTGGTAAAATGATTATCCTCTCATCAGCTTTCTGTAAGAGCAAGTTGGGCGCTTGGAGTCAAATGAGTATTATGTACTGAAATGACCCTGCCGTGCAGGTGTAAGACAGAGGAAGAGACCGGTGTAAGACATACACAGAGAGAGGGAGAGAGAGAGAGAGAGAGACAGAGAGAGAGAGAGTGTCTGATAGAGTGAGAGAGCCTGAGCGGTTGTTTGCAGCCAAAGGAAAGATTTTTGAAGAAACGAGAGAGACGGTGCCCGTGGAAAGAACGTGGAGGCTGGAGGTCGTGTTTTGTGCACAGAGCCAGGGGGTCGCAGAACACCGGCACAGGATGAGAGAGAGCAGCAGAGAGCAGGGACATTTCCCCAACTGCATCAAGATGTTAGGCTTTCACAATGAGTCATCCCTTTACCAAATATCCCCTGATACACTTCTGCTCCCCTGTTCAGTCTCCCACTCGGAGGGTCTCAGGCTACATCTCTTCTCACACTCTCGTCCACGGTATGTAACGGCTTTGATCTTTTCAACCGTAGCTGTCAGTGTGTTTAGCTTCCTGTAATCTTCCTTCCTTTAGGATGTAACATTTTTAAAAAAGCAGTTTATGTTAGTACAGGGCTTATTTTACTCGTTCCTACGTTGTCTGATAAGTACTATATATTGTGATGTATATTTATTGTGACGTGAGAATACTACAAAGCGTTGGGCATCTTTTTTAAAGAAAACGTTGTTTCCCTCTGTGTCTGTTTTGTGTATAAATCAAATCAAATAAATAACTGTTTTCCTCCACCTCACACCTCACACTTCTTTCTTTGCTTTTCTTCTTCACAGATGAAGCCAGACTGTTATTTTGTTTTTACTTTCCTGTTCAGTCTCTCCTTCCTTTCTCCCGTCTGTCCCATAAACTGCAATAAAACACAATATGCCTGGCCAATGGACGGACCCCAGCTGTGCTGTGACAAGTGCCCTCCAGGTACTGTACCACTAATCCTTTTTTAAATATATCTCATAGATTTAATGCGAATGAGTTATAATATTGTATTATTTCAGGGAAACATATGGTGCGGCGTCCAGATCGCACTTGTGGAATTGAGTGTCAGTCCTGCACTGGTCGCCGGTACACGGATGCTCCCAACGAGGAGCTGGGCTGCGAATTTTGCGAAAACTGCGATAAACGTGAGTAACTTCACAGCTTTTCTCTCATTGGCGGCGTGCCAAATACATATGCGAGACCCCGACTGTGACAATCCTACTTATGGACACGCAACTGAAACAGCCTTTGTGATATTACATGTTTTACAAGCCATATCTCCCAGACACACAATTGACATTACATTACATCACATGGCATTGAGCTGACGCTTTTATCCAAAGCGACTTACAATAAGTGCATTCAACAATTTGAATAGGTGAATTAACCTGTTAACGGGTTATGATCATTAGTATAGAGATTACATCATTCTTTGAGCGTGATGTGGGTTGTGAGATGTGACCAGTCAAGTCAAGTCCGCCACAAGTCCGGAACAGCAGAACTGAAAGAAGATGTGCTGTTATTACTGAACTCTACTGTGTGTAGAGTCTGTCATGTTTGCTGATAGAGACCACGGGGGGGCACATATACGGAGGGGATTTCCCCTTATGTGTGTCATGGTGGGACACAGTCAAAGAGAGACTAAAAGGGGCCTGGGGGTCTGAGAAACTGCTGTAACCAGCTCAGAGGTTATTCGGGTGGGATCTGACTGCAGTACCAACGGTATAACAGCAGCACAGCCCACTACTTGCAGTGAAGACAAGAGGAGGTACAAAAGTTAAACCATTGTCTTGTTGGTGGAAAAATAAGAGAAAAACAGAAAAGTGCTGAACATCGAAAAGAGCTGCAGACACTAAAATGTCGTCTCCTATGTTGTTACTCAGGTCTCTGCTCCGCGACATGAGAGCAAAAACAGCTTGTTGTGCTTTTTTTTAAAGGTCACTGAGGAAAAAAACAAAGAAATGTCAGAAAGTACATGTGATTGTTTTGACTTTTTACGCCGAGGGGCTCTCTTTACAGATGGTAATCAAAAGGTTAGCATGTGTTGATGCGATGTTAAAGTGCAGCTGTATTACAGTCTGACATTATGCTGGAGGGGACAACGGTGGGTGTTTAAAATGTCAAAAACATCCAACGGGTAAGCGGCCGTATGCCAATTAACAGCTATCGAAACTAATTCAGTCGGAAATGGTTCAACCCACACAAAATCCTCTGCTCTTGAATTACAACAATAATAGTAGTGCAATAGTTTTAACCAAGGCCCTTTAGAAATAGTCTTACGTTCGCAAAACGTATTGTATTGTATTGTTTATGGCTCCATGGGACTCATAGAAGTGTTCATCTCTTTGTTCATTTCTGAATTGGTATTGAAGTATGCACATTATTCTGCAAAGAAGGTCAAGTAAAAATGTGCTTTCACTGAGCAATAACGGTTGTGACAGTCTTTAAAGAACAGGTATCAAAAGAGACGATAACCGTTTTATGACACAAAACCAAAATCTGTACCTGCCCAGGTTGTGAGTCATTTCTCATTTTCTGATATATGTCACGTTTTACAGGCACCCGTTGTGCATATGTGTCACACATGCTAACTCAGAATTATGATTGACTTTGATCTTTTAATGACTACTGACTTTCGGTAATTTTTTGATCACAGCACACATGGAGTATCACTCGGAATGTAGCAGCACTCGTAACGCTGTTTGCAGATGTGAAGCTGGCTACAGATGCCAAGACGATCCCTGCAAACAGTGTGTGCCGATACCATCCACCACTACCACCAAACCCACACTCCCTCCATCCACTACAGGTACCCGAGAGTCAGCTGCAGCAGCACACCAGAAAGATGATTTTTAAAAATGAAAAACTTTTGTCTGATCTATTCGAATGTACACTCTTGGCAGACTTCTCTAAAATAACAAGCAGACAATTGAAAAGTTTAAACGTTTTTCATGTTTCTACATATGAAACATGAAAAACTGTGAAACAAACTTAATATCAGGATGAATAGTTACCATAAAAATGGATCAGACACATCTGCTCTGCCTCAGCATCAGTTGGACAGCAACCAACATCAGCAACACGTGGTTGTGAATCTGGACTTTAAGGGACCTTGTGTCTGCTCTGAGCCGATAACGTTTTTATTTTTTGATCTCTTCCCCTACATTCCTGAAACCAGGAGCCATCCCCACTCTCCGGACAACTTCTCAACCAATCAAAGGTAAGGGAGAGTTAAAAATCTTTTTAAAAAGTACTTCTCTGATGAGGCTTTATCTCAATCTTTCTAAAATGTCTTACAGAGACGGCGTGGTTCGTAGTAATAATCGCCCTCCTGTGTGCAGGGATCACGCTTGCTGCTGTTGCAAAAATCAAGCCCTTTATGCTGTGGATCAAATCCAAACACGGTTAGTAGGCTATTATAACGAGGCAGATAACCTGACACAGAACACGTTATCATTCATATCCAGTGATTATTACCTTCTATTTCAATTAAATCACAAAGACAACTTGCTCTTATTATTTTGTTGCTCAGGCTACATGTTGGCTAAAGATCCCCAACCAGCATCACCATGCTCCGAGGATGAGCAAGTATCAACCCCCATTCAGGAAGTTCTTGGGAAATGTGAAGTATGAGTTGAAGAGCCTGAACTTGATGAGCACATTATTATTATATGGGCAACGTGGCGACGGGGTAGAAAGGGTGCGCCGGGAACCACAAGGTTGGTGGTGTGAGTCCCTGAGCAAGACACCTAACTGCTAATGTAATGCAAGTTGCTTTGGATAAAAGCGTCAGCTACATGATGTAATGAGCAGGGATTTGACATTTAGTGCAAAACATTTCTGTTGCTTTTGGACACTGATGACAAATGGGGGCAAACAGACACTGCAGTGATTGTACATACGCTTTAGGTTGTGCAGTATGTTGTCCAAAGGCAGGTATGTACTATTGTACATGACAGATATTTCACATCTTCGTTTAGGTGTTTTTGTGTATATACACTTTTCAGATAATACATCAAATGTAAATGTTTTTAACATGAATTTCTACTTTCTTTATTGTGGATATAATAGTTGTAAAGTGCCTCATATATACAGAACATTAAACATTCAACTCTAATACTTGAAAGCAAGAAATTTATTAAAGAGTATTTATCTGATGTCCTATTAACTTACAAGGCAGATCACCCTCCAGCTTTTCTTCCCACAGTTCATGTTTTTTGTTGGTACTGACTGCATGTTTTCTTGGAACCTGGAGATAAAAATGTCTCTGCAGAGCACTGAGATTTCTTCACATTTTGCAAAAGGCGTGATGGATCGGCTCCACACTCATACGTGGTTTCACATCCTTTAAGACAACGTGTCTGTGATGAGCCTGGACGTAACCACCAACTGCAATCTTCTAGGGTTTTCAGGATGAATCATAGCTCTTCCTCTTTGGACATGTGGCAGTCCTTCCCCTGCTCCTGGGAGGGAAAGAACACGCTCTCAGTCTCTCCCCTCCACTCCTCTTTAGAGAGATGGGGACTCGGAGAAGAAGTGGGATGGAACACAGGACAGTATCTCTCTTCTTCTTCTTCTTCTTCTTCTTCCTCACTATTCACTCTTTCGGATTTCTTCACGCATTCAGTGGTCGGTCCAGCTTGGCCTGTAAACTGACTCAGCAAGCTAAAGATGACTGTCCCTGGATTGTGGACATGGACCGGACCTACGGAGATTAGAACAAACAAAGAATGCACTTAAAGGGATGTTTTAATTGACCCATGGAGGTACATTGAAATATAGTTCACACAGTCAAACAACTAAAAACAACTCTGAATAATTACAGTAACCCAGCTGCATCTTTTACATGTTTACGTTTTATTTTCATCATGACTCCACAGAGTGAGTCAAGCATTTCACATGAAAGTCTTTGTTTCAGTCTTCAGTACCCAGATTGGCTGTGGAAAGGAAGGATGGCTGCTGCTTTGCACTGAATGAGTCTCTGGGGATGTGATGAGTCGAGTCGTTTGACTTGTGAGAAGCATCTGCTCCTCCCTAAAGAACATGTCCGTTAGTTTGGTGCAAAAAAAAAATATATATATATATATATGATAGATAGTAGCCTGGAAATGAGCTACTTACCAGATTGCATAATTTTATAACAGCTGGAAAACAATAGATACATAGATGAAAAATAGAAAGTCAATTTTTTAGACATATCCACCAAAGATGCATCAACATTCATTTGTTTTATAAAGAAAATAACAATCCATAGAGCTAATGATACATTCCTGGAAGCATTTCAGTCAATTGTAACGGGATCATAACGTTCAAGGATGTAAACTCGCTTGACAACATTACCTCGCTTGAAACATGTTTCACCTCTGGTGCTACAAACGAACAAAAGCATCCCAAGCGACGCGCATCCCACGGCAACCAATGGACACAAGATGGCCACCAGGTCATCGTTTGTCTTGTCTAAGGAAGAGAAACAAGACTTTCTTTGAGTCACTGCTAAATACAAATTTGCTCACAACGGAAATGTCGGCATGCTGATGTGAAGAAGGTCATATAAACCGGTTAGCCAAAACAGCGTGTTGTCATCAGCGTATTATTGCTAATCATTAAGTACAGCTTTGGCTGAAGTTATTAGTTTTGCAGGTGGTTGTTTCTAAACTATATGGAGGTAGACTATTATGGAGTTAGATATTGTCCACAGTGATAAGCCAAATCCAGGGATATTATTTTCCAGATTTAATGGAAAATAATACAATATTTTCAGAGAAATTTCACTTCCTTCACAACCTTCTTGTTGTGTCGGAGGAAACGTAGCTGTCGGTAGAGTAAGTAAGATTCTCCATGAGTGAGTACCATGGATATATGTACCTGATTCCATAATAATCCAACCTTGTATTTAGTGAAAAGTAATCATCAAAGTCAGTCCATTACAATCCATAAAGCATTTCAGTCTATCACTGGAAATGTAACGTATTGTGCACTCTCCATATACCCGTCTCACCTTCACCGCCTCTGTGATGTGTATCATTTCCTGCCGGTGTGACTAACGGAGGGCCGCGTCTGTGTCAGATAAGGGTGAGGTGTTGAATATGTCAGCTATCTCAAACATGGGACCCAATGAACAGAGACAGACTGCAAAGCCACTGACTGTCTGTACCGAATGCTAAAATAATCTGTATGAATGCATTGTGACATGAAAGCCCTGTCATCTAGAGTTCTTGGTTGCGTGGTATTAATTATGTACTTTATCTAAGAAATCCATAACATACTTGGGAGATTGGCTGGGTTTGTGGGAAGTGCTGTTGTTTCCTGAGGAAGCTGAGGGAGGTGTGTGTTTATCTTTGCCTGGAACAACAGCAGCTACTTCTGGTGAAAAAGGAAAAAAACAGACAAATATCTCACTGGTTAATCTTGACAATGGAATTTATTGCAACAAACTGTAGATATATATGACAAATGCTGCAGGTGTTTGAGTCACTCGTGGTTGTGTGCAGCTGCTTTTGAGGTACTAGAACGTGAGAATTTGTACCGAGTATAAACTAAACTTAAATTACTAGCATACGTTTTCACATTTTAAAACATGACAACCATAATTACTTTGCATATTAACATTTTACATTCTCATTCTTCTTGAAATAAAATAAAGAAAACATCCCTGTTGTGGAAGAGTAAAAACCTCTTATATTTAATGTATATATTTCCTTATTTGTAATTTAGCAATGTTTCATTATTTCTTACCAGCAACATTGAAGAGGTTTGTGGCCAATTCATAATACAGTGGTGCCAAAGGCTGCATACAAGTAGTAATGCTGTTATTCTAAATAAAAGGTTGTATTATTTGTCCGTGTTAACACCCCTTGTTAGGTGACCGAATTTAAACTCCTCCATTTCTTAGTATTTACCAGTTGTCATAGTGTCCTGAATCTCACAGTATCTGCAGTTTTCCGAGTATGGGACCATATCTGTGCAGCGGAAACCATCTTCACAGACGCACTTCACATCCGTCTTCCTGGTGCAGTTCTGAACCACCTTCATATGACCATCTGAAATGGTGGAAAACAGAGATTATTTTACAGATTTGTATCACAGGGGAGTAAGAACAGAAAAACAAAAAGCATATTTCCTTTCTGTTTTTTTGTAGGAACGTAACGTTCACATTGGCATCATCATCTTCAGTGATGGATCACGCCGTAATGTTGGGAAGCGAGGACCAATGGTTTCTTTACCTGGTTTACAGTCCAAGTAGCAAGGATGGCAGTTGTATTCATGGTTCGGACCAGATGTGTAGTATCCAGCAGGACAGGACTGACACTCTGTACAAGACTTCTGATAACTACCTGCCAGAACAAGAAGAAACAAATGAGGACAACCAGAGGAGCAGAGAAAGGCTGCTCGCCCAGAGCGCATATCAATGGAGGATGTGGTCGTACAGCACCAACTGTCTGCGCTGCAGGCATCACTTTTCATCAAGATAAACAGAAACAGGAGGGAAAGATAGACACCATATGCCTCAGGGTTTTAGAGTGATTTTTAGACAATAAAATAAATGAGAAACAGACCAAAGACAGAAGTAGAAGATGCTATTGCACCTGATATCATCTTACCTGAAGGGCACATTTTGCAGCTTGGGCCAGGGAAATGCTGGGCCCCATCCGTCTGTTAACGCATTAACACAATCAGACACAAACCTCGATACTTGTTTATATATTTGTCACCCATGTATTATACTATAATCAAACAAGACTATTTTTTTGTAAAATGTTATTATTTTGTACTGTGGTTGAAGGACATCACTACCAGCGGAACTGAGAGCACCATCTTTGCAGATAACACGACGATCACGAAGCTTTGCATGGGGCCCATTCTATGGAGACCAATGCAGAGAACATTAAAACCAACCGTACAAAGTGATCTGTAGAAAAAAACACCAATAAAAGTTAAAAGCACCAAAACAATTTCTCGTCCTTTGAATAAGTGATAACCAATAAAATATGGAACATTAACAAGAGATTTCTACCTTTGACAATAATGTGTCCTCTGTCCTCCTTCGATAACTTCAAGGTGTGACTCTTTCTTTCTCTCAGTCACTCTACCCGTCACTATTTCCATGCCCCGACACCTTCCTGTGTCTCGCCTACTGATCTCCGCCAGCGACCTGCCTGTTCACACGTTCAGCTGTCACATGGCGACCCAGCTGCGCGCACTCTGACTAACGCTCCGGCGTAAAAGCCTCATGACTTTCCGTTCAAACTGTAAAACCCTATGATAGTGACGACGGAGCAGACCATTTTGCACAGCAATTTGAATTTCTGATGACTGTACATTTTCCATTTCGTTAAAGTACATTACCAAGAATGGGTACAAAACAATCTTTAGTTAAATCAGTGGAAATAGACATTTCAATAAAAAAAGCTCAGAATTACTGCCTTGAAGATGAATTCCTCCGACCAGACAAGTTGCAAGTTCCATTCACGCCCCTCCAATTTGTCATCACTTCATAATTTGACCTGTGAGTTATTTCGGGAAAAAAAACTCACTGCAAACAATAAAATTGCATTTATAAAAAAAATCTGACAGGGCTCCGTGTCAACCGTTTCTGTTAATAATAATTAAACAGAGTATCTGTGCATTATTTCTGCACCGAGATGCAGCTCTTGAGTCGTTTAAATACGATTAATTAAGGCTGCGAGCACAACAAACCCAATTCCTTGCTAAAAGGAAACATGTATATTCCCTCACAAATAATAACACACAACGATGTCTCTCAGTTGCATATTTTATTCTTTCAGTCTCTGACACTTTGCTCTGCTGTTAAAAGCTTTAAGCTGCATTGTCACACATCTGGAGAAGTTCCTCAGGATTATCATCAAACTGTTTTGTGACACAAATTAGTTCTGATTATTTTGTCCACTCATTAAAGTGAAAGAAATATGTTGTGATTGACTGCCATCTTTTCCATAATTATTCCTTTCCATATGTGTGACTGAGGACATTCTTCGTTTGCAGTCTTTGAACACAAGGATCCAAAGCTATATTTCTATTACACATATATTATCAAAGTCATTTTACAGTCATTTTGTTTAAGCATTTTGCATTTCAGTCTTTTTTTTTACGCGAGTGATCTTTAAACTGACTTTATTTGGCAACCACATCCACTTATAAAGAAAACGTACCAATTGGAAAAAAAGACCACCATTGTCATTTGATTTAGATAATTTCAATATTTGAGGTGATTATTGTCAAAAAGACATCTCAGTCTCAAATGCTAAACATAGAGACAACCTCCAATAGGACCAATGTTTTGTTTTTCCTTGTGATGTAGATTTGCCCCGGTAAAAGTCTTTTTAAAAACACTCACTATACAGACATAACACCCAAAAACAGACGCACATGCATACACAGAGACTCACGCGGTGAGCAAAAGTAAAACTTACATAAAAAGAGATGGCGCGTTTTATGTCCCACACAACTTATCTCTGGCATCCTCCTTTTTTTCAAACAGTAGTGGAAACACTGCGTTTAGCACTCAGATGAATGCGATAGCCACACATGCACCACTTTAAACAAGATTAAACTCCACCGTCCATTGTGGAAACCGAGTGTTGACGCAGCGGAAGCAGAAGAAATATTTCACAAACTACCGCCAGGACGATATTTAGACAATGTTGTGTGATTAAAGATCAGTGATGGTGGGGGGTGGAGGGGGGGATTCCTATGCCAGTGATGAATTCCAGCAGCAAGGTAATATATATATATATATGTTCTACGGTAGCGGTGTAAGTAAAACACTCACGGTTAAATATACGTAATAAAACTTAAAGTAAAAATGGTATGTGTAAAATTCATTATTCTAGATCCCCACCTGCAACATGAATGAGACGCGTGAACGTAACAGAAGTTTTGTTTCCAGCATGTTGACGTCTTTATCTTACATGTTTTACAAGTAGCATTGCTGATTGTTTCGTATACATTTCTGCTTTGCTCTTCCTTTCTATGTGCAAACAGGCTCAAAAATAGGTTTAGTTTATATACATCAAGCACCTTGGTGAAATAGCTTTAGCAGCTATATTAGGTTTTACATTTTTTTTATCTAACTGCAGCTGCAGCTTTGTTTATTTACAATCGGGCCATTATATTTTGGCACCAAATGGCTAACTTACTCTATTTTTGACATTCCTTTGTTCTCCTTTTAGGTTATTCAGCCGAACAGCACTGCTCAAACCATCCAGGCCGGACTCGGACCTTTGACAATACTGCTGAAAATAAAACTAATTAGTTACAGCTACATAACAGGCAGGCGTCAGTGCACTTTATCACACGGTATTATTATTGCCAGAGGGCAATGAAGACCCAACATTGACTTCAAGAGGGTGCATTTAAAACTGAAAACCAATGCAGTTCCCATGGGGACTGGGACGTCCGTCTCTGTGCTCACCTGGGACTTTGGGCTGGTTATAAAGCACCGTTGACAGATTTATACGTGAGGTTCAATGTATTTCAGATTCGTTGTTACGAAATGTTTTAAATGTGAGTGGTCTACTCGGAAATTTTTGGTGTTAGTGGCTAATAACAGAAATGTTACCTGTGTTTCAGCCTCTAAGTTTAAAGCTCATCATTAATGAATAACATGGTTACATTCAGGTGATTCACAGCAGATGAATAATAGAACTGTGACAGACCACCAAAGGTTTCTATTTTCTTTTTTTTAGGATCCGATCCTAGAGGGAGGAGGTATTTTGATATTTAGCGACACAACCCTGCAGCTCCACAGCCAATGCGTTGGATCTTTATTTGATAATTTCCTCACTTAATGCTTTGCTAAATAAAGCAGAGATGTTTTGAGTTATTAATTAAATAAGGTTTGCTTTGCTTGTGGTTAAACTGGTTATTACACCGAGAAATACAGAAAGACCTCTGTAACTTCAAGACCCCAACTATGCCCTTTTTGTCTTTGTTTAGTCATAGTTTTATAATAACAGGCCTGTAACTTTGTATAGAGTGGACCATAAGGATTCAGTAACTCTACAACATATATTCGCCTGATAGTCCTTCAGATGGCCAGATTTTTAAGTGTGTTCTTACTGTGTTGGGAGTGAATAAGTCATGCTATGCTTTCCAGTAGCATGCAGTACTGCACATCGGCCCGTTAACTTACATTCAGGATCCTTACATTTCTCCATGATAAGATTAAACTTCTTGACTGCTGCTCTTAGACACAAAATAACTAGGTCATATTAGGTCCTACAATAAGAAGACCTCTTATTGCGTCAGTGACATCTGCATGAAGTAGTAAAGACAGAAATCCAGATACTCATTCCTAGTTTCAGCTCTGAAAAGTCTCCCCGGACCAAAGTGGACTTGCACGGAGAGAAGGAAAATACTCCGTAAATGAAGAGGTTCATGTGTAAACATGGTGTTGCCATAGTTACTGGGGTGCATTGCATCAGCGCGGTACTGTAGCTGGGTGCGTCGCAGGTCATGTGAGCACAGCCTCCGTTGCTGCTGGAATGAGGAAGTGTCAAGATCGTTTAGCACTCGAGGAAGAAGGCGGCGATGATGAGGACCTGTCGCTGTCCCTCCGGTCACCGTCCTCAGAGGACACGGGCGCCGCAGAGTCACTGTGCGACGCGAACACAAACATATGACGGAATGAGAGGAAATGGTAAAAGTATTTATACATTCTGTATAAAAATGGACTAAACTGTTAATAACATACTGTAATGTGTATGCGAGGAGATGTAGGATTCTGCAGGTAAGTAGGTAGGAAGCCAGAAATTATTCTATTCAGGCCGAATTACCTGATTGGACAGGCGTATTACTGCAATAGCTACAGATTTTATATATATATATATATATATATATATTATATATATATTTTCAGGGTTTGATTTTTAGATTGCTGTTGGGGTGTAATGAGATTTAAACAAATATTTAAAAGGAACAGTATTCTTACACACTGTTCCTTTAAATGCATGTATACTGCTTATTGACGTTGTAAGGGGATAAATAGTGAAGTATATCACTATGGAGCTAAAGGACCAAAAAGATGAAACGGACTGACTCCTGTTTCAGGATATATTGTTACCTGTCTCCACTTTGTGTGATGAGTCTCCTGCAGGTCTCCATCTGAACATCTAGGCCTCTCTTCATCGAACACATCTCCATGTACTCGTGGAGGTGCCGGTTCATGTCACTCTTTGCTGTGGCCAGTTCCAGCTGGAGTAAGAAGACATATATTCAGTCATATTAAACGCACAAAGGGAGTTGGATACGTGGTTTTTTGCATGCGTGGGAGATTAAAAGTAATGAGCAGTACAGTGCAATCTGCACCAGAAAAGGACATGTGATTAAATAAATGACACTGACCAAAAGAAAAGCACATATATGCACAGGGATATTTGTGCAATTTAGAATTCTGTGTCTAACCTCAATCTGGTCAATTGTCTCTTGGTATTCCTTCTCTCGGGACTTGAAAAGACATTCTGTGTCATTTATCACCTTTTCCAGACAGTCCTCCTGGTAGAGAGAGAGAGACAGAGAAGTGAAACATTTCAAGTAAGTTTGTGGTCAGGATGTAGGAATACAAGTGATAAAATGCACTACCACTTCTGCTACTAATCATAGCACAATAAGTACACAACTATCAAAGTACAGATGGCTTAATGCTCCGATCAGCTCAAATTTCCCTGACATGCAGCTCCTCGCTTGCCCATTGTTCAAGTACCACTCAGCCGGTGATTGAAAACAAATACTTACAAGCATTTCTTAGAAAAAACAAAACACACTGATAACAGGCTCAGTCACTGCATCGGTCTGGCTGTGTGTGTGTCTATTGTTTTGTCTGCAGTAGCAGATCTGTGAAGCTTCCTGTCAGCGCCAAAGACAGAAATGTAAAAGATCTTCAAAGACGCGCATGCAGCCGGCTGAAGTGACAAAAGGTTTAGATCCCCATCAAAGACACAAATTGTTCTCACAGTGTTGAACAGAGTATAATTCAGGGATGGAATTGGGCATTCACTGCATCTCAAGGCCAGCCAACACAGATTTATTCCACTTCCACTAGTTATGTTAGTGTCTTTTCAATATGTTTATTATGGAAAGGAAAGTGTAAAAATTGGTTATCTTCTCATTGCTCACGTATGACAACGTGACAAATGTTTGGTTTGTTTTTATTATGTTGTGTAGGTGTTGTCATAGTACTCCGTTTCCACTTATTTAGGTAAACGTCCCTTCCTTTAAACGGATCTCATTGGAATGATTCGTTCCACCCTGGTTTACCTCTCCCGGTGGGTGGGTGGGGTCAGGTGGCAGAGTGCATCCTGGGAAGTCCTCCCAAAGGAGCAGAGTCTCTTCAGTCTCCTCCCAGGCCAGACTATCGCAATCGTCCTCAAACTCACATTCACGTCTAAAATGAAAACAAACGAAAACATACACACATTGACACATTAGCTGCAGGACTAAAATGCACTAATATTTAGAAGTTAGACCACCCACAGATGGTTCAGCATCCTCTGCATCTCCTCATTGATCTGATTGGCCGATGAGCCACAGTTGTCTCCATCTTTGACCCCTCCGCCGTCGCTTTCAGAGGTGCGGACGGGATCATCGCCCTCGCTGCCGTTGAAAGACAGAGGAGTTTGTTTCCGGCGGCAGTGAAGCGCTGATGGGTTAGGAACCTGCTGGGAAACCATCAGGATTTAGACCATCGGCATAAATATTCAAGGAAACGGTTCACACATAGTGACTTGTTGACTCCTGGAACTATAGCGTGGCAGTAATTACACATTTTTTCGCCGAGCACTGCGTGGAAAAAACAAAAGAACCAGAGGTGAGAACGTTAGCGCCTCAGATTTGATCCTGGTACCTGGTACATCTGGATGACATCTTCACAGTTCCTCTGCTGAGCGACGTCACACAAGCGAGCGGTGATGTCGATCCTGCGGCAGATGTCCATGTCCACCTTCATGGCTTTCTCCTGGATCTTACTGTCCAAATCAGACAGGTTCTACAGACCATGGAAGGAACCATAGTAAGAACCACATTTCTTACATTTCATCCACTGAAAAGCGGGAAGACATATAGTTAGCGTTCATGTGCATAGACTAGAGAGTATGAACGTGTGGTTTGCTCACATTACTCATGAGGCCTTTGAAGAGAACCAGCTCGGCCTTCAGCTGCTTAACTCTGACAGCCAACTCGTCCTGACAGCCTTCACTCTCTTGCAGGTCCTGTACACATAAAAACAAAATATAAAAAAACTAAACACGTAGAAGCGCAAAAACAGAAGCCACATGCACTGGTGCATCTCTTTGCTGCAAAGTACAGGTCACATTATGAAAGCACAGGTCATCGACAGCATTAATAAAAGTACACTTGCAAAGTGCATGGAACATTGTAAATCCTAAAATGCATGATCTCCTCTGGGGATTCTCCAGATTTGTGTTAGGGCTTCATAATTCTCTCTGTCGACTGGTCCATGTGCTACAGCAATGGTGAGGACCCGTGTTTTTTTTTCACTGTGATAACTGTGTGATCTACTTTTTTTGATTTGCTGCCTGCTAAACGGGGTCAGGTTCAGATTCCTGGCATCAGCACAGGTGCATGTGAAGAAACGCGTAGCCGCCACCGCGCAAACACAGGAAATTGGTACAACCATACATAAAGACAAAGATGCAGGAAGCATACATGTGGCAATCAACCTGACTGCAGATGAATTTGATATTTTATAAAGAAATAACTATTTCATTGAAAATATAGTGTGGTCATTTAAATGAGAATGGTCGCTGCATTAGGTAATGATCAGATGCAAAAACATTGAAGAAAACACTAACAAAAGAGTGGAACAGCTTTGCATGAGTCAGGACGTCTGCCAGTGTAGAACTGCAGACAGCTTGAACACTGTACGCAGCAGCAAGCGGCTTTTTCCCAATGTTATCAGTTACGTAAAAAGCCTCATCTAAACTATTTAACTACCAGCTAAGCAACAGCGAAAGTACAACTTTGGTTCAGACATACCGCATTGTTGGGCTCCAGCGCCCCACATGCACACAAACACGCACAAAGTTACCTCTTGTAGGTCGGCTATTTTCTGTTGCAGATCCATCCTCATAGTGTATTCTTCTTCCCACCTAAAGGTCCCATTGAATATACAAATAAAGAATATGTTAGTGTCTTGTAATGTAAATATAGAACATGTTGTTTCACATAAACAGCGAATGATGCATCTTTTACACCAAGTTCGGAAGGCCACTGTAGTATAAAGGGATACATGACATCACTCATTTCAGTAAGTTGAAAGGTCAAATCATATATCATCTCCAGCGCATCTGACTAGCCACATAGAAACGCTACAACAACCAAATTCCTCCAGATACATAAAATCAGATGACGCTACGGGATCAGGTTTGCATTTTCATTTAATGCTGAATTGCGATGCTCTCGTGCAGCCCAGACGGCGTGACCACATATCTGAAATGGAAAAGCCTGAGCTATATATTCAGCGACTTCACGTGCCCATGGAACAAGAGTCACTGCAGAGGATGTAGCTTCTTATATAAATGTTGCTTTAAATGCAGAATGCTGCGGCACATCGGGTCCTTCAGGGAATACTAATTCCGAAAAGAAACTGAGTCATGAAACCGGAGTTGTTGCCGTTGTAGAGGATGTTTTTTAATCAGTTAAAGGCGAACAGAAGGCAAGAGAGGTGCCGCCTTCTGCAAGACAAGCTCCCATCCGGCAGTCAGAGCTCGCAGTGCATGCTGCATTGCAGATAGTGTGGAGTGTGAAGAGGGTGATGCGCAGTGGGAGAGAAGGGAGGTAGAGACCATGAGGGGACATGTTCAGTGTGGGGAATTGAGAAAGACAATATGACAGTGTGGCAGACACAGGGGAGAGAGTGAGGGGCAGGGGCTCAGGGAGGGTAAAGGGGGAGGTGTGGGGGGGGGGAGAAGTCGTCCTTGAACGAAAAAGTTCAAAATGTATAAATAAAAGCAAACAAAGAAAAAATGGACTTAATTCAATAAAATGAATGACTCAGTGTCAACAGCAGACACACACCACGACTGTTGAAATGAGCAACTCATCCGGCCTCAAGTCTCTACCTACGACCACATTGTGTGTGTATAGCCCACCATACTGTGGTCAGGATCTCCTCTGTGAAGAACGTATGGCCGCTCATTTGGACATAATATGAGGGAATTTAATGCGCTGAAACATGGATCCAAAACTTGCCCCATGTCCTTCAAAGTCGCAATAGGGTTTAACTGATGTGGGCGGTTTTCTCAAATCATTTAAAAAGGGAGAATCCACAAGATCACAACGAGTTAGATCTTGTGTTCTGTGAAACTCAGACAATCTCCCAAAATTGGAAATCAGAGCATCCAGATCTGGAGCGGTGACGTCATCGTGAAACATTGTTGTGGTACGCTGATGATGAATAAGTGATTGTGGGTCCAGCAACGTTCCATGATGATGGTGCAGCAACTATCCATCATGTTCATTATTTAATTGACCTGCTGAATATTTATCATGGGAAGCATGTCAGACAAAAAAAAAAAAGAATTGAAAGATTTTAATCTATAACAAAAAAAAGCAGTATAAATTAAAGAATTTCAACTGCAGGTCAAACTTCACATTTTTAAAGCGCTAAGCTGTAAATCTGTCAAGCATTGTAGTGTTTGTGAATACTCACATTAGACCTAACTTGACCACCTTCAGGGTTTGTGGTTGAAACCATCATTTCGGTCTCTCATTATCTCCGTTTCCGAAAAAAAATGTCTGCTCACTCAGCTTGGCTTGTGCCCCCTCCCCCCCCCCCAATAGTCTGGTGAGTCATCTCGGCAGCATAATGAACTCCGAAGTGAACATTTGTGAAGCAGTTTGAGCTTCACACGTCCACACTAATGATATTTGACCTTCATTCTTCATATGATATGTGTTTATCTTGTTGCGTGTTTATTGTGTATTTCCAGCAGCGGCCTCTGTGGTCAGACATGGTGCAGGCTTGCAGGGTCATGCTGGATGGAGTTGGGTTTGTGCTGACTCCACTTCTGCTGTAGACAGCTAATCGGCAGTCGCTTTACACACACTGCAGTCGCATTACACACACACACACACACACACACACACACTTTAGGAAACAGTACAACCTCATTCCCCCTGTAGGCATGTTACAATTACAATAAAAGGCTTTTTACTTCATTTACCTGCGTTTATACTCGTCTCTCTCCCTCTTCACTTTGGCCAGGACGTTATACAGGGCTCTTATCTCAGGCGTGATGGTGTCAATCTGGACCCCGACTCCGTCAGGCTGCACCCAGGGGACTCCGGGGCTGGCCAGACGCTCGGCACCGGGGCCAAACCTCCGTGTGTGGTTGTAGGACCAGATGGTGCCCGGTAGAAACCGTGGTGGAGGGTTGGCAGAGCTCCCTGGACCGGCGCTGGCGCTGCAGAAGGTTTTGGAGCCGGAGCCGGGGGAGTCCCCGCAGGGGGAGGCCTGGCTGATGGTGATGGCCGGATAATAAGTTGCATTTATTTGGGTCGAGCCGGGGTTCTCTGCAGCAGCAGGCGACAGGGTTGAAGCCAGCGGTGGTGTGAACTGCGCCGTCGGCCTCCTTGCCGAGTTGTTGGTGTTGTGGAAGGGAAGGGAGCCGGGCCGGAGAGGTAGGGTCCCGACAAATCCCGTCTGCACACCTGCCTCCTGGGTACGTCCCCTGCTCTCGCAGCATCCACCTTGACAGCTTTTGTTGGCGTCCAGCGCCTGCTGCAGCTGCTTCTCTAAAATCTTATTTCTTCGCTCTAATTCGTGCACTTTTGCTAGAAAGCATCTGAACCTCAGATTGAGCGTTTTCAGCACGCTGATGTTGGATCCCAGGTCGTTTCTGAGAGCCATGGCGGCGGGGGGCTGCGACACAGCCGCGCGATGGTGGTGGTGGTAGTGGCCGTGGGGGAGGTAAAGTGACGTCTGCGAGGGTGCGGTGAAGTCGGGCCCCGGATGGTCGGGCCCCGGTCCGGATTGCTCACCCAGCCAAAAGGACGCCGGGTCTGATCCACCGAAAACGGCGTCGGGCAGGATCCCGGACGGAGAGTCCGGGTGTCCGGGAGCCTCACCTTGCTGCGGATGCTGTTGGAGATGCGCGTTGCCCCCCAACAAAGGATTCATGCTATGGTACGGGAAGCTGAAGCGCTGCAGATCTGGCATGAACACGGACGGGAATGCGCTTATTGCCACAACGGAATTAAATAACACGCGGCGCGCGCTCAGAACGCCGGCGTTCGCCGGATTATAGAACAGCTTCTAAATACGAATCTTATCCGTAAAGCTTAGAGGTCTTAACGTCGGCCGACGGATCAGTGCTCTCCAAACCTCCACAAATAACAAATAAATCCTAAAGCGACGCCGAGCGGGCTGCGAGCGATGGATGCGAACGGCGGCGACACCTGCAAAAAATAAACGTTGATTAGATGAAGGAAATGACGCAGGGCGAGGAGAAGGAATCCACCGAAGTCACGGAGGTTCTGGCATCGAGATGTGACGGCGGGCGCTGCGGGATCGGAGGAGCAGCTGTTACCGTAAACACTCGACTAGAGACGCGCTCGTCCATTAACTGCTTGTTTTCTGTGCAGCACAACACTTACCAGCTTTGTTGTTGTTGCCGCCTTTTGTTTCACTCAAACAATTAGTTCATTAGTTTATGAGTTGAATACAACTGGGAGTCAAGCATGGATGATTTAATGAAACAGTAATAATACTACAAATATTCAAGTACAAAAGAAAACGTTTTAATTACCAGCCATATGCACCCCAAAACCGAAAGTCCAACTTTAATTGTGTTTTGGAAGTGTTTTAGGGTCATTTAATTGCATTACAGTCACCATGTCGCATGCAGTCAAAATACCCTTTTGTTAAGGAAGGTTCATAACGGAGTGAAATGCACAACGGAAAACCAACAATTCACTGCAGGTGTAAACACAGACTTACCAGTGGAAGCATGGAGACTTAAGAAAAGGTTAACAAAGAGAAGAAGGGCATGCAGGCGTTCAGCCAGCAGACTACATCTACTCATAAACAGTAAAGGGTTAAAGATGGGACAGGAAAATACATGCAATAAAAGGAATGGACCCAAAGACTATCGGGCAGGAATTTATTCATCAAACATTTCACTTCACAAAAATAAGTAAATAGATGTTTTGTTAATTAACTCATCTTTTGATGGAAAGACCCTGGAAGATGTTCAATTAAGGGAGTAAAAAGTAAGAATAAATACCCCTATTTGTACAAACATTTCTTGAAATTGTCATGGTAACGACATCCGTTGCAGCAAATCTGGTGCAGGGCTAAGACATCAAGGAAAGAACATTTTCATAAATATGTTATTATTATATTTCTATATTCTATTCTATATATATTGCAGATCTCTCCTTCTGTGTCCACCGATGCTGCAGATCCAACGCATTACCCCCCCCCCCACTATCCTCCAACGTCTCCTCAGGAGTCTGTTCCCCCTTCACTCTTGTTCCCCGGTTCTTCTCCTTCTTCAGATGTCTGTTTTTTCTTTCCATAGACAGGGACATGGCTCCTTCTCCTCTTCCAGCTGGGGCAGTCTGAGACGCTGATGCTCCCTTGAAGAGAAGATTAAAAAGAAAACAGAATAACTATTTGCCCTTGGTGGAAAGAGCCCATACTTCTTTTCAGAACAAACAGGTGCCAGTATAGTGGACGCGTTCCTTACTGTCACAGCTTTCCTTCCTCCCCTGCATTCGCCTTCTCTTCGCCTTCTCTTCTCCAAAAAGCATCGCGTAGATGTCATTCCTGAACTCCCTGTTCATGATCTGGTAGATCAACGGGTTGATCATGCAGTGGGACTTGGCAAACAAAACGGGGATCAAGGTGACCACGGGGGGGAGGGAGGAGGACGGCTGGGGGCTCTTGCTCAGTGGTGCGGCCTCTCTGTCAAGGGTGGACCTGAACGTGGCGTCGCTCAGGCCTGTGACGGAATTAATGTTGTTCACACTGCTCCACTTTTCCTCGGGGCCGTAGTGGATTTGTCTGTAATATTCGGCAGCGGTCCAGTTGAGCAGTGAGGGGATGTCGAGGATCTTCGGAGCCCTTGGAGAGCCCGGGGTCATTTCAGTCGACTCCGCCACGACAGTCTGCAGAGATGCCTCTTGATCATCTCTGGGAACGAGTGCGGAGAACAGAGACACGGCAGCGTAGGGCATCCAGGCCAGGAGGAAGGTGGTGCACACCACAGCAGCTATCTGAAATCAACAAAATGCCTTTTTTTTTTTCATCCTGCAATATGTTCATTTATGAATCTAAAAAAACCTCCTTGGTGGGGTTTACTTTTGTAAGTTTGAGTTCTTTGCCGGTGTGAGTGACAGAAGAGGACGGGATGGACGCCAGAGTGCGTTTAGATCTGTGGACCTGAAAACAGAAGCAACAGTTAATGCTCCAATTATGACAACAATTCACAAGCACTAACAAAGTCAACATAACTCCCATATTTATATGTTAAAGCCATTATGTAACAATGATGTAATAATTTCTCATTCCAATTTTAGTTTATTTTAAATTGTTTGGGGCATTTTGTCACTTCTTGCCTTGCAAATCTATTAACATTTATGTTATTTATGCTTCCAAGTCTGTGTGGTTCCTCGTCCTGATTGGCCACTGTGTCTCTCTTGTTTGTCTATTGATGCCATTAAAGTTGTTTCTGTGCACACTTTGCTCTCTGTCATGGTGTCTTTTTCAATACTTTCACTAGGAGGTGCCAGAGTTGACATTTTGCTAATCCACACATTGTGCCTCTAAGCAAGTGACTGATACATCTGAACAAAATACGTGCACAATACACACACGGCTCCCAGACCTTCCATTTTGTGTCATGAAGTAACTTGTACTCACCGTCAGAAGGATGGCCAAATATGATGCGACAATGGTGAGTGTTGGAATTCCAAAGCATAATATCAGGATGAGGAAAATGTAGATTCTGTCATACAGAGACGATCTCATGCTCCACCTTTAAATAGTTGGACACGTACATTGATTATCACTAAGAAATCTGAGAATACACAGATATGCAAAGTATTGTTTCAAAAAACAATAAAACAATTGAGAGGTTTACCAGTTTATGGTGCAGCTTGTCCCATAAGGTTCTGGTCCATAACTTCCAAAGCCAAAAGCAGGCAGTAAGGCCCAGAACAATGTGTAAACCCACACCAGCACTATGGACAGAGTTACATGGCGTCTCTCGATCCATTGACCTACAGAGCAAATAAACATGAAAAAACATGGGGAACTCAGTGGCACTGTTTAAGAGCACTGGTGTTTAAGAGCACCAGTATATTTTTTATTAGCAGGTTTAATGGACTTTCACTAAAATGCATAACTTTTAAATCACTTACTCTGAGTCAATTCATTTTAAGAAGAAAGAAAGGGTCGTGCATAATTAATAATTCATGTGTATTGTGTTAGTGAGGTTTGGGTAAAAGCCTGCGTGCCAAGAAATGCACCTACAGTACCAGTGAAACCTTTGGATACAGATTCTCATTGAATTGAATGAGAAAATGTGTCCAAACTTCTGACTGGTGCTGAATTTATTCAAATTATTCAGTATTTAGAGTGCAGGCATGTGCAAGTGCACGCCACATGATTATGTCTCAGACTTGCCGTATCTTAAGCAGCAGATCTTCAAGCAACGGTCCAGAGAAATGAGACAGGTGGTGAGCAGGGAGCCGATGCCGAACACAAAGCCCTGAATGCCATACCAAAGGCACCCTGCCTCCCCAAACACCCAGGCGTGACACAGGCTGAAAGAGGCAGAGAAAAGTGATCATCACCGTCGTCGTTTCTTTTTTTAGATGTTGCACTATACTCACAGTAGCATCGCCCTTCGACCGAAGCCTGGCTTCTTATTAGGTAATAACAAAGTTGTGTACCTGGAAATGATGAAAAATGGCCCTCCCAGAAGGCTGAACCCGAAGTCGCAGAGGGCCAGGTTGATGATCATGAGCTCTGGAGGTCTGAGCTTCTTCCGTCTCCTGCAGTAGACCAACAACGCCACTCCATTGCCCAGCACTGACGCAACGACTGGTTTAAGGAGAAGTGAAGATGGGAATGAAAGCGCTACTTTAACTTGGTTTCTTCTGTCCTAAAATACTAGTTCTGCCATGGATTCAGCTCAGCATCCAATCAAATACGCACCGTGCTCCACAGAACACCAGCCAACCCGGACAAATTAACACATTTCTTTATTTGTTTATCCATAGTTTTATTGATTTTGCTGTGCAAACCGATTAAGGAATAGGCACAGAGTACTTTGCAGTGTTTCTAAGACTGCCTGAACTGAACTTCAAGTGTAAAGTACTAGTAGAAAATGTCTTGAAACCACGCTGACCTGTGAAGGTGAGGAAGACAGCGATGGCCATGTCCGCAGAGGGGGACAGCCGGGAGAGGAAGAGTGGGTGGATGTACGAGGGGACGAACCAGGAGCCCCTCTGTGAGCCGTTCTCTCCCATATTGCACCTCAGCGAGGTGGGGCAACACCTGGAGCCTCAAAGAGCCGCTGATGACACACAAGCAGAGAAGGATTTGGAGCTGGGAGCGCGTGGAAGTAAGAGTCCGCGGGGGAATGCCACGCAGCGCAGCCATTGGTACACTGGTGACTACATCCTGATCGCTGCTTTGTTTCAGCTGAAGATTTTCACTCAATTTTAATCTGCTCTTACTGTGCACGCAAAAATAAGGAGCTCATTGAGAACATCCAGCTTAAGAGAACAACGAGGGTAAAACAGTGGTGGGCGAGAGACAGCAGGATATTTTGCAATCCAGAGCTTTAAGTTTCAGAAGTATTATTCATATTATCAAAAGCATCTTTTCTTCACTGATCACACAGTGCATATAAAAAAGGCACATTTTCTTTCTCCTCTCGTGGACTTAGATTATTTACATTCCTCGGGAATTTCGGCACTAAACATTACTAAATGATACCATTTGGATAACTACAAAGAATATGGATGGAAATGTAAATTCCACAAGCATACCGTAAAATGAATAAACAAAGTTTGTTGTTGACCCTTGGTAAGAAGTGGTAACAGGGAAAAACCGGGTGCTTTATTCTTATTCCTCCAGCAGGCAGTCAGCTGAGTCTCATGAGTTAAAAAAGGTCAAAGTGTGATGAACTGAAAGAACACAAAGATAACAGGGAAGATGATACAACGTAAAAGGGATGTCTTGAAATACTCAACCCCCTTCCCCCGAGCCCCCTAAAAAAGTTTTTCCCGTCCCTTCTCTTTACAGCGCTCTCTCACATTCAAATCCACACCTGCCCGAAAACACGCTTACTGAGCATCACCACTCACCTTCACCAGGTTTGCTTTCTCAGATCCTTCCTGTGGTTTCTTTCGGTTGGCCTTTGGAGCAGAGATCCAGTATTTTACTCCATCGTGGGATTCCTCTGGAGAGACAGTTCCCTGGTGAAATCTGGCTTAGAATAAATGATCAGCGAGAGGAACACAGCGAGGGAGAGGAGGGGAGTGTGGGAGGGGGGAGAGAGAGATTTTAGGTCTCCGACCCTCTGAATATACTCTCCAGCCATTTACTAAATCTTTTTGAATGATTTTTATTCAAACATTAAACCCGGCTGAATGAAATGTTTTTTGTAAATATTGATTTTACTAAATGTAGATTTGTGAAAAATTGAATATTAGTGCAGGACAATCTTTGAAATGTAATTTGTAATAAAACTGGTAAATGTCCTAAACGTGGTCCCTCTTATACAACTGTATGTAAAGTGTTTTCAAACAATAAATCCGTAATCTTTTCTATTCTCGAGGAGCTCCTAGCGATTGAGGCCGATCAGTTAAATCAATTTCCCATACTTAGCCACTTTGAGTGCAGATCATCTGCAGTTATAATTCATTAAAGCCTCATGTTGAACCGTTACAATGGGCCTTTTGTTATCCAGAGTACAGTACTCACGCAGACGGATTGTGAAAAGCACAAAAGGGAGGCAGGGGAGAAGAAATGTACGAGCAGTAAACATTTTATAAAAAGGCGATGGTGAGAGAATCGATTTGAAGTAACTGGGAAATAATGACATGGACTGCACGCGCAAACATCTTTTGAGGGTTCGATAAAGTCAAGGAACCATGTAAGAACCCATCTGCAGAGACTAGAGAACAGATTTTTTTTCCCCTCAATAGAGAAAAGTCTGCAGTGACAGAAAAGCAAAGTGATTCTCAAACAGGAATTTATTTCACTTCTGACTGCAGTTCTTCAGCAGGACAGACAAATATTCACACCTTCACGCCATCTCACACAAGAACACAACAGGGAACTTCCCAAATACAAAAAGAGTAATTGTCACCAGTTTAGATGTTTTTAGTTCGCTCTCTGGGGAACCTTTTTGCGAATGTGGGTCAAATATTTTCAGCAACCAGCCAAAGTCAAGGACAACTAATTGTGTTTGTGCATCTCTGGTATCAGAACGTGGGTGATGTGGCACAGCGCAGTGACGAGTGGTCCGCTGGTTCCTTTACTCCTTGGACGCCATGTGGGCCATCAGGTCGCAGACACGGTTGCTGTACGCAAACTCGTTGTCGTACCTGAGGAGGAGAAGAATATAGAGTCAACGTGCATCCGGAAAAGAGACCTTCGCACACGAGAAAAATCCATGCACGAGGCGTACCATGAAACAAGCTTGACAAAGTGGTCGTTGAGGGCGATGCCAGCGCCAGCGTCAAAGATGGAGGAGTGGCTGTCGCCGTTGAAGTCTGTGGAGACGACCTGCAGGAGAGCAAAGAGGAGGACACCGTTAAAAAGGACCAAATGACAACCGTTTAAAAAGATCAGATACAAGAGAGACGGCCACACACACACACACAAACACACCTGGTGTTCCGTGTATCCCAGAATGCCCTTCATGGGTCCTTCAGATGCCGCCTTGAGAACCTTCTTGATGTCGTCGTATTTGGCCTGTTAAATGTATTAAATAAGCTAATCATCACATGAATACTTAATGCATCTATTAGAAAAGGTTGTTTTTTTTAGTTTGTTAAAATGTTATGAGTCACTCACAGGTTTCTCTAGGCGGACTGTCAGGTCAACCACGGACACGTTGGGCGTGGGGACGCGGAAGGCCATGCCGGTCAGCTTGCTGTAAAAGAAAAAAAAAGGTCATAAACTAAATTCAGCAGAAAGTTCTGGAAACCCAATAACATGCGCTGAGTTGCGATTTGCATCGCAGTGGTTTCTGGCACAGACCCATTTAGCTCGGGGATGACCTTGCCGACAGCCTTGGCCGCACCCGTTGAGGCCGGGATGATGTTCTGACTGGCACCACGGCCGTCTCTCCACAGCTTGCCGGAGGGGCCGTCCACAGTCTTCTGCGTGGCGGTGGTGGCATGAACTGTGCTCTGATGGACACGGAGGAGGAGGATTAATATGGCTAACGCCGCCGCCGCCGCTCTCTCCCCTTCCACCTGACTTTGTTATGTCATGATTGTGTTTGGTAATCTGGTGTTCGGGGCTTCCCAGCATCAGTCTGCTGGATTGCTCAGTGCTTTAATCCTCACCATCAGGCCCTCAATAATGCCAAAGTTGTCATTGATGACCTTGGCCAGGGGAGCCAGGCAGTTTGTTGTGCAGGAAGCGTTGCTAGGGAGACAAGAGTAACAGAAAAAGGTTGCAAAAAACCTTCAGTTAACAAACACATTTCTTACACATCAGATCTAATACATTAAAGTCCATACAAAAACACAACGTGCCAACAGTCAGGTTGCTGGTTCTCACCTGACGACCTTGAGGGACTTGTCGTACTTTTCGTGGTTGACACCCATGACGAACATGGGAGCATCAGCGCTGGGTGCAGAGATGATGACTCTCTTGGCGCCGCCCTTCAAGTGAGTCTGCAACGAGTTTCAAAAAAGCATTTAATTTATGTTCTTTTTTTTTCTTCCATTTTCACATTCAACGGCTTGGGGGGGTTGAGAAACATACAGAGGCTTTTTCAATGGTGGTGAACACACCAGTGGACTCAACCACGTATTGGGCACCAGCATCCCCCCATTTGATGTTGGCGGGGTCTCTCCTGAAAAAGAGTCAACAATAAATTCATATCTGCTCGTAAGTGCTTTCCGTATTAAAAGCCTGATCAGTGAACATACTCGTGGAAAATGGTGATTTTATGTCCATCGATGACCAGCTTGTCACCCTCCAGTTTGACCTCCCCCTTGAAGCGGCCGTGAGTGGAGTCATACTTAAACATGTAGACCTAACAGGGAAGGTGGAGGGATTAGAGAGGCGACACTTTACACCACCTTACGGACGGCTGACAGGGGCAGAAGAGATAATATTGGTTTAAGATGAAACGCGTGTCTGAATACAAAAGGCTGAGTTACACGTTTGTTTTAGCCACCTAAAGTCCAAAAGGTTTCACAAGGTTTACCAGCACGTGGCAGACGGCTGGTTACGATTTCAAACCCGGATCCTCTGTAATCGCCATCTCCATCCCTTACCATGTATTCCAGGTCGATGAACGGGTCGTTGATGGCCACAATCTCCACCTTCTTGGAGGTAAAGGCAGCACGGGTCACCAGACGACCGATGCGGCCAAATCTGAAAAGTGAACATTGTTCTTAATCTGGCCTCTAGGTGGTGGTATGATACCATGGACTCTGGTCAGAGTCACTGGGTGACGTGAGCCTGCCACACAATGATCTAGAACAGCGATTCCCAAAGTGTGGGCCGTGGCCCCCTGATGGGCCGCGAAGGTCATTTACAATAAATAAAGTTTAATTTTGAAAAGTTTGAAATTAATATAAAAATATGCATGATGCAGCACATTAGTTATATGCAACATTAATTGATGAAGCACAAACAATTTAAACGAACAGATTTTTAATCGGTTAAATTCTTAAGGTCGTTTAATCATCCGTGATTAAAGATTTGGGTGGACCGCAAAAGACTTTTAGATGTCAAAGTGGGCCGCGGCATTCTTGAGTTTGGGAACCGCTGATCTAGACGGTTCGAGTTGAATCGATCAGTCTGATGACTTGTGAATATGCAAAGTTAGGTTTGTGACATTCATGTCAACCCAAGCATGGCCCACTTCACATGTTACACTCTTTTCCCCTTTGTCTGGGGTTAAAAACAGTCTGCCGGAGACACAGAACCACTGACAAAGAAAGGGCAGGGTTCAGGAGGAGGGGCAGGTGGAGGTGTACACATCAGCACTCACTCTCCTCGCTGGGGGCTAAAGTCGAAATGAACGGCTAATGTGCAAAGCCTGTTGATTGCAATGCACTGTTTGATCAGCGATGAAGTTACTTTTTAACTGCGGGTCCAAAATCCTGACACACAAACACTGTGTCCTCAGACATTGGGGGTGGGAGGACGAGGGGCAGGGAGATAAGCACGTAATGCGGCCTACTTGCTCAAGACAGCAGAATAACAATTGCCCGCTAAACGACCCCCAACATTGCGATCTGCTCAGGGGCCAAAGTGCAAAGATTAAGACAAACATGAGAACAGCCAGGTGGCTCCATGCATGTTCATTACATTTTCTCCCTCAGCCTCTGCATGGTGTCAGAAATCAACCACACAAGTATTTTTAATATTCAAAATAAAGCATTTAGAAGCACAGGCGGTGCATCTTGAAAAGCTAACGAGGCGATTACACCCGAGTGCTGCCAGTGCACAGAGGAGAGGGGTGTTGTGCTGGGGGCTGGAGGAGCAGAGAACTCTCTTGCATAATAAGTGTGTTTGTTGAAGTCGAACACATGTTGATTTTATTAATTGCAAAATGTCAGTGGATAAAAATGAACTCTTACCCGTTGATACCAACTTTCACCATTTTTCCCTGAGTTGTCCTGGTTCTCTGGAAGGAAACATGCAAAGAGAAGTGGATTTACAAAAACGTGGCTTTTTAAATAGAGCGCAACGTTCATGGTACAGTATACTAGCTTTCCCTGGATCGACAGCACTGCAATTGTACAGTGGGATTAAACGTCAATACAACATTTTTCCATTGATAAGATACATGACCACAGTCCAAGTAAATGCATGTCAAAGTAAATCAGCAGTTACTTCAACGAAGTTCTCTAATCAGGCGTATTTAAGACAAAATATGTGCATTCGCATAAAGCAGCAAACATTACATTTTAAAGAAGAATATAAAGAATTGGCTCGAGCTTTATGACCGCATTTAGTTTCAAAGTTGGTCCCAATCCCAAACAGATTGTCGCCAGGTGATCGGAATCAAGACCTGCCGCCTGTGACGGAGGCCCTGCAGGCTCCTGACTCTCTGGCTCCAGAATAATGACATTACTGAAGGTATTTACCGTCTGTGAGCTGCCTCTGTCTGTCTTGCGACTCCGGGTGTGAGTGGGAAAGAGCAAAGCTGTGCGGTGGGCTTTATGATCGAGTTTAAAGCCACGCCCCCTCAATGGTCACGTCTCCCCGCCCCCTATGAATGTCAAGGTCATCAGTCTGCACAGGCCCATGCAGGCTTGCCTCTGCGACTTATTGGGAATGAAAAATCCCAGAGCCTACTTTCTCTTCTGCTACTTGTAGAGCTAAAGTGCAGAAAACTTTGCACCTGTATTGACATCCTTTCTCTTAAGTCTAGTTTCTACTTTTCCTCAACCTTAGGACGTAAGATGTTAAACTCCTCAGATAGTGGACTGAAAACAGAGAGGGATCCCTCACTGACCTTCTCAATAAATACAGTTAGAAGAGGGATCAAATCTCTGTCGTCCCGACTGTGACATTTAATGTCCAAAGACCACGACCCTTCACTTCCTGGCTATCTGTAGCGACCGATCCGTCTCTGCCTCTGCGTCTCATCCGCAGTTGAGTCCGCTTGGGTCCGTGCCAGGTTGTTTAGAAGCAACGAATAGAGTCTAAAGGAAGACATTTAAAAAAGACATGTAGTCAGAAGTGTAGATCTGTACCAAAACGGTACAATGCTGCTGTGTTTTATGGCTGTGGTCATGGATGGATGTTCAGTCATAGCTGAACAAACCCTGTGGGAAAACCAGTCCTGGCATCTGCTTTGCAGTTTAAGGTCAAAGAGGGGAAATAAAGGTCAGACCAAGATTAGACGAGGGCTGACAGGTCAACACATGTCCCTTTTATACTCTCAGCACAAGATAATGCTGCCTCATGCTAAACATGTTCTTTCTATATAACAACTTCTAACCTGCACTCGTACTCTGCACAAACTATCATGTTCTTTATTATTCTTTTCCTCGGGTCCCTGTAAGACTCTACATCTGCGTTTATGTAAATTAAACAAAAGTTCCACTCCGGTTTACTTAATCAATATGTGCAGTGACGAGACACACGTTTGTTATTAGTTTGCTGATCACAAGCATGGCTGCATTTAAAAAGGGGGGCCCTCTTGAACACAGCTGGTTTCCTATACAAGGTCCAGAGGGCAGCTCTGTACGCTGAGGAACAGATTAACGTGATGGAATGAAACCGCCACCTAGTGTCGCAACGGAAAGCTCCATCTATTTAGAATCACCCTTTAAAATTGATGTAAAACAGCTGAATATATAAGTAATATACAGACTATATATGGTGCAAGCGATGTAGCAGAAGAAGAAAGAAGAAAAAGTCTCCCCTCAAAGTCCATTTAGTTGCAGTTCTGGAGCTTTCAGTCGCATCGCATGACCTTCATCTAGAGAGCTAATTGTGAGTCTTGTTCTTGAGACCGCTGTATGTGCAATTGCATCATATTCATGTATATTCATATTTTATTGGTAGGAACATTATCTGGGATTATCCGCAAACGTGTTTATTTTGGTTTCCCCGTGGAGTGTTTTAACACTTGCCCGGGGAATTGGCTGCAATACTCAAACCCGTCCTGGAGGCAGCGGAGGATCTCATTGTTAGAGATTGGGCATCTGTACTGCAGGACAAACGAACTTTGGAAGATATAAGGTTTCAAGAGTTCCAAGATGAATATGTCAGGACAAGCTGAAGCTACACGCTTGGCGGGACAAATTGAGATGACGTGCGCCAATAGGGAGGACGCAAACTGATTTAGGTGAGACAGAAAAGAAAATCGAAAAACATGTCAAATCAATTTATTCATGCAAACCATGAGAAAAACAAAATAGCAACCAGTAGGAATCCCAAGTGCTTTTATATTTTAACATCTACGTCCATGACACATCTTACACACACACCTCATTTGTGGACATAAGAATATTCTATTCACATTTACTTCACAAACGCAAATGCTAGAAATACACATGCCAATTTACTCAAAAACAAGCACAGCAAACAAAGATGATTGGTCGATGTAAATGCAGCTCAAGCAATGTTCTAATAGTCGGTTTAATACCTCCACATGGAATGAACTGCAGCTGCCCTGTTATTACAGCCACAATAGCATGCATTTGATCTACGCTGGACGAAACCACATTAGCAAATGCTGCAACTTTACACCACACGTAAACATCCATCAGTGCACGTGAACATCTTTGCATGTGTGTTTTTCCTAATGGCAGTCTTTATTTTCTCCCCAACTAACAGCCCAGTCCGCTCACGGACCCGATCCGATCCAGCTTCAGCCCAAAGCATCCCCGGTTCCATCCCCGCCGTGACCGGTCCGGTCCTGCTCGCTTCTGATTGGCCACGGCCCCCTTCAGCAGGCGCAGCCAGGGGGTCTCAGGCTGAGTTTGCGCGTCGGCCAGCTTCGGGTACTCAGCCGCTTTGACCCCAGAGGAGAAGGTGGACTGCTCATCCGGCGGGCCGTTTAACAGGTTCTCCAGGTCGTCCAGGGTCAAAAGGTCATTGTAGCGTTCTAGAAATTGTTCCATGAACTACAGAGGGGAAAATAAATATCAAATTGAATTTTCAGTGAGTGTACGAGGGAGAATAATTCAATCAGGGATGTATTTCATTACTCTGGTCCCCCATTCTTTCCTGTTTTCCCTCCCTTCTGCGCTGCTCTTTAACGACTGTGATCCACTCTGGTTTCTCCTCAATCCACTCTTTTTTTCATCCTGCCAGCTCCCCTTTCTCCGTCCAACCTCCCTACCTGCACAGCATCAGGGTGCAGAGCGCGAGCCTCCGTGATCTCCAAAGGTGTCAGGAGGAGCAGAGTGGCACAGAGCAGCACAGGGCACAGCATGGCAGCAGAGACGAGTGGCAGGGAAAAAACTGGATCAGCACTGTAAAAATACACTGCGAAGACGAGAGCAATGATTGAAACATAATCACGGAGAAAAACAAAAATACGTAAAACGATAGTTTTGAAAGACGCAAATTTAACTAATTTGAATTATTATTTATAATTTCCATGGACACGATAAAAGAAGTTGCATACAGAAAAGCAATGCAACAGTTGTGATGCATATAAAGCATCTAGCAGGAATCAATTTGCAGCCACTGGTCCAGTTTCGGCTTTTAGACCAATCAACATCAGGATACATTTATCATCGACCAGAAAATAATCCATGAATAACATTTGTTTTCTTTATACTTGTACCCCGGTTTCAAGTGACATTCTGGAAAAGCATTATGCACACTATTTGTACTTTACTTTAAGAAAGAGACAAAATACAAAAGAAAGTTAATAAAAATGCTTCACTTCAGCCCATTTAGAAGGATTGTAGGTGTGCTCACCGGTTGGGTTTCTCTCTGGTGTTCTTCTGCTCTCACAGCCTCTCAATCCCTTCGGGTCCCTCCGTCTGTCGGGTTACCTCTCACTGGTGGGCACCTGCAGGGAGCACCTTCGTCTCACTGGGGGGACTCCTCCCTACTGCGGCGGCGGCTGCGGCAGTTTCTGTGAGGGAATAAAAAAGGTTTTTTCTTGGGGTTTTCTGGCGTGGGTCCTCTTGCCAGGAGCCGGAATTTTGGGCCACCACCTGGGATCCTCCAGAGTTTTTGTAGACCAAGGGCCCCCCCCCCCCCCCCCCATCTTCCTCCTCCTCCTCCTCATTGACTCTTCAGAGTGATGTCATAGCCTTGGAGAGTGATTGTCATTGCCAAGGTGACTGCGTACCCAGTACTGTGCTGCACGAAGCAAAGTCAGAGGGCAACAGCCTGCTGATGGCTTATCGACGAGACCAGCAAGTTATCAACTGGCCGGAAGGAGTCACATGTTTCACGTCACGACAGTCGGAATTATGCATTTCCCTCTGTTGCATGCATGCTCCTGCATGATGTGCACATCAGCCTCCCACTGTCCCCTTTGTCTCTGCAGTCTTTCCCAGCATACGCGGACAGCCCTTTCCTTTTGGCTAAGTTACAGTCTGTCAGTGCCATCTGCTCCCTGTACCCCCTGCCGCCAAATTACACCACTAGGAACGGCACAATGAAAAGACACCGACCAAAAAGTTCAGCAGCCTTGGATCATTTCAAGTGAATAAATCCCCAGCAGTTACAGATCTATGCCAGATACTGGACAACGCATCAGGGGATTTTCTCTTTATTGTAAAGAAGCCTCTTGGAGTAAAATTATGTTTTCATACCTGCGGTAACATGTTTCACTATTAAAGTTAAGAACCAGGCAAATTTGACTACTCCCACTGAATATGTGTCCTCAGATAAAACTGAAAAAAATAAAAAAAAGTGCTGCTGCGATCACAGCATTAGCCTCTAGTCGGCAAGTGTCTTTACATAACGCATCAATCGCACGTACAAAAAGGCACCTCTCTCATCTTTTCGGAGAGGACAACGTGTGGGAGAGGGAGTGGGCGATAAAGGAGAGATTAGCAAGGAGGGGAGGGAGGAGGGTTAAACCGCACTGTGTGCCATGCGAGTGAAGAGGAGCGCTGCCAGAGGAAAAGTAAGCAACGAGGAGGAGGAGGACGGGAGGGAGAAACGTAACAGGCAGAGCCGACGGGAGACCTACAAGAGAGATTGATTACGGGAACAGTGGCGGCCAACGGGGCCACAATGTGTCAAAACGAGAAAAAAAAAAGAGATACTAACTAAACAATAGGCAGCCATATTCATTTTAGCGAAGCGAAAAATAGTTTGTCAAACAAAGAAAAAAAAAAAAAACATCTGATAAGGTCGTAAAAAAGGAACAGAAATTGGAGAAAGATGAAGCGAGAAGCATGTGGGGTAGTAACTGTCTGGGCAAGCTGTGACGACCATTAAACACCGCCGTGCAAACACACGATACAAGCAGACATTCACTGCCGCTTGTAACGATGGTGTAAATTTACATGACATTACGCAGCGGACATCCAACCCGTCACACATTTCTTTGTGTCAGCCTTGAGGGGTTCGGTCAGTGTGCAGAAATGAGAGACAGCAGAGTTCTTATCAAAACCAGAAACAGGTTTATTAAAATACTTCGTGATTCTACGTTATTTTATAAGTCGTCGAGCTGCTTAAGATCGATGTAAAGTACAAATGTCTTAAAATACAATATACAAAAAGAAATTAAACTTATTAAAACAAATGCGTAAAAACTGTAAAACTAAAAATGCAAAACATAATTTCATAAAGGGAAAGACAAATAAAAACAACACAGGACGGGTCAGTTTCTAAGGCGAGCTCGTCGAGATGTGCGGGCGATGGGTGTAGTCACTTTCGGGGTCTCACTCTCCGCCATCACAGCATCTGATAAAGATATGCAGGAAGAAATTTATTAGGCAAGAGCAGTCACGTACTGCGCGTTTCCACAGAAGTCAGTAAATCCTAAACATTGGATGAGGATACAGAAAGAAAATCGTAGTACTTTATAAACACTGTTGAAAAAGGCATTTACTTGCGCCTTTCCCAATTTGAATGATTTATAATTTGCAGATTGAATCTTTAAGTGGTTTTCTAAAAAAAGCCATTAGAGAAGATTACAGATCTTGGATTAGTGCTGCTGCGATGCACAGCTTCATTTTAGGAGTAACCTCTTAAATCCTCTTACACACCTACATTGTTCAGCCCACTGCCCCCAAGAACTTTTTTGTATCGATTGATCTGTGTGCTTTACTTCTGGCAAAATACTGAAGTTCATTTGATTTTTTTTTTAACGAGGAGACGCCTGCGATCAATCCTTCAGCTGAGTGTTGTTGCTTCGCTTTGTCATATGTGAAGGCAGCTGAATATTCAGTTTTTGACAAGAACACTGAAGATGTCCCTTTGGGGTATTGGGAGTTAAAAAAAAAAAAAAAGAAAAGTCAATTAAATTTTGTATGTCACACAACCATGTTGTCTAAGGAAAACATGAGGGGAAAGTTTTAAATCACCAAAACAACTGAACACACGTAAAGAATAAATTAACAGAATCCTGAAATTATTTTAACTAATCAATTCCACTTGAATCAGCTGCGCTCACCCTCGTCGTCATCCTCCTCCTCATCACTGCTGAAAGTGATCAGAGGTTTTTTGGACTTTCGAGATTTCTGAGGCGTCACAAAACTGTCGTTTGCGTAGCCAGAGGTTGATGGCTTTGCTTGACCTGCAAAAATAGAAAAAAACGCATTTAAATGTTTCCGTCTAAAGATTTGCACACAAGGACCCTCCGATTGAAGTGCAAGACCACTGACCTCTCTTGGACCTCGCTCGGCCTCTGGCGGGCAGAGGCGTACGCATCACCGTCCTTTCAGAGGATCCTTCTTTTGGGTTTTCCTCGTCCATCTCAGGACTCTCCACATTCTCCAGCCCCCGCGTGTGAACCGCAGTCAGAAGCTTCTCAAACTCATCTACCTGGGCCTGCGGGAACAATGTTGCCATCAGTAAACAAGAGATTTCATGAAAATAAAAAAGGGAAGATTTATGCGGCACCTTGAACTGGGCTTTGGCCCCACGGCGGAGTTTGGCGGTGATGGCGAGCAGAGGCTGGTAGACTCCAGGCTCGGTTAGCTTGTCGCTGTAACACTCCCAGCATTCCTGCAGCCTCTTAAAACCCCGCTCACACATGGACAGCAGAGACAGAGACGTGGCCAAGTCACACCACTGGCGCTCCGTCCTGAGCGAGAGTCATAGGAATAATAAACCTGATTAGAAACCTTTGTGAAATGCATAGAAATTCTAGCTCCTCAACATAAAGTCATTACTCATGAATACGGCTTTGCCCTGACATTTGGACCAAATCTCATTTTCCAGAAACCTTTTGTATCTAAATTCACTTTGCCATTGTGTAATATAAAATGTCCTTCCTCAAGAGTACAGGTCAAGCATGAGTCAGAGGCAGACGGAAGAATGGCCCAACCAATGAGTGTGTACGATCCTGAACTATATGGGAAGGATGAGAGCAGGTGAACTGCTGTGTGAAGGCAACACGAGTCTATTGTTAAAGCACCGTCCAACAAGGCAAACCAAAATGGATTTCTGCTTCTGTTGAAAAGGAATCCACCAATATTAGTGCGAGATATGAAACACTTTAACAACAGATTGATCCATTTCAACAGAACTACTTTTCAAAAGTGGAATATAAAAAGTGTATTGGAGGGCCCGGCTGCACGAGGCATTAGGTCCATCCCCAATGGGAGAAAGCGCAGGCACATAAGCTGAAGTACAAGTGGGATGCGCATCGGCCATCTGAGCCTCTCTTGCTTTAATGGCTCTTCACAAACCAATTCCTCACGCAGCCACCGCTGCACAAGAAAATAAGAAAAATAAAAAAACAGCAGACGAGAGGTGTTGATTTACTCACCTGGCTGTCCTGAAGCGCTGACACAGTTTCTCTACTAGAGACTCGGTCTGCCTTTCCTTGGTGATGTAAGAGAAAAGCTGTCTGAAAAGACAGACACACAACTCAGCATCTAAACAAATACTCCCAAATTTAGATCAGCTGTCAACTTCCCACTCTAAGGCACGTGGCCTTCTAGGAAAGTTCAAAGGCTATGCAACTCACTTCATGATGGTGTTGAAGTCCTCCGAGGTCATGCCTCTCTCCGGGTCAGACAGGCGGCTGATGATGTCTGGGAGCAGGTTGTAGATGGCATTGTCCTGATGGGCAACACCGAGAGTTGAAAACCCTCCCAAGTAGTCAGGCTCCACAAAGGGTAACAGAGGCAGCAGTGTGTACCTTGGAGGCCAGCTCGTTGAAGAAGTTCAGGGCCAGGCTGGTGATGTGAGATTCGGGGTCAATTAGCAGCACAGCGACTTCACTGACTTGACCTTTGACCTTGAGCACATCCTTGAGCACCAACTGGGTAAGAACCGTCACAGCCGTCTGCCTCACCGAAGGCACCTCGTCACTGAGCCTAGAAGAGAGGAGGACGTGAAATCCCCGGCAGAGTCGGCTCCAGCATCCTAAGGC